AATAGATTGTTAGTAATGCGGTCTAATAGCTTAATTACTAGCAATATATATCAGGTCGACCTTCACACGGTTCCCCTTGGAAACCACCATAGTTAATTCTTATTGAATTCATCATGGCGGGGCAACTTGCCTAGAGAGTCATTCTCACGTATCATCGCTCACTGGTGTCCTGCCAGTATATACCGATAGCGCAGGTGAGGTAACCATTCCAATTTCACACATTAAAAAATATCTTTAGCTATTATTAATATTTCTTGATAAATTCGTCACGATGGGCCAATAGACCTGCTTTCATCCTTATCTATCATCATTCAATGGTGCCTCGCATGCGGATATCGATAGCACAAGCGGTGTTACCATTTCATTACCTCCCATAAAACCCCCGAACCATCGTAGGTAACAAGTCCTTTCTCATAATACAGAAATTAATAAAAGCTTATACTACATGTAACATTTACATTTCTTTCGATACGACGTATACGAATTATACTGAATTACTAGTTAAGAATAATACCCATAATAGAGTAGGTAAATAGTTACCTAATAGTAATTAATATCCTTTAAAATAACATTTAATATATAAAATATTTAGGTACTTTATAAAATTGAGTATTTTAATTTTACATTTACAACTGCACAACATAAAAAGATATATGTATTATCTTAGGCAGTAAGAATTTCTATATAACTTGGAAATTTGTATCGCTAAATGCAATTATAATAAATTCAATAATAATAAATAGAGTAGGTTGTTTGTTGTTGTTATAAAGATAATTGTACCAATGAACACAAAAATGATTACGAGGTTACCTATCGTGGAGCAAAATAAAACAAAGTGATATGATACCGCTTCGTAGAACTGACACAAAGATAAGTACTACGTTTTAGCTATCACAAACGAGATTAGAGGTCGCCGAGATTGTGTAAATTTGACCTGAGACCCGGACACTGCGGGTTATATGAAATTGGTTGCGGCAGTAATTAATAACAATGTTCGTTAAATACTTAGGTACATGTACATTCTGTTGAACGCCAAACCAAGAAGTTCATAGAAGATTTGTTGCTGCATTCCAAACTTCAAAATCTAAAACACCGCCGCGGAATTGCACGACTTGCTGTGTTCAGAATACATTTTGGAGAGTATGCTCAACAACTACATGATCTGATTCCCTTATCACTTTTTCGGCATCAGACGGCCAGACGGGGTAAGTACACAAGTCACACTTATGTCACAACCATACTATTTATACACACGAACTGCTATCTATGCATCTTCCTTCATCATGCGTAGGACCAAGGGAGAGATCCCTATTTATGTTTTTCCAACGCTCAACGCTGTTTTTCCAAAATCTATACACACACACTATGTATCCGGGCGTGAAGTTCCGGTATAGAATGGGTCACTCCATTCTTTTGTGGGTGTTGTATGAAAATAAGGGAAATTAACAGTCGAAGAATAGGCAACAGCATCCCTCTAAAAAACATCATCAAAGCCTAACTGCGGTTCCCAACCCGCCTGGCAAGCATGGCAGCTACTAACAAATAGCGAGAGGCCTATGTTCAGCAATGGACAGGTAATGAATATGGATCTGGGAGTATTAAAGTTTAATACTCAAAAATAAATAAATATAATTATGGACCCGCTAGCTCAATCTTAGACTCTCCATCAAGTGAGATCGTAACCAATCGCAAGACTCTTCAACAATAAAAAATTATAAGATAGCTGAATAAAAGAATTGATTCATTTCCACTTATTGGATATAAAATGCTTTAATACGTACCTATAATTTTAACACATTTGGAATAATTTTTAACTTAACCTATAAAAAAAGAAAAAAAGACAAACTGAACGATAAGACGAAAGACCACAAACACAAGCTCTCAAAATTTCAAAGTAGCATTATATAAAAAAAAAACAGAAAAATAAAATTTGTTAAAAGTGAAACTGAAAAGACTAAAAATAGAAACAGGACGGAAAAATAACTACCTAAAATTGTAAAGGTAATCTAAAAAAGAATACAAATTCTACGCTGAATCCCCATAGTAAAACTGTAACTTTTAAGGAAATAGATAAAACTAAAGAAGATAATAGCCAACTACAAATTTAACAAATTAAATAACTTGGATCAATAACAAAGAAAATAAAAAAGACATAAATATAAAAATTAAGAAAAAGAAAGAATATGCGTAATAACTAAAATGTAAAAAATAACCGTTTTAACATGTAATATAACCTATTAACATTGTAATAAAGCCTACTAATAGTCTTCGTGGAATTGAATGTGTTTAAAACCCTTAAGTTAGCAATAGCTATATAGTTTCCCCTAAATTTTTTCCCTTTTCTCATAGTATTAACTTAGATCCCTGATTATAGTTAATGTCGCAAAGAATATGATTCTGTTAGCTTTTAAATATTTAAACTGTTTTATTATTGGGCTAAATATTCATCCCATATGATGGACAAAAAACTACAAATTTTTAAAAACAATACTAAAATAAGATATAAAATACTAAGATAATAGCTATAATAACTTGCAAAGTTGCAAACTTATAATGTCACCTTTCTTGAAGAACAAAACTACAGAGCTTTTGCTTGACGCTTCTGGCTAAACATCCTGCATTATTGGATCAAATTTTGCTAACAACTAAAAAAAACTTTCAACCTACTATTTTATAGATGGTGAAAAGGTATTCTGTATATCTCAAGAACTTAAGCGTAGCACAACATTGTGTTACTTATAGCTGATATACCTTATTTCACATAATATATGGGTATAGGTACTCATATAAAAGTGTCGCCAAGTTGGTTATAATAATATCTAGATACACCCAAAAAGTTTGTTTTAAATTGTAGGTCATGCGCCGGAAGCGGCGACGGACGCGTTTCGACATAGAGCACGCATTATCGAGCTCATTATTCGAGATCGTGCGTAATGTCACAAGATAACTATTTAGTTAAGTACGTATAGTTTAAATAAATTACATATTAACTGAATATGGGTTATATTTCTAGCTACAAGTACACAGTTCTGCTTGAGTATATGTATTTGTATATGAGATATATTCGAATATTCTTTGCCTCAATTAAATCATTTCTATCTTGTAATACAAGAGTAAGGAATATATTTGAACGTCGAGATGTCTATAAATTAATAGTCACACAACTATTATTGTGTTGTTTATTGGAGAGAACTATGTTCGAAATCTAACAGACATGATCTAAAACTAGGAAATTCGATGGATGTGTTTCATATAACTCTCAAAATTTGCCAGCCGAAATGGTAGGGAGCCAACGATATCTGTCGAGTTAGCGACAGTACTTAGGAAAGAATCATATTTGACCGGAGGCCGTGTACAGGACGAATAAACATGAGACATCCACCCTCTCAATCGAGCGACGATATTAAGGAGACTACCAGAAGCTAATAAAGGCGAGGAACACAGTACAACACATAGTAAAAAACATTTGAGAGAGCCTATGTTCAAAAGTAATAGATATAAGTTAAAATAATAATGATTCATAATAATAGGGTCAATATGCCAATTTGCCGACCACTATTTGTTTTCGGCAACTTTTATCCAGGCATTATTTATAAATGTTCCTGTAAAATTGACAAAAAAACATAAGTACATAATACATTAATAAAAACAGTACTCCTTTCGATGTAAAATCTTTCCTACAAAATATTACTAGTCTGCATTAATCTGGCATATTCACCCAACCTGTGTTATATAATTTCCAAATGTTGCATTTTATTGTTTGTAATTTGTAAATGATACGTATGTACCTATTTAAGGACGTACCAATATGGGAAAAAAATTATTAAAATGAGTTTCCATTATGGATGAAAATAAAATGGTAGTCCTTGAGCTATTTATTAGTTTACGCTGGCGGGGTACCAATAGTTTGATATTATATGATATTAATAATAGGGAGCCTGAACTTAGACCAGGTAGACTATTGTAATCCATTCACCGAACAATAAATAGGATGCAATCTATGTTAGTGACGTTACCTAATGTTTTGCATTTATGTGGAAATTACTTAATCGTATTGCTTTATGTATTAAGTTACGCTCGCTCTAGTTTTTAGGACTGCAATAAATATTTAAAAAAAACTTATTTAAATGTTAACAAATTTATATTATACCTATGATACGAGAAAAATCCTAAACCTTTTTGTAGAATCTTCAAAATTGATTTGAAAATATTGCGTAAAATACAAAAAAAACATATGAACAGAAGATTGCCTTCAGATTTAAAACTTAAAAAACACGCTGAAGTATGTATTCGCAACTTTAATTAATGGTTACTAAATATAACCAAGTGTGGGTGTCAAAAGGCTCCAGACTTGCGCCGTCATGTCCATCAGCTAACAATCGACTAATAATACAAACATTCTCAAGTGAGGAATGTGTGCACATTGTAATTTTGTGATTAAACATTGTTGCAAATGTGCATTGACCAATGCAACAGAGGTGAGACAAACCCCAAGTCACACTGACATTGCGTATAATCCGGCATTCCATATGGAATGCGGTCGCACAACCGGCCGCCAGGCCGCGCACCACCCCGCGCCGACGCCCGCTTTACTCGGTGTTTCTATCCATTCGCTTCCGACCACCATATGGTATAGTGGGATAGGACCGAGTCTAATAAGATTCTAATTAGTTTTGCAATAATAATAATAGAAGCAATGGATTACGCTTGTATGTATTTACCCTCCGACACATAAGACATATACCCAGATGACGTCATTATTAAAATAAAAATGAGAATAAACGGTTTCCGTTACCGATTGGGCAATGCTCACCTAGTGATAATTTAGACGAAACAATACAATTTAGTTGTTTTTTTTTTACGAATGACGTTACTTTAGACAGCTAGTATATCTCAACATTCCGGAATGTACTTATAGCAAGCAAGACGGGCGCCACGTAGTAGAAATTCGACGTCCCATCCAGAGGGGCACTATTTGTGGAATCATGAATTTCACTCACCTTCGCAAATAGACGTCGATCGTTAAAAATATCCACTCGACTCGATCGCACAGATAATACGGTTATCGTCCGTACAACACAAATATTCACCACACCAAAACGACAACATAAATAAACGCGGGCGAGCCACCGACACCGACGCAAATCGTCTGTGGCTGACACACTCCTCGGACTGATCGAAATGCAACTAAGAAAAATTCACAGGGCGGGGTTGTCGAATGTCATAAACTGTTGGTTACAGAGGTCGGACACTTAACGGTCGGGCGAGGGTGTATGCGACACACCGGCGCATAAGTCGACGCCGCGGAGCGGACTGGTACATACGTACGAGTCGAGCCGCGACTCCGCGAGGCGAGCGAGCGCCGGCGGGGGCGCGGAGCCGCGGCGGCGGCGCGCCAGCCGCGGCCACGTCGCTGGTCGCCGACGCCGCCGCCGCCGCCGCTTGACGCCTGACGCACGACGCCCTACGCGCGCCGCCTAGCAACGCGACGCCGCCGTTTCTATATATCTACCTAACATAGAGTCATCTAAAACGCCATAACACATCCACGAACCTGTCTCAAACTTTGTTCAAAGTATAAACACCAAGAGTATACCTATACCTACCATGCATGATATCTCGAGCTTTATTATATATCATCATTTAGTAGGTATTTAATATACAGTAGACTAAAATGAAACCCATGATCGTCGAAGTCTTTCGAAGTTTGGATCGGTTCGATTGACACCAAAACATTGTAACTTTTTTATACTATTGGGAACAATGAATATTATAATAAAAGAAAATATATTACGAATGACAAACAGGCTGACGTTTACCTTGACCTTTAAATATAAATAATACCATGAAAACCATGTATCAAAAAAAGAACACTGCAGCCCATTCCACCTTCCGGATAATGCAAAAATATTAAACGGTTATACCAGTCGCAAACAACTACCACTCTGTATTAAACTACACACTACAGTAATAAACCTAATTCCATCGACATGGATTGCTTAGTCTTTGTCCAGTTAAATCAAAAGAAACGAATTTTAAAAGGTAAATTATGTATAAAGATCGTCAATTTGATACTAAATATGAATATAACATTTTTTTTTACAATAGATCAAAGACCCAAAGGGAGATGAATGCACTGGAATACGAAACATGGCCAGAAAGGGTCAGAAGTGAAATAAATAAAAAAAGATCAAATGGGGGTGAATGGAAAATAAATATATTCTGATCCCATAATAGAAATTGATAATTTTAACATCAGATAATTATCTTTGCAAAAATTGTAAGCCAGTCATGGGATAAAGGTAGTAGGTAAGTGTCTATTATAAATCTTTTTATAGTCTTCGTCTATAATCATCAAATAGAATAGTATTACAATAAAAGTTTCAAAATGGCAATAATAAAATGTAGTTAAGTACTCAACTTCGTATTAGATGTAATTTGCAGTTGTCCTATATAAAAATAATGAAACTTAATTTCAGTGATTCTTAAAATTCATCCTCTAATTGAGTTACATGAGTGATAAAAGTTAAATAATACTTTTGTATGTTAATTAAAAAGTAAAACTAAGAAAGCACCTAATAATACTCATGAAATCAGTGCATAATATTTATTCGATTACTTTCGGAAATAATATTTTTAAAGCCGATCATATAAAATTCATTAAATCAATCTAAAGAAAATATAATTATGTACTTACCATACGTACTAGTTTTTATCGGCACGACAAAAATGAAATTTGTACACATGTAGATGGTCCTTATTCTAAATTAACACGTAAGTATGATACTTTACGTATATAATAACGCAGAAAAAATCGCAGGATACAGCTAATATAGGGACAAAGTTAGTTAGTTATCCCAATATTACGATTCATTCGTATACCGAATTTCATTTAAATCTTTTCATTTATTGTTTTTATTCAATTGATTACCTTTACAGACTATCACATTTATTAGTACTTGCTGCATTATACAATGTTGCAGCAAAGTCTGTGAAGGTCCAATGAATACAGTTCCTGGCTATCCTATAATTATTGCACTTTCTTTCCCATTGTTAGCGTGATGAAATCAGTTTTACTATCTCTAGCGATAGAACGAGATTGGTGCACGGCGTGAGGTGTGCGGCGGGATTCGATGGTTGGCCGCGCGTCCCACATGATCATACTGTCCCAGCACTTTCACCTGTGCAGCATTGCAGTTATACTGCGGTCAAATATGCACATACAATTCGTACTTTGTTTTTACTCGTAACATTTGTAGCAAAAAAAAACATAGTACGAATTTATATACAGTGAGGTGAATAAAACGAAACATAACTATAATTCTTAATTAAGATTTATTCGTCAATTACAAGAGAGATCATAAATTCGCACCAGTAGATGAGTTCACTTGTCAAATGCCCGTTTACTCGAAACAAGTGTTAATCAATAAGGCATCGTAAATCAAAGTTATTGTTCTACGATGTCAGATAAAAATAAAGGCAGAATGGACAAAAGACAGAATAAAAACAGATAATAATCTGTTAAGAAACAGTAATAGTATATTTCAAAATATTCATGTAATGAATAATATCAATCATCTTAAGCTATAGCTCATTTTGTTTTCGATCGTCAATACTTCATTCATACAGCTGTGTTCTAACTACGTTAAAAGCTTATTTATTATTAGAAATAATACATGTTTCATATTTACCATTTCTCACTTGCATACTGTAAAGTACTGTACTGGTACAAAGTACTGTAAACCAATTAAAAAAATGATACATAATAATTGTACCGTATATACTCGTCACGTTAATGGGAAAAAATATTTATAACCACGGGTGCCAGGCAGGGTCCATACGACACAAGTTATCATGGTTATTGGCCGCTGTGACCAGGGTGGCCACTTTGCTGTCGGGGCCATCGAACCCGGCCAGCGAGTTCAGCCGACTCATGATCACAGTCACCGCCTTATTGACCATGTTTATAATAGTGTCATTATCTATTTCAGCAGGTTTGTTCTCCGTTGATGTCCCTGCGGTAGGTATCCCCGATTTGTCTTCTAAACGCTTGCGATAACCGGTCACCATTTCATCGCGAAGAATTGTGCGTAATATAGACTGGATCTGAAAAGAATGTCAAAATTATATAAACTTCTTTACCCAATAATATTAAATAGAATATCAGTTTCTTAGAAATATTTCCCGTTGCCAACCAGGAATCTATAACATTAAATCCTATTTCCACTGAAATATATCCGCAAGACGACTTGTAACATTTACGAGTATTTTAACGGAAACTAATGTCGTGACATCTACAAGTACACAAGCAAAAAGCATATTTTGTATATGTGTCACAACATATATAAAACTTTGTATGAAAGCATTACAATACTATTTCGAATATTTAGTGGAAACGCAGTGTTAAAGTTCTTCTATATATTAATCTTAATTGCTTGCATGGAAGAAGTACAATCCATAGATTACAATTGTTTTTGTAACCTATCGATTGTACTTAGTGCGTGCATTGTTTTGTTGTTTATCATCAGACGGGTCGTAAAATGTAATAAATGTTTGATTAAAATCATATTACAATAATTACCTTAAAGTTGGGTGTAACAAGGCACCGAGCGACCGCTATGGCCGACGCAGTAAGTGGTCCTGTGATGCCGATATTTGTCAGCAGCTCCGAGATATTCGGAGTCAACCGGAATGGTACGGGGCGGTTACCATCCAATTCGCCTAATTATAAACATATTCAATTAATGAGCAATACGGTATTTTCAAATACTGTGTAAAGAAAATTGTATAACAGATTATTAAATATCATTTTCCAATAAATACAACTAGTAATTATTACGATTTTAGTGTCCTACAAAAAAAAGCTTGAGTAAACATTACCTCATTTAAAGACAACAAAAAGTCATGCAAAAAAGAGCAACATAAATAGCAAACTAAAAACTCAAAGCATAAGCATCAACAAGCCTGTTTAATAACATATTATTGATATATAGTATATACACAGAGAAATGTAACATCTGTGGTTAGATGTAAAGAGTATATCAACCTAGAATCCAGTGACAGTATTAATAAAACTGGTAATTTTTTCAAATCGGTCACAATAACATAGTAAATTAGTTATAACTTGCACTTTTATTGCTGGCAACTTGGCCAACCTTTTGTACATGTCTGTGTTATCTTTTTATAAACATCTTCTTGACATCTATTTGTACGTGGTTTTCCTCTTACTAAATATTATTCGTTTATTGAAAAAAATCTTATTTAATAATATTAATAAATATCTTGCAGATAATAAAACCACCATAGTCATTATAAAAGTAGAATTTAGAATTGTTCATACAAAACTAATAACATGACTTATCACCACTATGTTTTTCGGAAAAAATATGATATATCACTGAATTTCATGTTGATATACCTTTTAACACTGGACTTAAAATTGAATATTTTTTTTAGGTTATAATAAAACATAAAAGCGTTAATAATATGATGCATGAACCAGCTAGAAGAACATATATTAATTAAAAAATAATATTTTACCTGTAGTATCGTCAACATCGAATTTGAAGTAGGAGACGTTAAGTAGACCAGAGTCCTGGTGCACGTACATCATGTCGGGGTTGAGGCGAGTGAGGTGCAGCACATACTCCGCGAAGCTCACCAAGGACAACTGCAGCGTTAGCATCTTCCGGAAGGTCCAGTAGTCGGTGGGCGCAGCGAACGTCGCCGCCGCCCACTCGCGCACCATGCCCTTCGGTACCATAGTCGCTTGGACCTGTGACAAATTACAACTTTAAATTCAAGGAATTATCCTTCTGACTATTTCATTTATATACGTAATATTAATTATATTTAATTAAAAGGAAAACATTTACGTACTATCAATATTTCCTTTCCTACCTAAATCGGAAATCTCTAAACATTTCTGTAAATTATTCACCACCATTTATTGCTTTTGCCGTGTGATTTCGGCGTAGAATAGGCCGCCCTTTCCTTTCCCGTGGATGTCGTTACGTTATCACGAAAAAAAAGCCTGAACACAATTTAAGAGAAATGGAAGGGAAAGTAGTAAAGTTTAACATAAAAAAATTTAAAACTAGTGTATCATTGTAACATATCGACCGTAGAATCGGTTGAACGAATCATAAAAGTAAGCCTTTTATACTGTATGACATGCGTAGAACATTGTGGGCAAGAGGTTTGAAATTTGTTAAGCAACCCGCTAGCAATGAAATATTACTGTATCGATAAATACGTATGAATTGAAATAAATATTTACCTCCCGCAGTATGTCCCTGAGTACTTGGTGTGAGGCCTGTGTTCCCCGCGCCTGCACGGCCGCCAGCCGTTCATAATAGCGCGCCACGGGAGCATCGTATTCCACACCCCTACAGATACACAACAAGTTTAAGTTTAGTTTAAAAAAAAAAAACCTTTGGAACTAGCTGCATTATTGTAAATAAAGGATCAATATCATGATGTTGAATAGTGTATAACTTCCACAAGAAATGACCTATCAAATGCAAAAATAATTTTCCTATACGACTGGTATTTTTGGTGGTGTTTCAAATATTAATGTGTTTAAAAAACAAACTTTTCAAGTTTATTATATTTAATATGTATAGATTGAAGCACTTTTAATATCCGTCAAAATTTTTACAATATCTTGGGTATTATAGAAAAAATCTAGTGTGAACGCTATTCTTGTCTAGTAATGTTTCATAATTAAGGAGAATAACAAAATTATTTTTATTATTACTATTATACATATGTTATTATGACAGAAATACGGTCCATTTATAAACACTACTTTGATATAGTCATACCTGTTAGCACATTCTGTGCGATAGATGTCCAGTAGAGACACTGAGCTAGGGTTGTCTTCAACGAGACGCATCTGTGGCGACACCGACACGACGCGCGGAACCGTGAAGTGGAGGAAACGTCTAGATGTCTCTTTCTGCTTGCCCAAGTAGTGGTTCAACATTCTCAGTAGTTGAAGGACTCGTTCCTCCCTCCTCGCATCGCCAAGGCCAGAGTCGTTGACCACTAAGTAAGGATATATTTTTCCGTTGTGGCCGCGAATGTAGAGCCTGCGTGCGGACGTATTGTGTTTTTGGACGATTTCAACTCGCGGCATGAATCGCGCGATACGCACGTGGTAGTGAGTATGTTTAGGTAGTAAGAACTCTCCGGGCAATTCCACCTCAGCCGTCTTTAAGCTGAAGGTCGAAAGGAATCTACACTTCTCTTCAATGAGGAACGATCTGAAATAATTAAATTAGATATTTTAGTTAAAACAACAGTGATATGAACTGATAAGTTAGTAAGATGAAGCACTACCGGTGATTAGAAACCCACTAACCAGTTATTAAAAAGCATGTGAATCATGGAGTTATACTGAGTGTGAAACTACCATCTAAACATGGAATGGACGGCACAAGTATAATATAGATTTATCGTATTTACCTCAATGGGGGGTTCACAACGCTCAATAACTACTTACTTGGGCAGAACCTTAGTTTTGGCCTCGAGGATCTTCACCCATTTTCTTAGTTTTTGTATGAGATTTTGTAATTTCATAGCATTGGGTTGTGTGAAGTCGAAGTCAGCAGTGAACTGGCTCTTCATCTTCTGGAACACAGGATCTTGAACAGTGGCCTGCGCGCGACGAGCCAGACTCTCCGATGCAGCTGAAGAGAATGCACCACTTACAGAACTTGAAACACTTTCTGTAGACATACAAAATGGAGTATGTATATAAAGTAACGGTCGCATATAGCAAGAAACAACGTCGATTGCATACAAAATCCAAAATTATTTAAAGTACTGAAAAACCTGTAAAAAATAAACAAAATTATAAATGGATCTGATTTTTATTTTCGTAAACAATACGAAATAAAAGAATAAAGAAATTATAAGAACCACAGCAACACAAAATGTAACTAAAATTCTGGAGCAATCGGCATTGCAATAAATAAAGGGGACATTTTCCAATTTCATGCATAAATAATATTTTTTATTATGATATTTATTATTATGGCACTTTTAGTAATTTCTACCTGCTAGGTCGAATGTACTAAAAATACGAATACTAATGTACACGTTACAGTAGTAGGAATTCCAAGATATTGTTCTAAATTAATTACTAAACAATAATTACAAAACTACATTATAATAGTTTTATTATGACGTAATCATATGTCATACTACGCGTACGAAATTACTACTCGTAAGTACTAAGTACTCGTGGTAAGTACTCGAGAAGTAAAGAAAAAATAATTTAATAAGGAAATGGGGTTTTTGGTGAAAAGTTATCCTGGATTAATATTATGTTTAAAAAAGTCATGTAGTTTCAATGTCAACAATACAATTACTATTTTTGTTTATAAAATAACTTCAAGTTCGTATAAGTAGGTAAAGAGAAAAGCATAATATAGTACGATGAACGTATCCTATGAAGACTTTCTGTGTCTTCAAATAGTATAGAAATAGTACAGAATTGCTGTCCGCGTTCGTTTGTTTGCTTACTTTTGCAAACCATGTCATGAATTTTGGTAGGGGTTTCACTGTCATTTAGATATTTTTAAGAAAGATTTGCATGTATAATTTGCACTCGTGCGAAGCCGGGATATAGTCTAGTCTTAATATATAAAAACTCCGTATCATAATATTAGCATTTCGTTAAACTAATATCTGAAACCACTCATCCGATATTAATGAAATGTTGTAAATGGGTATAGTTTGCTTCAACTTGAAAGATAGTTTTTATGCTAATATAATCAAACAGACACGTTAAGTGACGGTAGGAGGCAAAAATACGTTTACTGGGTCAGCTAGACAATCCATACATGATATTTTTGAGATGTGATCTACGTGACAAATAATATAAAACTAACATGGCACCAATACACTCTAAACTCTTTGGGAAAATATTTATATTAAGACTCCGTGATGTTCATGTGTTATCTATCAGTAATATAATAATAATTGAATATACAAAACCAAATTTAATTTTAACAAATTTAACATGAGATCATCCTGAAAAGAAACAAAAAAAAGCAAGCAAAATAATAAAGACATTAAGCAGAAATCGATGTACATACATGCAATATAAAAAAATATGCAGAACGTAAGATCAGCCTTTTTAAATTGATCAAAAAATATAAAACTAATATAGATTGACTAATTATTTGGTGATGAAAAACACCGACAATAACTCAAACTTATTTCATTCCAATATGTTGGATGAAATATTAGTATATTGGATGTTACATTCACCACAACGCCTTTGTCGATAACGAATATCGCCAAATGTCTTTGACCAGGACGTCAAGGCATTAGCCGGGAAATACAATCAAAAGTTATAATCGTGAGCACATAGGTAGATTTTACTCCGAAATAAATGAGCTACTTCATTCAATTATACCAAAATTAATTTTTACTAATTTTATAACTAATAAAGAAATATCGACAGACAACTGGTTTGTTTTGAAATTACACTTGGGACCAAAAGGTGGATAAACCCATTCCGTTCGATTGTAAAAAGATTCAACAAAATCAAGTCAGAATTCGCAAAAATGTCACATAACATACACATAAAAAATACAGGCGAAATGAGAAACTCCTGTTTTTAAAAACATCTGGTATCAAGTGTCTCTAGTGCTCTATCATGACTTACTGGATAACAACTCTACGTGCCCTACGAAGCACGAAGCGACAATGATTTAAATCTTTTTCAAAATCTTAACATATATAAAAGTTTCGTGTCATAATATTTGTTCATGCTAATCTCCAATACCATTCCACTGATTTTTGTAAATGTATTTATTGTAAGGTAAACTGCTTATTCCAACTTAAAAAATAAGATGGTTTTTATCCCAATAAATGATGCTGTTGTCGAAATAAAAAAAACCTATGTGAAGCCAAGACGGGTCTCTAGTATAATATATAAATCTAGCTATATGTATTCCGTAACTTAATCTCCATAGATGATGATGAAGTCACCACTCACATGATGACATTAAATAGTTTTGATCAAAAAACAAATTAAAAGATACAAAAGAATTTAAAATATGACTGGTAGTTCCAGAGATTAGCGCGTTCAAACAAACAAACTCTTCCGCTTTATTATTTTAGTATAAATATAAAAGAATATGTATAGGAGATAATACTCACTTATCCCGATACCAATCCCAAATGTTGAGACGAGCTTCTTGATGAAGTTGAGCGTGTGCGGCGTGACGGTGGCGTCTGCGACGGCGGCGTGGTGGTGGAAGGCCACAACGTGACACTTGGCTAGCCCGGCGCGCAACTGGCGCAGAACCTCCTCGTACCAGTTCTCGCGGAACCACACCATCTGCGGAACAGTGCTGTTAGAACCGTATTTCAGATAAATTATAAATATTAAAAATCCAGTACATCTCATCATATCAGCCATTATTTGTCCACTGCTGGACATAGACCTCCCCATATACTGCCATAATGAACGGTCCTGAGCCACCTGCATCACCAGTATTTAAATACCGAATATTACTGCCTAAAAATACATCGTGTTAAGCTCCGAAAATATATTTAAATATGAGTGCAAAAGCGCGACTGTTTAAAATCCGTTCTTTGTTATTATTTAAAATTCTTCATTCCTGTGTCTTTATTAAAAAAAAAATTAAATTACAATATTAATCGAGACTTAACGCAATTTAGAGCAATAAAATCCGAAAGACAGGTATAACTATCATATTTACTTGAAATTGCATAGCATTAAGTACCGAATTATTCCTTACTAGCTGTATCGCGGGGATTTGCCTAAATGAATCAGTACATCAAGTATCCCATATGCTACGGTAGGAATATAACCTACCCATGTACCAAATTTAAATCAAATCCATTATGTATTTTTTCTGTGAAACAGTAACAAGCATCCATCTTAACAAACTTTCGCTATTAGGAAGCAGAAATTAATTGTTTAGTGTATTTAAACTGTACTTGATCCACAATGCCCTCTAGTGAAGACAGCACGGTAGGGTGTATCTCCCTCTGTAGTTGCATGATCTTCGAGCAGCGCCACATAGGCATAGTGGCTTTAATGGGGCCAGTCTCGGCACCAGTGGTACCGCTGCCAGACGCCGAAGCGCCCTCCGCCTTGGTGCCGGCCTGTGTAATATATGTAAAACATTGTAATTATGGTTATTAGCACATTATGTTTATTAGCACTTAAAAAAAGAGGTTTATAATCCCTCGTTTACTGTGTATCTGTTTTTTATTTTTCAGATATATGTACATCAATGTCTCCAAGAATTCTGAGGCGGTTTGCATCATTATTTAATTAAATGAGTAATTTCGACTTACATTGTAACAAAAATATCATAAAACAATGCTAATATATAAAATTACTTAAACTCTAAAAGTTAAGAGTACAACAAAATATCTAAAAAGGCCATTTTAGCAAAAGCCTTTGTAAATTCACTGCCCCCGCCAACATTAAAAACGTTATTATATTGTTAGTAAATTCAGCTTTTGTTTATTAAATTATAACGAATGGTATCTATTTCATATATATATCAGTTTTAGTCCACGTTTATTTACTATTCTTTAATTATTTACAAAATGTCGCATAAAACACAAGGTGGTTCAAATCGTTGTATATACACAAAATTTTCACTACCATTTATTTTAATAGGAAAATAATAATTATTTTCCATTTATATTATAATAATTATTGTTAAATTTTTACAATCAATCTATTCATTACAACTTCTTGAGATCTGATGTTATGCTATGCAATATAATTTGCAATAATCCGTACAACTAGTGAACAAAAGTGATACAATTCGAAATAAGTGGGTAGATAACAAATGCAACGAATCGCACTCGATTTGAGTCACTCATTAATTTATTTCCGCTATATTATTTCTTTGCCGTTAATGTAATCAGTGTCACTTTGAAGATCCTGCCATTAGAATTGTTCTATTATGAATTTTACACGGAATCAGTTGATTTCTAAAGTATTTTTTGTTTTATTATTCGGAGCGTTAACAAAACACGTCTGATGCACGGAACTTTTTTTTTTCTTTTTTTAATTTCAATATACAACGCGAATGTTTAAAATGAACTGGGTACATAGTTTTTATCAAATAATCAACTCACAGCAGTGCTGGCCTGTTGATGTGGTAGGTGTGCCGCAATATTTTCAGCGGTCTTGTGCCTTTCGCGTTGTTCTATCTTCAATGTCAAGTACAATGTTCGGATGGGGAAGTATACTGCCTGTGGGTACAGTCGACCAACCTGGAACAATTTCGCGGTATGCTAATTGTAATAAAAAAAAAAGAAATATTCATAAAATTAAAATATAAGTAATTGAATTCAAGGACATTAATCAACCATGATGAAAGTTGGGCTAGACATATATTATATTTAATTATTTTCACTTAATAGTCAAGGGACAGTAGGCAACAGCGTCCGTCTTAAAACACCACCAAAGCCTAACTGCGGTTGCCAATCTATATGCCAAGCGTGGCAACTACTGGCAAAACCCCTTCAAAAAACAATTATATCATATTTGTTATTAGTTTTTGTCATTACTCAATCACACCACAACATAAAAACTAATGTGGATGAAATTTGAGTCAGTTGTCATCTAGTAAATACATTTCTATGGGAAAATTCACAATAAACGGTTTTGTATATTTTAAATTCCTACTAATATTATAAATGCAAAAATGAGTTTCTTTGAGTGTTTATTACAACTCAGTGCCTGAAGCAACAACTATGAAATCTGATATATAGGATACATACTATATAGGACAAAACATATATTTTGTTCCAATCAGTAAACACATCTCAATAAAGAGAACAAACAGTACAAGAATGAAATTTATCTTGTAAAGAATACGTCAGAAGTTTTTAAATTGCTTGGGGTGGGGTGTGCACGAGGAGAGGAGAGGGAGGAGGGTTGGGCCAATTAACATAACTAAAATTGGGTCCTAACGAAATATGTTTTGTAAAATATTTGAAAAACCCAGATCTGTAAGTAGATACGTACATGACTAAGCAGATTAAGTATAACGTTCCCATCGTACTGCACAAGGCAGGCAAGTAGCTGCGGGATCCAGGGCAGCCACTGGACGGGCGGCACGCCCACAGAATACTTATCTAACGCCTCCGCCAGCTTGTTATCTGTGTCATAGCTCAGCATCCACAGGACCTGCAATATTATTTGACAAAATTAGTTTTATATACTATTAAGAAGGCAAAATAGAAAGAGGACCTTTAGGTGGAAAGAGACTATCGTCGCCCATGAACACCTGCAACATGACAGGAGTTGAGTGTCCGTTGCTTTTAAATGTTTATAGGCACGTTTTGTGAAAAGACTTATATTATATTGTAAGAAAATAACTGAAGAAGGGAGATCATTCGGCAATCCAGATATACGAGGCAGAAATGACTGCGAGCGCAACTGCGTAATCTTCAGCTTCCTCAGTGAGGGAGGAAGCGTGGGTAGCAGTCCGAGGCGCGTTGCCTCTCTTTGCTGGTATCACCGCCGTGCACTAAATAATGCACGGGTCATTGGAAGGGTGTGCATAAATGAACGAAATACATGGACAATGGTAGTGTGCCCCACACCTAAGAAATGTCTGTATAACAAATAGTCATTGTGTACACAAACACATATAAGTTCCCTCTGTCATTGCGCATTTTTGTAAAGATATTGACACATGTCAATATCAACTACCGTTATAATAGTTAACTAATAAATTAATATTGTAATAGGTATGCTACTGTATGCCATACTGTATTGCAATCCTTTATATCGGCTTCATTCACATATCTTCTACACTTTGGACTTTTACTATAACTTTGGGGTTGCCTGACAAATTTCCGAATTAATACGGACTACCCCAAAGTTATCAAGGAACTAAAGCCGATATAAATACTTAGTGTTAAAATCTGTTAAGTTTATTAAGAAACAAAATTAATACCTTAGCACAATATTTACGAGACTTGGACTCGTTCTGATGTCGACAAGCATGTAGGAAGCATGTCATTGCGGACACGCCGATGGTGATCTGGCGCGGCTCTCGTATGAATATCTGCTCTAGATAGTCGCCCCAGAGTGCCCAAGCCTTTACCAATGTATCATGAAGCTGAACAGCCGCCGCGAAAGCTTTGTTGGCATCCTCTGAACGTCCCAATTGCGCTAAAAGTAGTCCCTTAAACGCGTAAAACTCAGCAGTCATCTCCTTTGTGAAGTACTTAAAGTTGGTAGATTCTATCATGTCTAAACCTTCTTGTAATTCTTCTTTTCCCTCCGTCCAGGACATCTGAATGTGGCACTTGACTTGCTGTCTTATCTTTTGGAAGCAGTCCACTATAGGAACGCTGGGTATCGTATAAATGCGATGCAAAGAGTCTAGGCAAACGCCTGATAAGTTATGTTTCCTTGCAATCTTTGCAAAATGTATTATGGCCTAGAATAAAAAATATTGATAATTATGCATATAACTTATTTCTTTCTAAGAATACAAAATATTATCTCTGAATATAATATGGAAATCTCAAAAATATTACCTATATAAATTTACTATAAACAAAATACAACATATATTATATTAATATGTATCTAATAATAATATAGGTGTAATGAATATAATAAATAAAAAAATCAATTATGAAGAGTCAATTTTAAAGAAACACAAAAGACGCACAAACATTTACATCCTATATTTTCTTTCTTTTTTAATTTTGTTTACTGTTTTTTTTTTTTTTTTGTGCAGCAAGATATGACTATAATGAATATCTCTTTTTAATTTTTTTAAGTTACCTGAGCACTAGCATGCACGCCGAGCATGCTGGGGTGCGAGGCATGCTCGGTCTGCGAGTCGTAGTGAGATGCAATGAACTGGTAGTGGTGTTGTCGCCACGTGAAGATCGCTCCCCAGTGCGACAGCGGGTCGGCAACTACGGGCAACCGATTCCGCCACGTCTTCACTATGGCCTTCATATCGTGCAGCGACGTCGGCCGGCTGTGTAGCAGACCCTGTCGCACCAAGTTGTTTACCATGATTCATTATATTCTTTTTGGAATAATTATAAAAGTAGCTGCATTGCTTGGTTAAGTTTCAATATAGTGTTTGTGCGGTATATGTGTAGTATTATAGATACAATTTAAAAAGTTAAAATTCTTCACACGGAGAAAAAAATGATAAATCTTTTCCATGCAATTTTTTAATAGAGAGGAGTGAATACAAACAATAAAGAATATACATTACTTGCGGCGTTTCTAAAATCTAACAATGACTTTATAGAGCATAACCATGTGGTGAATATTGAACTTAAAAAGGGTGCATATAAAGTATATGTGAGGTGTGTTACATTCGAGGTCCATATGGACAATATAAGGGGGTCTGAATGAGACATATGTAGGTGGCTTTTGGAGGTATATACTCACGTCTACCCCCAAATGCCACATGCATATGGAGTAGGTAAATGGGATGCATATACTATGTGAGCTGTATAAGGTGTGTACATGTTTGGTGTATTTTTTTTTATACAACTTAGAATGGCAAACAAGCTGACGGCCCACCTGATGGAAAGGGGTAACCGTCGCCTATAGACATGAGCAGTAGCATGGACACAACAGAGTATACTGTTTCGCCCATGATACCCTCTATGCGTTGCCAATCCCGAGGACTCAGGTGTTATTCCTCCGTACCCAGTAAATTCACGCCATATCCCACCCTTCAAACCGAAACACAGCCATGCAAACACAACTGCTTTACGGTTGAAACACGTAAGGAACAGAGGTACCCAAGCAATCGACTTTTGTACAAAGTCTCCCTCTGGTACATGGGGAATATATCGTCATAGTGGTAGAATACTGACGGATCTGACAAATATTACATATATAGATCCGTCAGTATTCTACGACTATGACGATATGATGAGGTGCAATAGGTGAGATGCCTATGGTATTCACGTGAGATGTGTGGTGGCACGTGGTAGTGCGTGATAGGGCATGGTACTGACGGTGTGTATCTGCGCGGCCTCGCTGAGCTCCATCAGCTGGTGTGCGGCGCGCAGCAGCGGCAGGTGCGCGTGCGAGACTAGGCGCGGCAGGCGACGCCACTCGCGCAGACACTGCGCGGCGGCCGCCTCCGCGTGCCGCTCCACGCCACCCAGCTGCTGCTCGCCGCCCGCGCAGATGCACAGGTAGCCGCGGTACAGGTTCACCAGCCACGCTGACACATCACATATTAAAATCTACTCATTTATATGCCAGCTCTAACCGGCAGCTCTACTCGAGTCGATTAAAATATATCTAATATATGTTAATTTAAAATATCGTCTATCAGTAAATGTGGGTAGGATGAGGCCGGCGCTTGCATCGCAGCCTCGCCTCGCACTGAAGGCGACTTACAGATCAAATTGAAAGAATTGTCAGAAACGATAAACAATAAATTTATTAAATTCCCGTCATCCAGTTATATCATGTGATATTACTACTATAATTATTAATATTCAAAATATATTTATATATGTATAGACTATTTCAATAGAATATAATGAAAATGTAAACTAAAGAATAATTATCCGCTCATAAGATAATGGTCTGCTAATATACAATAGGAGTACGTATAAAAATTCAATTAATAATTAATTAATTTCAATTAATAATAATCAATTATTGATTGAATGTTTGGATTTATTACAAAATTTTAATATTAAAATCAATTCAGTCATTGTCTTGTAGCGAAACACCAAATAAACAGACAGACCGATTATGATTATACCTAACTAAAATTAAACTGGTCACTTTATTTGATGGGCAAAGGCTATCCATTAAATAGTAAAAACGTATTACTATATTTAGCTTTATTTACTAAATAAAAATCTTACCTAATTCTCGAGGACAGTTGTATTCAACTTCAGCTAGTGCTTCCTTCATTGTTGGCCAGTTGGGATTCCGCCAAGAACTTTCCAAAACAAGGAACGGATCCCGTGAATTTCTACCTAATCCCAATTCGAGTAACGAATCCCACTGATTCAATTCCTTTGCACATTTGAGCCAATGTTGTGTCCAGAGATTAACTTCCTTATGCATGTTATATGTTGCAGTAGCTGCATAATCTTGTTTTAGCTTGGTCATAGCGACGTCGTAGGCAGCCTGCATTTAATATTACTTTTAATAATTTACTAGAAGCGTTACAAAGAATAAAAAAAACTTGTACGTATCTAAAATACTGTCTACAGAGGTCATATTGTTTGAAATTTCCTTGTTTATTTTTATACTTTTTACTTCTTGATAAATGATACAAATTTTTAACACTAAATGAAGTTGTAATCCACTGTATGAGATAAAAACTTGTTAATATTATTTTGAAATGTGAAAATCCAAGAAAATAAATACACACATGGAATAGTTAACTAAAATTACTACAGTGTGTTTACAGATTGTTAATATTCTTACTTGGGCTTGCTCGAAGAAGCCTTGCTGTTCGTAAGCAATAGCTATGTTCGTTTCGCGATATCGCGCATGCTTTTGCCATAAGCCCGACCACATGTCCTCTTCTTGTAACAGTTCATACATGTCACTCAATGAATCTAAAACTTCCTGTAAACGATTAACAATATACTAAAGCAGATGAATATATTTTCAACAATTCTATATCTAGTTTGCAATGTAAACAAAGTTATACGTATATATAATACTAATGTACGCAATTGTTATACAGTAGGATCTCGATTATCCATACCCGCACTTATCCGAGTGCCTCTCCCCTCCCACTACCTCTCCCTCCAGGTAATGCTGTGCATTGTTGTATTATTTACTTTAGATATCAAGAATATTTGAAGCAGTTGTATTTGCATGGCTGTGTTTCGGTTTGAGGGGTGGGATATGTCAGTGAATTTACAGGGTACAGAGGAATAACATCTGAGTCCTCAGGAATGGCAACACGTGGGGGGTATCATGGGCGAAACAGTATACTCTGTTATGACCATGGTACTGCTCATATCCTATACGGCTACAACTTTCCATCGCGTAGGCCGTCAGTTTGCTTGCCATTCTGTGTTGCATAAAAAAAATCACTCAGTGTCTAATTAAATTCGCAGTATTGTGTTATTCACTTTAGTTGCCGCACTGCTACTTTGTTACATACCGTTGTAGTAGAAATGTCCAATTCATAGTCATATATCTCTGCAAGTTCTCGATGGGCGCGTCCGCAGTTCTGATCAATGGCCATCTGCTCGAGGTTCAACGTCATACGATGCCACAAATTGTGTGTCTTACCTAGATACCTCATCATCGGTCTGGTGACAAAATAGAAATCTTACTTTAAGTGGGAATTAAGTGAATCTATCACTAAAAATATAGATTTTGATCGTAAAAATCTTTTAGAAAAATTCTCAAACAAAATATAAAGTCGGCGTAAAGTTTTTAGTTGTAAATTTATATGCAATGTATTCAGTGATTAACATTTAAATACCTAGTAGAGCGCAAATTAATAATTCATCAGAAACATTAAAAATTGTTATTTTTAAACAGTGATAGATAATTAAGACGTTATCACAATACAGTAAACTAAAGTTATGAACGCTATTGTGAGGGTTGGTCTTATTAAAAAAAGTGTGTTTAACGTCTGTTTATATCCAAATAAAGAAAGTATATGTTATTAAAAATAAAAAGTGTTTAAAAGTAATAACATTTATTATTCTATAGATTTTGGCGCGTAAAATTACAAATAAACATTACAAAACAGTTTTGTTAAACAGCGCGTTTGCTACTTTTAGTGTTTTAAATATTTGTTTTATAGTATGACCGTTTCTTTAAATTACACACAAATTCAAGCAAATTACATATTCAAGTCTGTAACTTAAAAGCTTATATACTTACGGTTTCATGTAGACGGGCGGGTTGCATCGCGCAAGTCCTTCAATAAACGTGTTAAGTGCGCTGAGCGGCTGATCGCGTTGGATCACATGAATACCCGATATTATGAATGGCAAAACTTCGTTCATTACCGTCTGTGAACAACATTTATTTATTTAATATAGCACTAACACAATTTTTATTCATATCAGCCATTAACTGTATACTGTTAAACATAGGAATCACCCACAAGAGGGGTTTTGCTAGTAATTGCCACTCTCGTCAGGCGGGTTGGCAACCGCAGTTAGGCATTTGGTAATGTTTTAAGAGAGATGCTGCTGCCCATCCCTCGATCTTTATTTTCTTTTAATCGCATATAATTCCATAGGTATCGCCTTTGCGATCCTATTTTTATAGTGCCTAGATGTGGTGAAAGGCTTGAAGTTTGACGTGTTTGTATAGAACGGAGTCCGTGTGGTCCCGGCATAGAATAGACCACCCCTTTCTTCCCCGTGGGTGTCGTAAGAGGTGACTAAAGGAGGATGAGAGATAAACAGTAGCGTCCCTCTTTTAACATCTCCAAAGCCTAACTGCGGTTGCCAATCCGCCTGCCGAGCGTAGCAATTACTGGCAAAACCCACCAAGGGGGAGACTTATGTTCAGCAGGGGACAGTAAAAGGCTAGTTAGGTGTGTGGTGGCATAGCTACCGCGAGCTGCGGCTCCTCGAGCGCGGCCCAGAGGCGCGGGAAGAGGCGCAGCCAGACGTGGTGCGCGAGGCCGTCGTCCATGTGGCACAGCTGCGCCGCCGCCACCACCAGCGACGACGCGCGCACGCGCCGCGCCTCGCGCACGAATTCCGACTGCTTCGCCACGATCTGGTTCAGCAGCCGCTGCCTGCAACCGCACACATACATTTACAAACAAACACACACACACACTAGAGGGAGGCTTTGTACAAAAGTCGATTGCTTGGGTACCTCTGTCCCATTCGTGTTTCAACCGTGAAGCAGTTGTGTTTGCATGGCTGTGTTTCGGTTTGAAGGGTGGGATATGGTGTGAATTTACTGGGTACATAAGAATAACACCTGAGTCCTCATGAAGGACAACGCATGGGGGATATCATGGGCGAAACAGTATACTCTGTTATGTCCATGGTACTGCTCATGTCTATAGGCGACGGTTACCACTTTCCATCAGGTGGGCCGTCAGCTTATTTGCCATTCTAAGTTGTATAAAAGAAAAGACACTCTTGTGAGTGTCTTTTCTTTTATACAACTTAGAATGGTTTTAAGGTTTTAAAACAAACGTGGAGGCACGTTTAAATAGTCTACCTGCAGTTGGACAACTTATTCGTGTCGGCGACAAACGTGATTCACCTATTTGATTTCATATACCAACCCAGACTTAATAACTGTCAACATAAGTTTTGAATACTTTACACGGTAGTTTAAGGTATTACCAGCTGTCGTATTTTATCAATGCTTGTAATGTCAATTTGCAGTACAACTCCGTTTGATCCGTGTTACAGTCAGGTTGTAAGCGATCATTATACTTGTAAACCCCCAAAAATGTCAATAACCTGGCTTTGGTAACTGTCAGTTTTAAAATACGCTTTTTATTTCAAATATATTTGTCTTCACAACTTTGATTTTTTTGGTCAACATAAAAAATAAGATATTATCATCAACAAAAATTTGATTAAAAAAACATTAAATCCATTCAAAATTAACGCAATGAGTCTTCAAAAAGTTACAAACGAATGAAGAGCCAAGAATAAAAATAGTAAGTATAATAAAATATAACCATGGTTTGTTATATGAAGATGCATATTTTCAATATTAACATATGAGACACATTACTCTGAAATAACTTACCTGTTCGGAACAGTCTTGGTGGGATCATCCTTTTGATTTGTGCTAGAGTCTAAATCCATGTCGAGGACATCCTCCTTATCGGGATCCAGGGAATCACTAAATCCGTCCGAGGACTCCTCCTTAACGGAGCTGTATATTACGAACGACTTGCGCTCCTCGCTGTCCGCGCTGTTGATCACGGACGCTATGTTCGGTAGCAGATACTTCGAGTTCGATAGACGTATCTGTGTGTCTAATTAAAAATACAGTTATTAGTAAGATTATGAACAAAACAATATTTATGACACAATATATTTTAAATGGTTTAAATCATAATTTTAGTTTCAAAATTTTAAAAGATTATATATAAAGAAAGAGAAAGTAGAATACCAAAGGTCTCTATTTTATGTACATCTCATGTTTTGTCTACTTACATGTGTCTTGTACATACAGTGTATATACTCGTATATTTTTTTTAAAATTTGATTTTTACCCTAATACATTCAACATTCTATTAAACCGCAATAGGTCATTATCCTTTACAGCTATAGCCACTAGAAACTAGTAAAAAAAATTGTCCTAAAACCTATTACTTACTTGGGACACATGTGACAAGTAGTAATTCGAGACTTTGCTTAATCCAATAATGCTGGCCCATATTCTCCCAATTCTGGGAACAAACGATATATAGGAAACGGTCGAAAACCCTCTTTCTAATGCTCTGGTCGAACACTTCGAAGAACTTGGCGCGGATGTGCGGCTGAGGGCACCGCAGTCCGGCCAGGAACGCCGGCTCCAGTTTTGACGACAGTTCCGTCATTTTAAGGTGGTCGTCTCTGTTTAAACATAAATTTCGATATAGATACAATGTATACTATTTTATACCTATACGAGAACTATTTTGTCAGAAAGATAAATAGAATGAATATTGTATCTATTCGTAAAATTATTAGCTATTATAAGTGGCAAAAATTTATATAATTAATTAGTAATTATCTGTCTCAGCTTCGTATAATTTACTCGTGCAACATGCAGCGAAGACCCAAACATACAAACCTATCATTAAAAAAAAACTAAATAACAAATGACCTGTACCAAAATCCTTTAAGTGGTTTAAAAGTAGTAAACAGAAAACTTGACAAAACAGACGTGTCTTTGTTTTATAATATTATGAGATTAATTTTGATTCTTTTAAGAAAGTTTCAATAGCTTCCAAGCTTGGCAGGCGGATTGGCAACCGCAGGGCTTTAGAGATGTTTTAAAAGGGATGTAGCTGCCCATTCCTCACCCTCCCTTAGTCGCCTCTTACATCACCCACGGGAAAGAAAGTGGTGGCCTATTTTATACCGGGACCGCACGACTACAATAATTATTATCCAGTAAAAATTTTATTAAAATAAATGTAAAGAAGCTTATGGTTGGGCTAAATTTTGTTCAGAATTAGACATGCAGTCATCACCCGTAGATATGTACCAACCAAGTATTCCCAACACATCCACTGGATACTTGGAACAAGAGATAAGCATAGCCGAGTTGAACAATTCACTAAAGCGTAAAGACACATCACCTGGAATGGATAATATATCATACTCCATGCTATATAATCTACCGCTATCTGGAAAATTTGTGCTGCTTCATATATATAATCAGATATTACAGACCGGCACAGTCCCTCACCAATGGCGAGATATAAGTATAATACCAATCTTGAAGCCAGGCCGCAATCCTGACCATCCTTCGTCATTACGGCCTATATCCTTAATGGTCTGTCCTTGCAAAATATTTCACTTAATTCTAATGAAAAGGATGGAATGGTATGTAGAAAATAACTATCTTTTTCCACAATCTACAGTGGGATTCAAACGAGCACAATCTTGTTTAGACAACCTTACCAGACTAGTAAATGATATTCAGATTGGATTTACGAATAATAAGTCAACTATTGCGTGTTTTATAGATATTGATAATGCTTATAATAATGTAAACATTCGTTCCATGATAATAATATTGGAAAGAATCGGGATTGGCAACAAAATTGGTAAATATCTATGGAATTTCCTATCTAGTAGACGTTTTAAAGTCATAGCAAATGAAAGTAATGAAGGCCTCGTACGTTATACAGGAAACGGTCTCGCGCACGGAGATCCATTATCGCCACTGCTTTTCAATATTATTACTATGGAAATGAGTAAAAGTATTGACAAAGTAACTGTTAGCCAATATACTGATGACTTTGTACTGTATAAAACCAGTGAGAATAAGGAGATTCATAATACCGAAAACGATATCAAAGACAGTCTCGCACAAGCGACCAGTTACTTAGAAAGGATAGGTTTGTGGTTGTCTGAATCAAAAAGCAATGTATGTATTTTTAGTAGATCTCGAAAGACATCTAATATTACCATTGATATTAATGGAAAGCCTCTTCAGTTATTAAAAAAAGTTAAATATCTAGGTACACACATAAATGAAATATGTGAAAAAAGGTACAAATTATTGAACATTCTAAAGGTGCTTGCAGGAAACTCATGGGGGGTTCATCCAATACATCTGCGTAAACTTTACTTCTCGCTCATTAGAAGCCGTATAGATTATGCTAGCTTTCTGTATGCAACTGGCGCCAAAACCCATCTTAATAAATTAAACATTGTACAGAATAAGGCTTTAAGAATATGTGGCAGCTTTATTAAAAGCACTCCCATTCATGTAATGGAGACCGAACATGCTCTCCCTCCTCTGTTTGTGCGTAGGCATTGGCTGGGGTACAAATTTTGGTTGAGAGTGGCTTCTGTCTCCAATAACCAAACCATGCAATCGGTAGTGAACTTATCATCAAATAACTGTAACTACTGATATAGTAAAACAAAGCCTATCTTAATTGATGTACACAAAAGCCTCAAAGAAGAGAATATCCACAGAAGTCCTTTACTTGATATGTATAGTTTAAATAACTCGGTTACATCCATTGATGTGAAGTCCTGTTTGTATTTAGATGTTAAAGATGTCAACAATGCAAAACGTAATATTAATAGTTCTGTTTTGAAATATCTCACTATGTATATGTTAAAGACGGACTATCAGGAATTTCATAAAATATATACAGATGGATCAAAAGATTCTCGAGGTGTAGGGGCGGCACTATTTGATTCGAAGTTTGGAAAAACTATGTTGTGGAAACTTAATAAAAATATCTATATAATGAGAGCTGTATTGATAGCAATTGCTAAAGCATTGGCATACGCTGTCACCTTAAATATATAAAAAATTGTTATACTGACCGATTCAAAGAGTGCCCTCCATCACTTGGCTCGGTGTGTCTCGGGTTCACGAGGTATGCCGATAGCCTATGAGGCCTTAAAGCTGGTATGTATCTTACAACAGAGAAATGTAGCCGTAACACTTAAATGGATATCATCACATATAAGAGTGCCAGGGAATGAAACAGTAGATCAGGCAGCCAAACAGGCTATTGAGGAACAGAAATTGTTTGTAACTCTTATGCAAATGAATTCATTTGTAGAATTAAGAGTGATTGTGTCACGAAATGGAGAAACCACTTTGAAAACTGTTCAGGTTCAAAGGGGATATGGTATAAAACTATACAGCAAATGCCTTCATTAATACCCTGGTTTCAAACAACAAGTCTCAAGATCGTATTTGGTGATAGCATTCAGGATGCGATCTGGTCATGTTTCACTCAACAAATTTTATCATCTTATAAGAATGAATCAATCACCAAATTGTATGTATTGTGACAAAGTGGAAGATCTTCTACATTTGCTGGTGGAATGTGGCCGGAATTGTAACCTGAAACAGCGGAATCTGGGTGATATGCCATTATATAACGGTAATGTCAATTTAATACTGGATCAACCTGGCTGTCGCAATGCAAAACGGCTATATCTGTGGGTAAAGGTGTCCCTGACGGACTGACATACTGACTTTCAGACAATCCCTATGAGGCTGGCATAGTCACTCCGGTGTACTAAAGCCTCAACAATAATTTGAATAAAAAAAAAAATAAAAAAAAGCTTATATTAATTGTACCTGTAAACATAATTAACAATGTCGAGGAAGTGTCCGTTCAGCTCGAGGTCGTCGGGGAATCGTTTCTCCACGTACTGCATGAGTTTGACTAGCAGGATAGATTTCTCCCGCAGTGAGGGTGCAGTTCCAACACCCGCTGCCGCACTCCCGCTACCGCCTGCGCCACTTGTACCCCTCCACTTTACCCATTCTTCGACCAAACGAATTATTGCCCTCATCACCTGTAGCCAAATGAATATAATAGTATTCGAAAGATATATCAAGAGATAAACAGGATAGTTGGTATTTTATCTACAATATTCGGAAGTGTAGGCGACAAAGGAAACCAGGAAAGGAAATTGGAAATATACATATGTATATTGGTCAATGGAACTTAAAAGACCAGGACCCCCAGGACCCTTAAGGGAAGTGTATCAATTTCAAATTTGGTAAATAATAATCTTATATAAAGCTATAAATAAAATATGTGGTCTGTATTCCACAGGAAGTATGAAACATCGTATGCTTGTAACATGTTGGACGCGATGATTTAATTCGCCGCCAACATCTGAATAGTCACAAACGAACTATGTTATACTACTATACTTTTTTCTTTTAAAATTGAAGTACAAGCATTTCACAATAGCTTTCTTATGCTAAGCAATGTAGCAAGAATAGACAACGTGAAAAATATATTTTATTTACATTTTATATAATCTTTGAATAAGCTTAGAAATTGCCCTCTATGTTTTTAACTACTATAGTTCTAAGTTACTTAAAATTAGGTATATTTAAACAGTTTAAAATACCTAATACTTTCTGTGTACATACCTTAGCATCAGTAGTTTTTTCAATAAGACCGACTAGAATAGTCCCAATGAATGTTTTTCTCGTATCTACTTGCATAACAGGGACTCGAGCTTTGAGTAAATCAATTGCCATAATCTGAAATAAAAGAATAAAATTATACAACTTATAAAGTATACTTTATGTTTATTAATATAATTGTTTCGTTTCTGCCTATTTATTAAATAAAATGAGGATGGTGCTATTTTACCAGTGGTGAAACAACTAAAGTTGAAAAACTTTGGTGTACCAAATTTAGTTCAAAGCTGATTTTAAGTGAATTTGACATAATCTTCATATCAACGAATATGTTAAATGTCTAATAAATTTCTATTGGAAGTATTTCCTAGAATGAAACTCTTAATTTGTGTTGTAATTATGTTAAATTTAATAATCATATTTATGTAATTTACGTAGCGCCATCTGTTATCACTTTGAGAATAACTCTGCGCACGTCATATTGTATTTCGCTCTCTGATTTCCTGTCACTTGCGTTGCATGTCTAAAGTATGTAATAAAATAAAATATAAGAAATATTAAAAGTTCTCGTCTATTTTTCCATCCAACCATCTCAACAATTTGAATGAAATGAAATGAAAGCGACAACGTACAACAAATTACTGGCATCGAACTTCGCGGGGTCACTGGGCCCATAACCTACAGCTCGGATCGGCGAGATGTTCGTAATACAAAGGTGTAGTACTAACGAGCAAGTCTGCGATGGCGGCGTCGGGGGTGGGCGCGACGTGGTCGCGCGCCATGCGCTGCAGCACGCGCATGAGCGGCATGAGCAGGCGGTCCACGTAGGCGGCGCTGGCGGCGCAGCACGCCTTCAGCATCGTCAGCGGGCCCAGCAGCGCGCCCGCGCCGCCGCCCGCCGCGCACTTCTCGTACGCCGCCAGCCCCTCGAACGCGTACTTGCTCACCGACGCGTACAGCGTCTCGAGCTCCTCGTACTGCACCAGTATATATGTACATCACAACATATAGCATAGCATGCCTATCATTTTTACCCCTTTCAGACCCAAAATTTTTTTCTTTCAGATTAAATATATTTTCGTGTTTTGGAGCCAAGCCATCTGGCCGGCACGCACGAGACTACTGCCCCACCTAACCGCTAAAATTACTTCTTATTGGCTGGTTTAGAATCTCACTATCACGTTATTTCAGCTTCGTTCGTAAAAATGAATTGCGCGCGGTTTTAGAATTTTTTAAAGTTACAACTCACGCCCGTATCGTTCAGGTCTGAAAGGGTTACAGACTTTTTTTCTTAATATAATTAAGAAAAAAAAACAGTCAAACAACAAATTATTGCAAATCTTGTACATAAACTGAACTAGAAAAAAAAAAACTCATATAGCATAACCGATCCAATCTAGTAAGTGAATATAATTTAACTAAAGTTCTTCACTTACCTTGGAAGACTGGGCAGCTCCCGTCGGTTCAGTTGGAAATAGAGTGGTGAGCTTGGCCAGAAAGTTGTGTGTCAAGCGGACAATCTTGTGGTTTGAGGACGAGACGCAGGCAGCGAGGCCGCGCTGCAGCGGCTTAAGTGCGGCGAGGATCTGTTCGCGCCTCAACACGCCCAGTAGAAACACGAGCAGTTCTAGCGCTGTGCACGCATTAGCACATGCCGCCGCGTTCGTGTCCACGGTCGCAAAAAATACCTAACATAGAGAAAGTCAATTAAACACATGTCTTTCAGGCAAGCTTTTTGTGCAAAGACTGCGACAAACATACAGTCCACCTAGTCTACAATTATCAACGACAGAGATATCATCTGCACATCACCAACTTTGAAAAAACATTTTCAAATCCTTGAAATCAATGCTATAATTGTAGAGCCATTAAAGCATCAAAAGACAACAAATAACGGTTTGGTTAATTTTGGCAAACGTTCATAGGCTACAGTGACCGTGTAAAGACACAGACAGGCTGTATGCGTATTCGCTATTATAATTTTATTAATAAATAAATAAATAAATTCCCTTTCACGTTTATTAAACACCTAAATATGACTCACTTTGTCTAGCCAAGCAAGTTTAAGTTCGCAAAGGTGTGGCCACACGTCGGGCTTGAGCGCCGCCTTCAGGAGCAAGACGCATCGCCTCGATAGCTGCTCGCCGGGGGAACCTCCCGTGCCGCTGCCTGCCACGCTACCTTCATTCACCTATAAAACGAATTCAAATTTAAACTGTTTTTAAGTTAAAACAAGAATTGAGAACGGAATAATAAAGATCAATCGTTCTTTTAAATAACTTACTTTCAAAATATTTGTTGTTACGTATTTAAAAAAAAGATTCACATATAACTTTTCGATGATATTAAGTTTCATTTTGATACGCCACGTAGTTTATTTAATTGGTTTAACATTTACACGTACAAAAGTAGCAGACAAAAGCTGGTAAAACGAAATAACACATAAGGAAAAAAATATACAAAATACAAGGAGCGCCACAATACATAAAGACAAACCTGACAAGCCAATCGGAGCAGCAGGTTAACGACGACGTCGACGTGGTGTCGCTCCAGTGGCTTGGCGGCATCTGGTTCGAGCCGTGATGTGCTGGCCTGTGGACTGGCCCACCCAGTATTCAACGCCTTTCGTGCCTCTCCTGCGCTCAAACTGTCCTCCGAGATACGCTTAGTCGCCCCACTCGGGGATGTAGCAACCTGTAAAAAACATATTCATAAATCAAGCATAGATTTTGTATAAAGGGTATAATGAACAAGACAGTATTTATGGTATGTCCATGGTACTGTTCATGTCTGTAGGCGACGGTTACCACTTTCTATGAGATGGGCCAACAGCTTGTTTGCCATTCTAAGTTAAATAAAAAAAATAATCAAACCGCTTATGGATATTAATAATTTATTAGATGGATATTACATAGGTAAAGCAGCTTGACATGTTTATAATCATAATTCTCAAGAATGGCAACTCATGACAAGTACCATAATAGTACATTGTATAAGATCTGTGGCGCTGTCCATTTTAACACTTTCTATCAGAAGGCCAGTTTCTTTTTCCGACATAATCTCTAAATAGAGATTCGTATCCTTTCTCTATTAACATCTGCAAATACAGCTAATTCTTCTAACATATTTTGAACCAATGATCCATCCTCGCTTCCCATGGATAGAAAGATAGAAGAATAAGATTTTTTTTAAATACAGCCCATGTTAATTACAATGTAGCTTCCTAATTGTAAATGTGAAAGAATTTTTTCAATCGATTAAATATTTCTTGAGTTGACCCATTACAATGCAAAAATATATTTTTTTTAACTAATTAAGTAAAATCAAAAAGAATTTGTTGCCTTTTTAAAGTGGATGTTTTATTCTAAATAATAATACATATTTGTAAATGACAACTAACTTGAATTTGCATAAAAACCAAACATTTATTTTGCTATTTGTCGTGGTTCGAATCGACATTATTCGTCTATAATGCTCAAGACCACTCGAAGCAACTCAATTAACTCATCATAAGTTAAGATTTCTAATCGACATACAATCATCAGAATAACATAAATTGATTTTCGCTCGATGTTTGAATATTTAAATTCGAATTTTTTCTAGAATTCGAATGCACGAGAATCAGCCACTATGTGGGCCGTCAGCTTGTTTGCCAATGATACTTATAGTATCAATAAACTCTTTTTTTCTGACTCATATTTGACTGGACACATTATCATCACGTCTCATACACAATCTATCCAACTATTGTGTAATAATATATTTAATATAAATTGTTTTATAAACTTATTTACTAGTTACATAAGGCGTGTTATAAATGGAAGTCTCTTTTACATATCATATGTCGCTGATGAGAGATAACAACAAAACATCATCACATTTGTGGTATAATAAAAAACTTACAACGGTATCGTCGTGGGTATGATCTCGTATGCGCTGTAGCTCCCATTTAAGCGCAACCTCCGCGAGGTCGACAGCGAGGCGGCGATGCTCAAGGGAAGCTGACACTGAGAATCCGAGCCGCTGCATAGCGGCCACCATGTGTCCCACCAGTGCGTGGCGAACCGGGTAGTATACCTATACGGAGCGACAATTAATAACGCTGCTAATGACACTACGTGTAACAATATGTATCATAAAAGTGTCAAATCAATTTGCATAATAAAATACCAAATTCAAATAAAATAGCGAATTCTATATTGATATGCTAAATAATTCATACTGTAATATTCAAACACGATAAAACCTTCTAAACAATTCATAAATCAGGCATTTTTTTTTAATGGGTGAAAATGGTATGGTAACTCCGCCTGCGCTAACGGGATACGCTGGCGGAGCACCAGTGAAGGGTGATAGATGAGAATGAACATAAATCAGGCTTAGGTCACCAACTTTTTTTATTTACTTCGATTTCATTTTTAACTTTGTATTACTGTTTGTTTTAATTTTTACTTACGTTTTTATGAGATCCAAAAAAAAATGGGAATTTGAAATTGTATTAAAAATTGAAATAGCTCGCCCATTACAACTTACAACAACGTATACATTTACTCTATTTTTTTTATAAATAAAAATGCTTAAGATAGTCTATAACTGTGGAATATCTAAGAAATCAATATCAATTACCCAATACACACCTTGTAATGTCTGACGACGAGTTGTAATATGTGAAACAGCTGCTGCACTGAATGTCCATCCTCGACAATAATTTTCTTAGTCCAGTGCGTGAGCATAGTGTTCCCGTCCTCCATGCGTTGCGGCATCGCCGGCGTGAGAATCTCTAGCGCCTGCCGCACCACCAGCCTTGCCTCCACCGCATGCGCTTTCAGCAGGCTGTGGAATACTGTTCACCAAACAAACCAACCATCATTATGGACTATTTAAGTTTAAAATGACAATGTAAGCATACGAACAATTGACCCGACCATAGAACAATCTACTAATGTCAAAATGTAGTACAAATCAAAAATCGTTAACTATTTCGATTTATTCTTCATTTCACTTAGGCAGCATTTGTTATAACTTGATTACCTTTCTATTTAAACTAACTATACACCTCCCCATTGCCTACAATATTGACTGCATAGACAAGGGACATTTTGTCTATTAACAATATGTCTCCATACATTTGTACGATTTTCGCAGACTTAAATCTGATGAGAGAAAATCCTAAGTGTAAATTTTAGTCCAATTATAATATTATAAAACCCTTAAATAGTGTATCGTCTCAATAGATCTAAATGGAATCGTCCTTAACATTCTATTGCATCTTGGTATCAAATATTAATGTTTTTTAAACATAAAAATATCGTGGCCCCAAAATTATTATCATGATTCCTTGCGACTCTCAACATACTAAAATAGACTCTCAATTTCTCTGTCCTAACTTTTTGTTATCAATTTTAAATTTAAACAAATCCATAACAAACCTTGAAGGACGATTCGCTTGTGTATTGCAAATTTTGCAATGATGTGACTTAATAGCAAGTGACCATGATACCTGTAAATGAAAAAAAGACTTAATATTACCACCAAACTACTTCGGGAATTTGTCATTTGCACAATGTATCTTATTGATACATAGATAGACTTCCAAAATAAGTATAAAAAAAAAATCAATCATAACTAACATAAAAAACTATGTTCTAAGCAACATACATACTAAGAAATTATTATAAATATGTATTTGATATGTTAACTTTCTAACCAATACACTGTCTTACCTAGTAGCAGGATCAACATAATTTTTCCCCAGTAAACAAGGCCAGGCGAAAGTCATAAGCCGGCGCAGTTTGTTCCCTTGTTTTTTATTGTTCGCATCATGTATGTGAGCAGAGGCTTGCTCCAATAACAGACATGCGAATTGAAGTAGTGATATGCGAACAGCATCCGAACAAGCGAACGGGTTCTCAGGGTCAATTACCTGAATAAAAATACATTATCATAAAATATTCTTTATCACTACATATAAAACAAAATTGTTTCCCGCCGTCAGTATGTTCAGATATTTTAAACTGCGCAACAGATTTTAATGTGGTCTTTCATCAATTGATGCAGTGATTCAAGAGGAAGATTTATATGTATATTTTAATACTGTTTTATGTTAATTTGTTAAAATACGAAGATCATTGTTTGATCTCGAAAAAAAAAAAGAAGTAGACAGAACTTTCATTAAAAATGCTGAAATATAACATAATAATGTATAATGGAATTGTTACTCTTTATTAGGACTACAAAAAGTTTGCATTGGCATTCTATATGTTTAAAAAAATATAAAAAATATACAAGTTATGTGAAATTTGGAAAGATATTTAGATGGACACAACAATAATATTTTTATAATATAGTAGTATTAGTAATTGCAATTGTCATCGAATTATATATATATATATATATATATATATATATAAAAAGATTTATTTGTGATCTTTACCTATCCTATGATATCCTATTAATTGTAACTTACATTGTTGATGAATACTGAAACAACATTGTCTGGGTTATCCTGATAAGGTGCCGGCGGTCCGCCAACAATCTTCTGTCCTTTCTCGAAGCTAACCGCGAAACATGGTATCAATATCATTTGCAGTACTTTGGCTTTCAGATCCTGCGACATGGTATCACTAGAGAAATGCTCCACAAAGCGAAAGAACGCCGAGCGTTTCCATTCAACAGTATAGTTTTGAGCTACTGTGTTCTCAAGGAAATCTCGAAGAAACTAAAAAAAAAATTATTATTAATATTTTCAATGTAATTATACCAGAAGGAGACTTTGTACAAAATTCGATTGCTTGGGTACCTCTGTCCCATTCGTGTTTCAACCGTGAAGCAGTTGTGTTTGCATGGCTGTGTTTCAGTTTGAAGGGTGGGATATAGCGTGAATTTATTGGGTACAGAGAAATAATATCCGAGTCCTCAGGAATGGCAACGCATGGGGGGTATCATGAGCGAAACAGTATACTCTGTTAATGTCCATAGTACTGCTCATGTCTATAGGCGACGGTTACCACTTTCCATTAGGTGGGCCGTCAGCTTGTTTGGCATTCTAAGTTGTAAAAAAAAAATAATACACTTAATAAATGGTCATGATCCTTTCAAAATTATGGTCCACATAGAGATTTTATGAGTTTTATATTTAAAAAAATTAGAAATATTTCATGCCAAGCTGCTAGAATAAAATCCGATTTAAGTTAAACCACATGCTCTAAATAAAATATACTGAATGATAAATTCGAAAGGAGCGTACAAAGACTAGTTAGCTTAATGGTAAGAGCACTTTCCTATCTCTTCAATACCAGAAATCAAGTATCGATGAGTGTATGTGGTTTGCAAAATTAATATTACTTACTTGGAAGTCTGGTATAAACCGATCACACAGTGCTCGTAGCAACTGGAACAACAAATCAATATTGGAAGTATGATGGCAGAAATAATGTAACAAAATCTTCACAATTAGTTTGGGCTCCTTCCAATGAGTGCAGTCTACATTCTCCACTTTTTTGTGTATTTCCTGAAACAATTATTTTAATTATTTATTACATAATTATATCCTTATACATAACACTGATAAAACAACTACTATTGCCCAGTTCTACCGTGTGCCTGAAAAATTGTCAGTAGGTATTTATTACCTAAATACACCTGTTTACAATCTTATTCGCAAGTATATGTTATAGAAGCTTTTCCAATATAGTTTGTGACTTGTTATAGTAAGGATATCTTTATCGCATAAAATGTTATGAATGCAAATACCATTTTAAATACATATATCTTACAATGATTGTACCAGCGTTTTATTTGATATTTTGGATAGTTAATTAATACATTAATTGCATGTGTGTGTACGTAAATGAGCTGGAGTGTGGTTTAGCATATATACCGGTTGCTGTTTCGGTTTCAAAAAGACCGACTGATGTATGTATGACTGACTGATATTTAGGAAATAATGTCGTAGTTTAAAATTTATGTTTTTATGCATTATTTCATTTCTGAGAGAAATTGGAAATTGATTTATTAGAAAAGGCATAACGTACTTCAAGGTTCTTTTTGTAAACGAGTTACTATAACTAATTATAGTAACTCTATATATTATTCCTAAGCATAGAATAATTTGTGTCAATAAATATTACGTTCAATACTTATCACACACCATACAAATTGATATCAATTATAATGACTACTGAAAAAATGAGCTGTATCAAATATTTTTTAAATAATTACACCCAACTTTAATTATAGCTAACACATCTAAAATTATTAATGTAGGTTTAAAAAAATATAAACTTACATGATACTGATCACTGCACCAAATACGTTTCAATAGCTCAATCAGATCATGCTGACTCGCAAGCCACTGGTTGTCAAATTTAATCAAGAGTGATATAACGCGGATGGCTTGGAATTGCATCTCGGCCTTATCGGCGAGGGGCAGACTGGCCGCAGCACCGCCGCTGTTAGCCGCCAACAATTGCATGAGGCGGGACTTTTTAGTCGTCTGCAGTGTTTCCCTGTACGCGGCGCCGGCCTCCGGGTGTTTTACTAGGAACACGAGAAATCTGCTCCACTGTTGGTCTTTAATATTATTATCACTCAAAATCAGATCCAGGGTTTCTTTAGGATACCTGTGAATAATATTTTACATATTAAATCATCATCATCATCTTCCTACCCTTATCCCAATTATTTGGGGTCGGCATAATATGGTTTTATCCATATTATAAAAAGATTTGGTTTTTAGTTTTACGACCGGCCACCTGCCTGACGTCAACCCTCTTTTACATATTAAATATTTTACGTATATCCGTTGTTGCAAAATATGTTCAAATCACATGCATGATAATGACACCAGCATCCACTGACTAACTCAGTCACAACCAATTTCCACTTCTATTATTTTTAGACTGATAGAGCTTATTTACTAGGTTATTTACTTATCAAATGAATTTATAATTACTTATACACAAATATCTGATGACAAAAATTGCCACTTTGCAGTACGCGAAGCATAAGATTGTTTGCCATTCCAAGTTTCATAAATAAAAACATAGTTGTATATTGTTTACAAAAAAAAAAACTTTTTGCCAACTAATTTCATCATGTCTAGCAAATTTTTCATGTTTAAAAAATTTGCTCATGCTACTATATTAATGTTATAGGAACAAACTACGATAAATATATAACTATATAAATATGGTATGGTAAAAAGCGTAGATTCACACCTGAGTAGAAATTTAACAAGTGGCTCCCTAAATGGTGAGCCAGCTTCGATCATGAGAGCCTTCTCTGTATGAAATATGAGACGACACAGCACATCTATGAAACGCGGCGAAGCAGCGGGGATTTGATGGAATATTCCTATTAAAATGATTATTTTTTGCTCATTCTCCATGTTTTTAGATACGCTTTGAAGGAAATTGCCACCTGAAAATACAAGATAAAAATGATTGATTTTTTTGTAATTCCAAATAATAATGACGAATTAATGAATTGTTTATTTTACACTATAATAGTGTAAAATAAACAATAGAAACAATGCAACAAATTTGATTTTATACAGCGATACCATTACTTATTATTTTCTATAATATAATTATTTTCTACGTTCAAACTTATATTTTGTTTTGTCGCCTCAAGATATCACAAAATTAATTATAAATCATAATCACCAGAGGGAGACTGTATAAAAGTTGTTTGTCCCATTCGTATTTGTCGTGAAGCAGTTGTGTTTGCATGGTTGTGTTTCAAAAGTAAGATATAGTAATGAAATTACAGAAGCATAACACCTAAATCCTAAGGAATGGCAATGCATGAGTGATATCATGAGCGATAAGGTATACTATGTTATGTCCATGGTACTACTCATGTCTATAGACGACAGTTACTACTTACCATCAGGTGGGCCGTCAGCTTGTTTATCATTCTAAGTTGCATAAGAAAAAATGCCAAGTCGGCATGGTATAGGATTTTATTTCGAGGTTATTCTCTATTTTTTTACTTTTTAAAGACGCTTTTTACAACTCTTGGATATAACTAAGAGTAGTGTTATATCATACTCTTAGTTCATTACCACGCAGAATTACAAAATTAATTGTTTACCAACCTCTATCAGTTTGTATTGAATAATCTAGTAATTTTCTGAGTAGTTGCAGCAACTGTTCACATAATTTTTCACTGAACGTTGACGGAAACAACTGAGTTAAATACGAGAGCCTCTTGGCGCCGTTTACGCTGAGATTTCGGTGGTCGCCGAGTGTCAGTAACAAAGGTCTCATAACGGGGTGCACCATTTCCATATCAATTTGGAAGCCAGATAAAAATTTCTGCATGCATTCAAAACCAGCCTGGGAAAGAAAATTATATATACAAAAACTATCTCTAAATAAATAAATATCGCTATCGATTTTGCGTATTAATATCTCTAAAATTGGCTCTAAAGAGCATATAGATTTTAAAATCAGTTTGTTGTACTTATTTAATAAATTATTTCTTTCATTTAAAATAAAAAAAATTGAAAGCTGCATTATAAAAAAAATGTGAAAGCAAGATAAATAATTTGTACAATATATTTACCTGTTGTAATTCCTGATCATTTTTTTCCAATGATTTATATAATACTTGAAATATTTTCTCCCTGCAATGCTTGTCCTGTATATAATGGCAAGCCGCTAGTGCTTTTAAAGCAGATGCTCGAAGAGGGACCAAATTAACGCCTTTATAGCACGGCAGTTTTCCTAACATTGTGTCCTCCGCTTCGCATAGTGATAATAGCTCGCGGAAGAATATTTTATGTTCGTTTATACTTAAATCTGAAATAGATAATTTCTTAGTCTTTTTGAGATAATTTCTAATTATAAGTCTCATATTGTCATATTTATTCTTTATTGTAAACGATAAAATAGTAAAAGACTAAATTCGTTATAGTGAATAGCTGCGGTTTAGTGGGACAATACAAAAAGAATATGATTATAGACAATTTTTTTGAGAGCGTGTCTCACTCACTAGTACATGTATCGCGTGGGTTTTGTCATATCATTAAATTATTTATCAAATGCGAATAAGTTCGTGACAATCCTGCCAAACTATGCACGATATGACGGGAAGAAGGGTAAATTTGACAATATTGTATATAGAAGTATATGAGACGCACTTTTTCCCAGTTATCATGTTTTGTGTACTAAAGGGCAGAATTACATTTTTATGTAATAAAATAGAAAAAAAGAGCAAACTCAACAATTAATATAGGTAATTATCAAAACAGACAGCTAGAAGTATACACTTACCGATGGTAAAAAGCCTTGGTTTCAACGTAGTACAGAAAGTTGTTCCATCCATTAGTCCCATTTGGGCATTGGCAGGTTGATGTCGAAGCAAGTGCTTCTTTGGTGGTATTATATCAGCTAATACCTCTCTATGAGGATCCATTACCTCTGTTACAGTTTTATTTTGTAATTCGGCTATTAATTCCAGTGATTTCATTGCCTAAAAAGAAACTCATATAAAAGACATCAGGTTCAATTTAATTAACATTAAAAAAAAATCTATAAACACATACCTGTTGTCGGACAAGTAAGTGAGAGCTAGTCACTTGTAACACAAGTTCTTGTAGTACGTCGTGGAGGGCTCGGGCTTTAGCTGCTGCTACTTCTCCGTCAGGTTCCACACCCTGCCCTCCAGGGCCTAGTACACACACGCGCACTAATCTCTCCAAATTTACTATAGCCATATCTATAGCTCCAGAAGAAACTTCGCCTGTCAAGTCCATCATCACGAACAGCACCGCTTTTAAAAAGGTAAACACATGTTTGTACACCCACTCAGGTGCCATCTTTTCGAACATAAACTTGACAGTGATGCAACCGCCTAGTTTGGCATACCAAGCTCGCTCGTAGCAAAGTGCCGACATTCGCTCGGCTAGGTATTCCATTAACGGCAATCGGCATGCTCTTTCCTTGCTCCCGAGCACAGTCGCTGCAGTTTCAATCATCAAGACTAGCGCCAAGTGACCTGGTTTGCATAATTCTTTCTCTTCATGCCCCATAACAACGGCAATAGCATCGACCAGAACTAAAGCATCGAGACCCTCCTTGGGACCTTCGGTGCCAGCAAACGGTCCGGCCTCTTGTGCAATGGCCACCATCGTGTAATGCCTTACTAACGAGACCATGGTGGGGAGTACATCGTTGCGCAAATCTTTAATGGCGGCAGCCACGAACATACCAGTTAATGCCGTACGATGAGTATTCCTTACTATAGAATTGGAGCATTTGTAATATGGTGTACCATTCTGAGATTGGATCTTACCATCAACAAAACTAGGGTGATTAAATAGCTTCTGTAGCGTTTGTCTGTCATCATCTAAATTGAGCGACGCGGCTAGATAGCATCTTAGCACTTCCCAACACTGCCGCCGGTAGAACGGATCGGTCGTACTCGACTTTAACGCTGAGAACGCTGTTTCTATCACTTTATCCACTTCAAAGTCGATTGGTTTTGATTGGTCTTGGAAGTAAGCTTGAATGGCTGGTGGTGGAGCATCCGTTTCTCGGTACTCCAACCTTTGTGGTTCAATCATCATTTTACGATTACCGCCGCCAAACTTTCCCAGAACTCTGAATGCTATCCTTGCAACTTCATTATTTTGTAGAGTCCTCCAAAGAGCTTGCATCAGATCAGCCCTAACAGGTTGTATGTGTTCATACAAAAAGTCTGGTTGCAAGTTATCCACACAAAGTTCTAAAGTACGTAAACCTTGAGATATTAACGTGTGGGAGCCGTTCAGTGCGGAAACTAACGGATCCATTAACATAGGCAAGTAAGGCAACAGACTGCTCAGTCTAACTGGTACAGTCAAGCACAGTTCGACGAACAAATCTTTCATATGTTGTTTATGAAGACCACTTTGGAGACGATTCAATCCCTCTAACAGGTTGGGTAATAGCGGCAGAAACTCCTGGTATAGTAAATCATGACTACCGCCGCCTATTGACCGAAATAGGGCACGCAAAAGAAGAAAATAATTGTAGGGTTCTTTAGCCGTCATGGCATAGTCCATGGCTTTGTTGACAATACTGTGGAGATGCGGTCGCAGCATTTGCTCGTTCTCGTTGGGGAACAAACTAACCGAGCCGAACACTAGTTTGAAGAGTCTCAAATACAAATTAGATCGTTCAACATTAGTTCCCATCTCTTCCATTCGCTTTAGTAGATACTCAACTAGCACAGTCGCGAATATCGGTGAAGTCGCTGGATTTGACAAAAATGTGTTAGCTATTATTTGTAACGTCATGTTTTTATTAATTCTTTCAACCATGTGAGATATGGTAGCTGTGAAAATTTCTTGAAAGGTCTGTGAATTCATCATGGAGAACTGTAAAGAACATAACAGAATATTAAGCAATTAACATTAACTTCATAAAGCAAAAAGATATACTATATCTTTTTCTAAAGATATATCATTCAAGTGAAAATCCGCAAATTAGAGGAAGCCTACATAATTTCTGTACAAGGAGTTTCAGTGCATAATTTCAATGTTACAATTTCCGATTCTATAGAATACAATATAATAATTGGAGAACTCTCGATTTGTCTATTCACTGATATATATCAGTAAATCTGGGAGACTGTACAAAAGTCGATTGCTTGGGCACCTCTGCCCATTCGTATTTCTACCGTGAAGCAGTTGTATTTGCATGGCTGTGTTTCGGTTTGGAGGGTTGGATATGGCGTGAATTTACAGGGTACAGAGTAATAACATCTGAGTCCTCAGGAATGGCACCGCATGGGGGGTATCATGGGTGAAATAGTATACTCTGTTATGTCCATGGTACTGCTCATGTCTATAGGCGACGATTACCACTTACCATCAGGTGGGCCGTCAGTTTGTTTGCCATTCTAAGTTGTATAAAAAAAGTAAAAAAAAAACTGTAAAAAGACTGGGTGCGAAAGTGTACTGACCACGCCGCTGAAGTGCTCGAGGACCTCCTTCTCCTCCTTGGAGCGCACGTGGGGCTGCGCGGGCGGCTGCGCGGGCTGCGCGGGCCGCGGCGCCGCCAGCGTGTAGATGTCGAGCGACTGCAGCCCCCAGCGCACCAGCCGGATGAACACCAGTGTCTCGCGCGCGTCGAACTGCTTCGCCGACGTGGCCGGCGCCGCCGCCGCCGCTGCTGCCGCCGCCGCTGCCGCTGCCGCCGCGCCCTCAGTGTTCGTTGTCTGTATACATACCGACGAGTAATTGGAATATAATTTTCATACCACGTCCTATAGAGTAACAATTTTACATACAAAAGTTCCCAGTACATTGTCTTTTGCAAGTTATTTGCTACAGATTATATAAATGTGAAATTAGACTAACAATACAAAAAAAACAGACAAAATTGTTCGCGTATTTACTTGAACAAGGGGAGAACACTCTCATAATGATTATCTTTACATACGGCTACAATAAGAACAAATGTGGATAATGAATTTATGTATATAAATACCGAGTAATTATGATATACCTACATAACTTTTTTATGACATTTGGAATGACTAACAAGTATTCAAGTAGTATATTGAATGTGAATGTGAAAAAGACTATTTTCCGCGCTTAGCCTCTCATTTGGGCCATTGTGCGTAAGTGGAATATAAAAAAAAAAATATCATGTACTCACTTTACAAGAGGCGCATCCCCAAGTAATAGTTTTGACGCCACATACTAAAGTTTTGACTAGCGTTCTATAATCACCGACATTAAGATTGTTCATTTGAGAGGTTGGAAAACCAATTTTTGATTTCTCCTCCGGTTTCGAAATGCTATCAAGGAAGTCAGCTGTTGGCTTATCATCTTCTACTTTTATGTCGACAGTGGAAGTACTCGGGCCTGGTGTAGTTGGGGTGCTAGGTGTCGCGCCGTTACCTCCGTTGGCGCCAGGAGTCGTTTGTTTACTGATAACAACAAAGTTCATAACAGTATTCAAATAAACATTTTGTAGTACACATATAAAATACAGTATAAATACATATACAAATATAATGTAATACAGATTATTACCTATGGCCAATTATGGTCGTAAAACTATCATATATTTTTAATAAGTAATAAGTGAAGTTTCTAGACGTTTCTCAAAAGATTTATATATCGAAACTAAGCGGTAAAACCATTAACAAATTACAAGCGAAAAGTACCTGTAATCAAGTTTCTTATTCTTCGGTGAATATGAACGTTAAGAAATTTTCTTCATTAATTACAACCTGAGTCTTCGCATTTCTCTCATTTAGAGCTTAGTTGGGCGCAGCAATGGGATGTAGACTAACTTAAAAAATAACGATAGAAAATTACCATTTAGCCATAAGTGCAGGCAGCTGCAGTTTGGATATGGTTTTGAACTTGAGTACGAAGACCTCGAGGATGCGCATGAGCAGCTGTCGACCCTGCGGCTGAGCGCCCGCCGCCGCACCCTCGCTCTCTGACCGCTGGCGGATGCAGTCCACCAAGTTCAGCAACAGCTTGCACGACATCGTTTGGATGCTACAACACATAGAAGTACATTCTACATAATTATCATATATTTTTATTACTGTTTAACTTGAGACAAACACGTATTTAAATGGATGTCGCAACTGCCCATTCATTGCAGGTTAATTTTTTAGTCCATGACAGCTCAAAAGATCTTTGCCTCTGGCTAAATCTTAATTTAAAATTATACTCAGATACTAAGTATAATACTCGGTAAAATCTCCTTACACATTGCCAATCCGATTTTTTACCTATCGTTTTAAAGATAGGACTTAATGGTTGATTCATTCATTATTAGCACATACCTTGTTGGAAGACTCTCATCATGCACATTCTTAGAAAAAAGGTGGGCCGCTATTGCTAAGTCCGACAGTGGCAAGTGTTGGCGTACATGGTGCACAAGGTCTGCCAATGTAGAATAGGCCAATGGCCTCAATGACTCATGAACAGTCCAACCACCACCTAATAGGACATCCTCGTCAAATAGTCTTTCCATATACGGAACAAATTCTGTAAATTAAAAACACAAGTTCATACCAGAAACTTCTTCTGCGTGACTGGTAAAAGATGATAGAAGGTATAAAAGCAGCCTACGACAATTTCCATCCAAAACACTACATATATACCATGTTTAATCGAGTTCACACTTAAGAAATTAAGGTTAGGGATAAGAAGTAACAAACTCATTTCATATTTATAATATTGTTAAGAACTGTAAACTCTGATAGAGCAGTCAGTGTATTAGGTAGTTATAGTTGTAAAGGTTTTCATTTGCTATTAAAGTATTTATTAAATATTATTTAATAATATTTAATAAGTACTACATATAATTTACATTATAAATAGTCAATCAGAAATATTGAAAATTGTTCACTATATATGAAAATTGATAAATGATTCTAACGTTGCCATACTTCTTGCCACACTTCGGTATGAACGATCTGAATATAATTATCGAGACAGAGTTCAGATAAATTTTGTGATTTGGGAACGTAGCAGTGGTATCAGTTATGGAGATAAAGAGTAAAATGGCATTGTTATACTAACTGGTACGTAGATCGGTTGCGAGTATGTGACGAGTTGCAATAACCAACTCCTTTCGAAGATGTGCCACTTCTGGGGGACACAGTGTCAGCAAGCCAATAATGCCTTTTACCATCAAATTGGCATGATTAGCTATAGTATCTTGATATATACGGATGATGTAGGCGAGGAAAGCCAACGTTTTTATTTGTGCACCCATGAAGTCAACAAACACTTCCTTATTGAATGATGCAGATTGTCTAAAAATATTTAAACATTTAAAATATTATTAAATTCCTTTTTTACATCGTTAGGTTTAAAGAAAAAAGTATTTTTATTTTTCTTTTTCTAGTCTACTAATTGGCAATTTGTTCTTTATAGAACAATAATCCGATCTGCTGTTTGGATGTCAGGTTTAAATATGATGAGACCAATCCATTAACTAGCTCTCAGTCTCTGTCTGTAAATCTTTCTACCAGAAAAAAGTATTAAACAATATTTAAAAATAAATTAAAAATAGCTATTTGAAATATTAAACATGCTTAAGTAGAAAATGTTGAAATAGCACTAAAAATCATAATAATAAACAATAATTCGAAGCTGTTGTCAATCCTTTATACATTTAAAATAAAGCAAATAATATAGAGTACCTATGTGTTGCAGCAGGTTGCAAAGTTATTGTTTCCATTATTAGAGGTATGAAGTTGCTGACCTCCTGGTGGACATTTTGCTTGTATAGTTGATACATAAGTACTACAATAATTGGCAGCTCTTGTATCACTTTCAACGATAATACCGATCGCGGTATTAGGTTATACTGTAAACAAAGTAATTAAAACTATTAATGTTGGCAAGGGAATGCTGAATTAAGACAAATACGTGACTCACCTGATATAAGACCAGACTGGATATTTCCAAATACACTCAAGCATAATATATAACTATCAAAAACAAAAGAAACACAAACAGAACATATTCTCAGATGCTTTAAGTTATTTGCAATTACTGAGCAGAAACCAGTTTAAAAACCGATCTCGGAGTACCGTTATTTTAAATATAAAATCAAAATTAAGAAAGTGTTCAGATAAAAATCTGGACATAGTTTTAATATACTTATCTATTAGTATATTAGTATCCATATACTTGCTTATGTAGGGATCATGAGTAATTAGTGCGGCGAATCTCTTGTTAAATTTGCAGTCAATAATGGTGGAGGTCAGAAACACCATAAAATTGTCTGTAATGACCTTATAGCATGCCCATTAAACTTCGATTCAATCAATTATTCCAAAAGGCTGCCTAAGTCTATTATATCTCTTTTATGTAGACTATGTGTTGGTCAATGTTGATAATCTGTATTTTTGCACCAACTTAGAATTAAAGATAACTATTTGTGAATATGGTCAAGAAGATGGTTATGTAAATCTTTTTTTTTTGCCTGTCCTGTCTGTTAAATAGTTCTAACCTAAAACTTGTTAAATAAAAAATCTCCCAATCTACTAACTTAAGTAATTTTTTAAATATTTCTTTTTCTTTTAGAAAACTAAATATTTAAAAGATTACTTACTACACCAATCATCATCATCTTCCTACCTTTATCTCAATCATTTGGGGTCGGCATAATATGGTTTTATCCATATTACAAAAAGATTTGGTTTTTAGTTTTACGACCGGCCACCTGCCTGACGTCAACCCTCTTTGGTAAAATTACTTACTACACCAATATTTTATGGATTATAGTAAATTTTATAAAAAGCAATAATATCAAACTATAAATTTTATTACATGTATTTATTTTACATATTCATATGAAATATATATTTAAGATTTTTGTATTGATAATTATCACTAACCCATATTGTGTTGTCTTTTTCAGTTATATTATATATATACACATTTCTCACATATTTTTTATGTAATCACCCTAAGTAAGACTTCTCAGATAAAGTTTTAATACTAATGACTGTACATTTTATATGAAATATTGAAAAATATTTTTCTAATTTGACCTAAGACACATTTGTTAAGTTAGAGATATAACATAGACATTACTACTGTTTTTTTTTTTATACTAGTGGTAAAACAATGTAGTTGAAACAAATACAATCCTACATACTCACAGTAACAACACTACCATCCAGTAACTTTTTCTCAGTATGTATTGGAGTAGTAGTATATGTTTCTTGCAAGAGCTGATCTATATTTACTTCAGATAAGTCCTTCACTCGTATTGTAGGTTTTGGTTCAAATATTTTTGGCAAATGGTTTGGCAAGTCAGAATATATACCTTTTACCCATTGCAAAAATTTGTGTATCTAAAATTGGACAAAACATATTAGTATCCATGATTAAATATTTAAAAAATGAAAGCTAACTATACTTATCATATAATATTAATGTTAGCAGCAGCAGCAGCTGCTATAAATTAAAACATTAATGTAATGAGACATTACATAAATCATCATAACAATCAAAGTATCATGCATATCAATTACTTAAAATAAAAATAGTTAATTTTAAACTTTCCTGATGTTTACAGATATTTTAAATACACAATTGAGACTTAACACAATATAAAAACCTTTACAGATAAATAATACCAGACAAGACCATGACAGGACCACAACATGGTGCAATCTATGTCGAAACATCAGCAATAAAGAAGCAGTTATTTAGGTACTATTTATCTATAAAGGCTTTTAAATCTCGTTAAGTCTTGATTATGTATTTAAAATATACTTAAAATAAAATGTAATACTAACATCCACATCAGTGCTGTAAGCTGGTCTATACTGCTTGTGCAGTTCCATAAATATTTTTAAAGAGACTAAAACATTCTCCTCATTCTCAATTTCCATTAATTTTAACATAAGTATTAGAATACTTTTAACATAAGGCTTCAGAGTCTCACTAATTGGCAAACGATGTATCATTTCCAATATGAGTTTCCTCACTTGCTGTATATTATACTCAGCTATAAAATGTGGCTCTCCATCTTGCAATATTTTCAAAAATATCTTCAAAGAGTGATCTAGGAACTGAGGGTACTGTGGTGAACTTAATATGACCTAAAAACATATTTTTCTTTATTTCATGTTATCAATTATAAAAATAAAACAAATATAAAGAATGTCCTTAATCAAAATATCAATGTAAAAAAGGTATTATATTATGTATTGATTTTTTTTATTATACCCAATTCAACATATATATGATAGAAATAGGTAATAAAAAACAGACAAGTGAATTAAATTTTAGAAATGAAACCAAAATATGTATGCAAAATAAACAGTGATATTTTTCTATTGTAATGAAAAGGATACCTTGAAAAAAGAAAAGGCAGGATAAGAAGTATGTAGGAAACAAGTTAGGATGACAAACATAGATGGCAACTATTTAGAATATAGCAGAAAACAGAAGTGGCTATGTATTGCATTGATTATATTTTATGAGCAGAGGAAACCTGGTTTTTTATTGTGAATTTTACATATTATACATAGAATGGCAAGCAAGCTAACGGCCCACCTGATGGAAAGTGGTAACCGTCGCCTATAGACATATTTACATCTTTGGTCATATATGCATCATAAAAAGTAATCAATATTTGATCATAAATAAAGCTCTAGGGGTACTCACTGACTAAATATTGTAAACATTTGACGAGAAAAGAGGGTAGTACAGAAAAGAGGCCCAACTAAAATATAGCTTAAAATATTGTTGAATGAAAGGAAAATACTTTTCCACCTTCTATTATATTAGATAAATATTATTGTATATAAATACCTCAAAGTTTTCACTGAGCTCCTGCGCAGCTTTGAGTTTTATTTCATCCTTAGCACCGGGGTCGGCTAGCATGGTCACATAGCTGCGGTACGTATTCATTTGTGTATGAGGATCCCCCGGACCTCCCGAAGACATAGCAGCCATCATATTGTGATAATTTAGCTAAAAATTCATGGTAAACGAATAGTTTCGGCATAAATTAAGAAGCACTTTTACTCTAAACTCGGCGCATTTTTAAAACAGAGCTATTCACTTTGTCATAGCTTAATGATAATATTATAATTGAGACAAATTATAAAATATTTTAATTTCTTTACTGTTTGAACCGACAACAACAAAATTCCATAAACAGAAAAAAAACCGAAATTAAGATTACAAGCACATAAAGTAACTTGAAGAATAATATCATCTAATAAGCAATAATTTTTTGTGCCACAGAGCAAGTAACACAGATTAGAGAGAATATGTCTAAAGCTAACAACAAGGAACTACATAGAAGGACTGATAAAATAAAAACTGTAAATAATATAGTTGCCTCCTTTCTTCTTATGCAAATATAATTTGTAAAATGAAGACAAAAAAAAAACACCATCAATTGCTATTTTTTTTATTCCGAAGCAAAATTTTTGTATCTAAATTTTCATAATAAGAATATTATTCAATAAAAATATTATTCCATGACCTACGTTTTATTTTGTAGCAGAAAACTTTTTATATAATCAGTAAGAAAAGTTGAAATTTTGGTAAATTGTTTTTGAAAATTGAAACATAATTCTTACCAAAGTGAGGCAAAATCGGAGTTATATATGTTAATTTTCAATACCAATTGAAAAAGTTACTAAGAATTATTGTATTTCTGATTGATTATTTTATAATAATTAATAGAGTGATTTATAAATAACTAGCCCGTCCCGGCTTTGCACAAGTGGACATTTTTTACATTTTAAAAAGTTTTTTTTTTATACAACTTAGAATGGCAAACAAACTAACGGCCCACCTGATGGAAAGTGGTAACCGTCGCCTATAGACATGAGCAGTACCATGGACATAATATTATTGACCAATAATGCTGCACACGCGACGGAAGCTTAAAAATGAAGTAACTTCTCCCGTTTTCCTAACATTTCCCTTTACTGCTCTGCTCTGAAAAGTATACTACAACCTACTCAGGAGTATGAAGAATAATTGTACCAAGTTCCGTGAAAATCCGTCGAGTAGTTTTTGTGTCTATAACGAACATACAGACAGAGACACAAAAATTTTACTGATTGCATTTTTGGCATCAGTATCGATCACTAATCACCCTTTGATATTTTGGAAATATATTTGTATAGAATTGACCTCTCTATAGATTTATTATAAGTATATAGATATAGAAGATTATTGAAGACAGATATTTGCAATGTTGCCATAATTTGGTTTCAACCAAAGATTACTGCTAGCCATAGACGTAGAATGTGTAGATAATACAAATACAGTTCTGTTATAATCTGTACAATAGTACTTTGATTAAGAGTTAAAAAAAATAAGTCTATTGTTTATTCTATGTCATCGGCATCGATGGATGCTTTTCCAATCTCATTTTATTTTTGTAAGACAAAAATGGGTTGAAACAGAAATTATAACAACACATTGGTTGTGAGAAAGTGAAAATTATTGACTTAAAGGCGACTTAAAATGTGATCATGGCTAAGTTCACGATATTATTTATAACACTCTGGCTTCGAAGCGCGATTGTATACGGATACGAGTTTATATCACAATATCCTATTAGCCAACAGAATGAAACTTATTATTTTTACCATCTTGCTGTTGACAAAAGTAGTGGGCAAGTGTATGCCGGCTCACTAAATTGGCTTCATCAACTAAGCCCAGATCTGAAACCCATTCATATAATACGCACAGGGCCAAAACTCGACAATCCAATGTGTCATGCTAGTGGCTGTCCTTCTCCAGATATCATTACAACGCACACTGATAATGTGAATAAGATATTAGTGATCGATCAAGAATCAAGAATAGTGATAGCTTGTGGGTCGGTCGCCCAAGGATCCTGTTTCAAATATAAGCTGGGTGATTTATCAGCAGAACCGGAATTTGTTCCTATTAGTGTTGCAGCCAACGACGCTGATGCCTCTACTTACGCCTTCATCGGCCCTGAGAGATACAACTCTTGGGACCGTTCTAATGTATTGTATGTGGGAACAACTTTTACTAACAATGGAGAATACAGACATGATGTTCCTGCAATAGCAAGTCGTGATCTTATGACACTTGAGTTGGCTCAGTTCACATTCTCTAAGCAAAGTTTAATTCAAATTGATGTTAAATATAGAGACAACTTTTTAGTGCAATATGTTTATGGATTTAATGCCAGTGACTATGCATATTTTTTAATAATCCAAAAACATTCTCACCTTGCTGGTAATGAAGAATTGGGATATGTCACACGGTTAGCTCGTACTTGTGTAAATGATGATAACTACAATAGTTATACTGAAGTAACATTGGAGTGCCATGTTCGTGAAGAAACTGTAAATGGTAAGAGTGAAGTTGTCAATTATAATTTAGTTCAAGATGCCAAAATTGCTAAGGCTGGTGCAAACTTAGCCACTCAACTTGGCATTGAAATAGGAGATTCAATACTTATAGCATCATTCAGCCCATCAAAAGGTATTACTAATGATCCTATGTCAAAGTCAGCTATATGTGTCTTTTCATTACTAGAAATAGAAATTAAGTTCAATGAGAATGTGCATATGTGTTTTAATGGCAGTACTAAAGCACGTAACATGGGTTATATATCTGGTATGATCTCTGATGGTAAATGTCCCAGTGTAGGCTCTACAGGTAATATACTCAACTTTTGTGAAGTAGGTCTCAAAATTAGTGGATTGTATCCCATAAAAACAATGTCTGTAATAAATTGGAATGATACTTTAGTGACATCACTAACTATGTCTGTGACTGGTATACATACTGTGGCTTTCTTAGGTAGTAATGATGGTATGTTGAAAAAAGTTTTAATTGATGCTGATAAGGCATTGGAGTATTTTAGTGAGGAACTTCTTCCTGGTCAGAGGATACTGCCAGATACTACATTATCACCATACAGGAAATCTTTATATGTCTTAGCCAGGAATTCAATAGTCCAAATTCCGACTGAGAGGTGTGCAGAACATGGAAATTGTTCATCATGTTTAGAGTCTAATGATCCTCATTGTGGCTGGTGTTCTTTAGAAAAACGTTGTACAGTTCAAAGCATGTGTCAAAAAGGCACTCAAAGTGCTCCCAGGTGGCTGTCTCAGTATACAGGACAACAATGTATTGACTTTGAACAGATTTTGCCAGATAGAATATCAATGAATGAGGTCACAACTGTGCAACTCATTATTAGGACATTACCAGAACTACCGTTTGGTGCAAAGTATAAATGTGTTTTTGGGAATGCACCTCCCATAGATGCTGCAGTAACTTCAAATGGTTTAGCTTGTCCCACACCAGATGTAAAGCATAGACCTAAAATATTACAAAATCAAGACCATGTTTATGTACCTCTTTCAGTCCACTCTTCAGAAACCAATAAAGACTTTGTTTCTAGGAATTTTGCTTTCTATGATTGCTCTAAACATACAACTTGTCATTCATGCATAATGAGCGAATGGGCATGTAACTGGTGTATCTATGATAATAGATGTACACATGACACTTCAGTATGTCAAAGAACTACTATTAGTGGAGAGAATAACCCTACAAAATTACTCAATCATGGTATTGGGCATTGTCCTAGAATACGACAATATAAAAAACCAATTTTACTCCCCAATAATGTTCCTAAAGAATTGGAACTGGAAGTAGAAAATTTACCTCATCTGCAGCCTGGTCACACAGGATTTCAATGTATTGTTAGCATTGAATTAGCAAATATGATATTACCTGCTAGAGTAGAATCAAATCACTATATTGTATGTGATAAAACAACTTACTCATATGAAGAAGATGTTGGAGAATACAATGTTAGTGTTAAAGTAGTTTGGAATCACAAACATTACATAGACACAATCACAATAACATTATATAAATGTGAAATTCTTGGTTCTCATCGGGAACATGCTGATTGCTCACTTTGTATTACTCGCAACTCTGTTTACCAATGTACTTGGTGTGGAAATTCTTGTTCTTATACAGAATCTTGTCTTGAAAACCCTGTAACAGAATGTCCTAAACCTAGAATAGATATGATTAAACCATTAAGTGGTCCTATAGAAGGTGGAACTATAGTTACAATCGAAGGCAGTAATCTTGGATTAAGAGTGGAAGAGGTAACTGGAAAAGTTCGCATTGGCGATGCATTATGTGAAATAGTTGACTTTGAAGTATCAGTTAGTATTACTTGCCGCACGGGACCATCTAATGAATCTACTGTTGTTCCAGTTATTGTAGAAAATGATGCTGGCTATACAGAATCATCTGTATTATTTAGTTATAAAAATATTAAACTACAAGGTATTTATCCGTCTCTTGGCCCAATGTCTGGTGGTACTCAATTAGGAATAGGAGGACAACATCTAAATATTGGTTCTGCTGTTTCAGCCTATTTAGATGAATTACCATGTGCTGTAAATAAAACACAAACATCAAATAATAGATTAATTTGCATTACACCTAAAGCAAATACACCTCGCATGATTCACACTTTAACAGTAGTAATTGATAATGCTAATAGGACACTGTATGGTGATTTATTTAATTATACAGCAGACCCAACCATAATGGAAATAAAACCATTAAAGAGTTTTGTGTCTGGGGGAAGGATGATAACTGTACATGGTACAAATTTACATACTATACAAAAGCCGCTTATGAAACTATATTATGCAAATGAATTGGTACCTGTAAATTATACTGCATGTACAGTACTAAATTCAAATCAAATGGAATGTCCAAGCCCTGCCATAAATAAGAAATACCAAGAAATCTTGCAGGCAACTAAATCACAAACTAGCACACCTCAAATAGCAATGAAAGTAGGTTTTCTCATGGATGATGTAGAAAGTATGCATGATTTGGAAAAATATTTCAATCCACCTAGAACACACATGCTATTTGTTGAGGATCCCCATGTTTATCATTTTGCTAATAGAATAAAATCATACAAAGGAGATCCTCTAGTAATAGAAGGTGAGAATCTCATCAGGGCTAGTGACGAAACAGATGTAGTTGTAACAATTGGTACTCAACATTGTAATGTTACTAGTCTTACTATGCAACAACTGCTTTGTACACCACCTGAAATACAGCCTTCTAATACAGATGAAAATGGAGTTCAGATTTTAGATATTAATCTGCCATTAGTAGTTGTGAAAATAGGAAAGAATTTAAGATTTCCTATTGGTTATCTCCATTATGAATTATTAAGAAACTATAATTTTCCTCCAGAAGCAATAGCAGGAATTGCTGCTGGTACTTTCTTTTTAGTTCTTATTTTTATGATTGTTTTAGTTATGTATAGACGGAGAAGTACAAAAGCTGAAAGAGAGTACAGAAGAATACAAATACAAATGGATACACTAGAAAGTAATGTCAGACTGGAATGTAAACTGGCATTTGCTGAATTGCAAACGGATATGTCTGATTTGGCAGCTGATTTGGAACATTCAGGAATACCTACTTTAGACCATGTAAATTATGTTATGAAAGTTTTTTTCCCAGGTGTATCAGATCATCCGATACTAAATGTTCAACATCAGTTTATCAATGCTCCTAGGACTAATTATGATGCCGCAATGCTTCAATTTGAACAACTATTAAATAATAAATGTTTCCTTCTGTCATTTATAGACACATTAGAGGCGCAAAAATCTTTCAACATTAGGGATAAAGTAAATGTTGCTTCATTATTGATGATTATATTGATGGGAAAAATGGAGTATGCTACCGATATATTGAAGTCTCTTCTTTTACGTCTTATAGACAAATCAATTTGCAATAAACATCCTCAATTAATGTTGAGAAGAACAGAAAGTGTAGTTGAAAAAATGTTAACAAACTGGATGGCCTTGTGCATGTATTATTATCTTAAAGATTATGCAGGTTCATCATTGTTTCTCTTGTTCAAAGCAATCAAACATCAAATAGAAAAAGGTGTTGTTGATGCTATTACACATGAAGCACGATACTCCTTATCCGAGGAAAAGCTTTTAAAAGAACAAATTGATTATCAAATTGTTACTTTGCATATAGTGCAAGATGATTTTGATGACAAAATTCAATGTAAAGTTTTAGATTGCGATAGTATATCACAAGTTAAAGCCAAAATATTAGATGCTCTATTTAAGAATACTCCGTTTTCAATGCGACCTTCCGTCCACGAAGTAGATCTAGAATGGCGACACGGAAGAGGCGGTCACGTGACTCTACAAGACGAAGATCTGACAACTAAAACTGTTAATGGTTGGAGAAAACTAAATACGTTAGCACATTACGGTGTCAAAGAATCTGCTGTAATGTCATTAATTTCTCGACAAAACGACAGTTTTAATACACCCTATAAAATACCTTGCAAAAATTGTACAGGAATCTATTGTTCTAATTCCCATATAAGAGTTTATAACAGTGATATTACTGACCAAAATGTGCATTTCTATCATTTGGTCAAACCTATTGAATATCAACACATTGTAAACAAGTCATCAGAACACAGTCACAAAGCCATTCCTGAAATATTCCTCACGAGACTTCTCTCTACCAAGGGTACAGTGCACAAATTTGTGGACGATTTCTTTAGCACAATACTTACTGTGAATGAAGTTCTTCCACCTGCAGTTAAGTGGTTATTTGACTTGTTTGATGATGCCGCAAGAGCTCACGGTATCATGAATCCTGAGGTAGTTCACGCATGGAAATCGAATAGTTTACCTTTAAGGTTTTGGGTGAATCTAATAAAGAATCCTGACTTCATATTCGACATTAATAAAACGGCTACTGTGGACTCTTCATTATCGGTGATCGCTCAAACATTCATGGATGCCTGTTCATTGACAGAACATAGACTATGTAAAGATTCCCCATCCAACAAACTACTATTTGCTAAAGATTTGCCAACATACCGAAATATGGTTATACAATTTTATCAGTCAGTGTCGCAATTACCTCAAGTCACAGACCAAGAGTTGAGTACTTCTATGCAACAACTCTCTGTGGAGCAGTTGAATGAGTTTGATACTCTTTCGGCCTTAAAAGAGTTGTATATCTATGTCAGTAAATATAGAGAACAAATTATATTAGGACTAGAAAACAAAATGCACTTAGCTCATAAATTAGATAATATAGCATGCACTATGGAAGGCGACCCCACATCTATATGCTGACTATATGATACTGTATGTTACGATTTAATTGCATTTACGTAATTTATTTATACAATACCTATTTTGTAAAATAAAGCTTTAATTTATTCTGAAAATACTCAGATTTAAAACCGATATGTAAAAAGACTGTAAAATATCAGTTCCATGAATATAGTTAGGAAGTTAAATATTTTTTGCTGAATATAAGATACTTAATGATGCTAAGAATGATTATTATTGATAAATTTAATATTTTTTGTAAGCATTTCAGAAAAGAAAATAAGTAATTGGCGATACCATACAGAGAGTGTAAAACTATTTGTATGTATTTACTCTCCCAGTGGCCATATTTTAGTGTCCATGGTATTTTTTATAATTTTAGAGTTAAATGTATTGACTATATTATTTATTTCTCTTTTTCATTTTATGATCAATTGATAATTTCTTACAAATAATATGGATCTGACACTATTTTTATTGTAAATTCTTAATTGTATTTAAAGTATTTAATTATTAATGTGTATTATGTTAAGATGTATGTGTAAAGAAAGAAATCTTATGTAAGGAAAATGTTGTGATATTTGTATTTGGAATATTGATAATATGTATATCAGTATGTCAGTATTTTCAAGGCGTTTTTAATGCTATACATACATACCGACACGCCAGAGATTTATTTATTTAGAAATTTAAAAAATATATTATATCTATAATCCGTTCACTTCATGCGTGGCACTCTTTATCAAATTTGTGACGTTATAGATCCTCATGACTAACACATGTGATTGTAATGTATAGCCTATGCCATCCCTCACTCTCTTACCTACACAATCTATATAAGGGATTTCATGTAGAAAGCACAAGAAAAAAAAAAACTACCCGCCTACAGTGAAATTGAAATAAGGAACATGAATTGAAAGTGCAGCTTTTAAGTTCGTATAGAAAACTTTGGCTGATTTCAATCATTCCAGACCCCCCCCCCCCCCCCCTCCCGTCCTCTCCCCATAAATCTAACAACAGCTAAAAATGCCACGCAAGAAAATGACGGGCTGTAAGTGACTATTCTGCATGCCCCTCGGGCTTGGGTTACCAAGTTTCCAGATTTATTCTGACTTTGTGTTCTGACAAGTTTTTTTTTTTTTTTAGGATTTTATTTAAATAAAACGTACTAATTACACGCTCGATATTTATATAAAGTAAGTGCTTAAAATTTATTTTGTGTCGAAAATATCAAGACTTGGAAGTGCCGTACTTCTTATTTTAAAATGGTAACCCTAGCTTTAGTGAATCTCGTTTAAATATATTAAGTTGGTTGTTTTTTGCTTAAAATTACCGATTTTATAATCATATGAAGTTTGGAGCTATATAAAAAATGTTTTCTGATGATTTTTATGTGACATGTCTATCTTAAGTTTACTTGGACTTGTAAACCTTTTGCAAAAACACGAACATTTATGATTTTATATATTTGATTTGCAATTTTATAATGCTAAACTTATTATATTGGTTATCCTTTAATATCATTTAAAATGTATATATTTTTTTAATCTCAGTGTTTTCAGTTGTAAAGTTAAAAAAAAAACAGTGCTCTATTTTTGTTTTAAATTAAAAAAGATCTTTTTTTACTAACTACTAAAGTGTCCGTTTTTAAAAAAAAAAAAGGTGTATGATACAAACCATAATACTGTCTATGCCTTGTGGCCTGTTGGGTATGATATTTTATAATACTTAATTAACATAAGAAAAATATTAATAACTTTCTCATTAAATAAATTTACATTATTTAATTTGACACTCCTCTCAAAGATTTTTCATATTATTATGAATTGATTTTTCATGAAGTCGGGGCTGATAAGTATATTTATTTTTGTAAGTACCTATTCGATTTTACATGCTATTTTAATAGTCGATTGAAAAGTCCCTGTTAACATTTCAAAAACATGATCTCATTTTTATTTACTTATTGCTCAAACTGTTGTCAGTTATATAAATATGCTAAATATCAGCTCTCTCAGAAATAATTATAATATTCCATTTACAAAATATTTTAAGATAGAATAGATGTAACTTGTTAGTATATTAAAGCATCATAAATTCACCCGTCTCTTAAAATTTTGTATTATTAGAATATACTTATTTATCAATCTTTTTGTAATGAATAATTTCAACATGAATGGGATAAATGAAAAACACCAAATTGTGTATTATTTGAACATTCATATTTATTAGGCAAGTAAGTATTTTTTTTTATAGAGCATTTATATAAATACAAATTAATTTTGGTTTTACCATTAAAATAAAATATTAAGATTTATACAAAGTGTAAAGAAAAGGATAAAAAAACAAAATTCCAGCAATAATAGATACACATGAAACCAAACAACTTTTTTTTGAAGAATATTAAGTTTCATGTATGCTATTTGTGAACTTTGGATTTGTATACCCTTTACATTACACTATAAGTATAATTTGGTACATTATTTTTAACATTTGTGCCTGTTTCGATGACTTGTACTTTAAAATTCACAATAAACAATTTTGTCTTTGAGACAAAACTGTAAAGAATATAACAACTATATTATTCGTGCACATTTGAATGATTAAAGTATGAGCATTATGCGAAACCTAACTTAGTTTAGTGAGTCTTGCACGGAGGACTCGACGACTAGCGTTTTCATCGGTGGGTGGTATCGTAGAATGCCGTGCCGTCATGTCTATAAACGACGGTTAGCTTGCACCGTAATTAACCTATCTAGTATAAAAAGTGCACATCTACACACCGCCGTAGTATGCATCGCCGCACCGATATCTATTTAATAAGATTGATCAATCGTAATAACGATTAAACAAAATAGCAATAACTAAAATAGAAATAAACTAAGTTAGTCTTATAAAAACTTATTACTCATAATCACTAAATTATCATTTAAATAAAATAGTTGTTATATCCAATAATATTACAGTAATAATAAATAATTTATATAAATATTACTTATAAAAAATTTGCTATGAATCAAGCACCATATATAAACCTACATACTACAAAATAAGTACGTCAATACATCATACAGTTTGTTTTTTGTTATTCCTTTCAATTCGTTACTTGGACATTATATTTTATGCATACACACACTCATCGTAAATGTCAAATAATGGCCCCAAATAACACAATATTAAGAATTAAAAATGGTAAATATGGAATAAAATGGTAAATGCATCGAATTCTAGAAGAAGGAAAGGGAAATAAACTCCACAATACTTTTACAAATTTAACGGTTTCTATTCCAACTTTTCTATGTTAAGTTAAAAATGTTAAAAAAGTTAAAAATGCTTGTAAGAAATGTTTCTACCAAATACAAAATGTCGATATGCATTACATAACATTACAAAAAATAAACTGACTTATTTTACAAAGGTGAGATGCCCTGTTTCGGTCATTTTATATTAGCAGAATGTTTCGAATGTTTTGATAAAATAAAAAATACGAGTAATAAATTATTTACGTCAATCGATTAGTATGTGTATGAAGTTTAATACTGTGGGTTTACGTATTTACAAATACACAAATAATTCGTTTATATCAAGCTAGCTAACTACGAACACTAAAATTTCAAGAACGCGATCGTTTGGATCTTAACTCTTATCTGCAGATCCATAACTTATTTTGACAAGTTTGCCAGACATCGAGCATTTACTTTAAGTAATTCAAAAATAGATATTATTTTAATTAAAATAATAAAAAACCAATGTCAGTGTCCAGAGACTCGGAACAAGGGTTTTAATTACGCTGCTTTGCTATCATGCAATCGTAGTACTCTCAGTTCACACACCGGATCGGAGAGGAGAGCTAAGGTTTATTTTTATATTTACTTCTTTGAAGTCGGCTATCTATTATTCTTATATAACAAATAAGTGAGATGTAAAAATATGAATCTATTTTAAACGCGATCAAAATCAATTCCTTCCGAGTTAGTTTGCATAAACGAACACTTACTGGAAATGGACACTAGTTGCCAACGTGGCTTTGTGGCAGTTAGATGTCTATTACCCTGTCTAACCTGGAATATTTAATCCGACAGCAAAATTTATAAAATTTTATATAATAGTTTTTCACAAATGTATAATTCCAAAAAAAAAATGGTAAGAATATCTCTGAGCAAAGTTTCTATACTTTGTGGTTTCGACACAGTTAAAAGCACGCCGTTAGTGCATGTATTTATATATCTCGTTTTATTTCGAACGGCCTGCCGCATTATTAATTTTTGTTAATAAAAAAGTTTGTGCATAACAACATCGAAGCGTTACACATTTCGATAATATTATTGTAAAACACTTATTGGTATTTTGAATACCAAATCTAATGGAATATATTAAGTAATATGCACCGACAAATAGCTATTACTGCCATTCATATGCAACACTTCATAAGCCTAGCAACAACTATAGCCCTATTGGTAGCACAGCACAATACAAAATTATTTTCATATGAATAACACAAAATGTATTCATGTGAATTTTTTTTTATCAAATATAACATCAATATCTTTCTCGAAATATCACAAAACGTTTGAAATCAACTCAAACTCGCATCATCGCAACAAAATGTAATATAGGAACGTATAAAATTTGTCGAAGCTTTTGTGCTATTTATTGTACATAATAAACAAACAAAATGTGTACAAAAGTCTGCATTCAGTTTCTCTGTGTCTCTGTATTTTCTACTTTTAAACTGGTAACTATTATATTAAATATTTATGACAGGATGAAACTATCATGATCTTATCACTGGTTTTGTAGTGCCGTTTTAAGATTATACATTCTATGATATTATATTTAAAAAGCAAACTATATATAATCGGCTATTTCTTACGAAATAGACAACACGAACCTACAACGTACAAAAATAATGCAGATAGTGTGCAAAATGTGCATTTGTTACGCTGCAATATGACAAATTTTGGCCAATTTAGTCTTTCAATTAAGTTCGTATAAATATTATATTGTATACATAATGACAAGGAAATAAATATGTCTGATTAAAATTTTTTTTAATAGATATGACCGAATCTGAAGTATCAGTTTATTTACATTATTCTCTTATGAATTAAACTGAATTTTAAAGTAAGTAGTTTTTATTAAAATCTATTATTATAAACTTCGTAATATGTAAACATATAATGTCGCTGTAGAAACAAATTAAAATTTTGAGTACAAATTTAAACAACTCTTCAGAATCAGCCACAGTTTATATTACATAATTCGATTTGCCAATTTTTTATGCACATTATGCACACCATCAGCTTGACCATTATAAATTCTTCATCTTTGGGGTAGATAAAACCCTTTGGGAAATATATTAGAGCTTAACAAATTAGTAGGCCTGTTGAAGTTTTTCTAGAGGATCCCGGTACACTATAGTTGCAGACTTGATGAGATCAGGCTCGTCATCGGAAACGGTACAGTCGCTCACCATTGCTGCATCCTTTGGTGAACATTTGTTATGTGCCATCAACATACCTCCTGTGAGGCCGACTAAAGCGCGGTCCAGCCAGTTCACTGGGTTGGCATATATCAAACCACCCTCATAGAATCCCAAATGACCGCCGTGCGCCAGTTCCAAGTACATTGCTTTGTCATGTGAACCTATAAAATTGATAAGTAAGGTATATAAAGCAAATTAAAGTTTATTGCATGACTCACATTTATCTAATAGGTAATAAATGATAACCAAATACACTAAAATATAAATAAGTACATTTTATTACAAATCCAAGACGATACCAATTACAAATATTGAATCATTATTACTCATATTGTAGTACAACTACACAACACATGTTTAACTAGAGATGTCCGGTAATTACACGTACCCTACTTACATATATATTCACAGAGTAATGATGTATAAAACATTAGAATGGATCAGATCCAGAATAATTATTCTCATTTTAAAAAAAATATTTAGATTGATATGAAAGATGTAAACAAAAGGAAAGATTAATTTTACTATTAGGCGTATCATTTGTTCGATTGTATGTCTTGGTGAATCAAAACACAATCCCAATATTCATAGGGTACTTAAAGGGTAAATTCATGATAATATCAATCATTATATTCAATACTATGTTACGTAAGTATATATGTATATACGTTGCTAAAAACCATATTAGGTAAGGTATATTTAAGTGCACCAATCAGGATGGTGCGCCGACCAATTACTATGTTCCTTCCTGATTGCAAATATTATTTTAATAGAAATCAGAGAGAAATTAGCATTCGTAATCGCAATATTGTGATAACTTATTTGGTAATAAAATTACAGTTGTATCTTACTGAGGTGTATAGAACTATACAATACAGGACGGTATTAGCTAACACATTTTTTTTTTGCGAGAGAACACATTTTAAATATTTGCCTATTTAGAAATATTGAGTATTGTTTGTGAAAGTTTACTAAGTAACATCATTCTTACACAACTTCAATATAAATGTTCTTAAGATCGCACAGAGGCTTACCATATTGTTACAACTTTTTCAGTGTTGTAATGAATAAATCTATTTATAATTTGAAGCTGCTTGCATATAGATCCGGTAAACATTCTAATCCTAGAATCTTGATTTGCAGTTTCACGTTTATATAGGAATGGGTCAAAATAAAATCCACTCAGGTAAACTAGGAAGGTTTTCTTTTAGCATATACTTAATTATTTAACAATACTTACTGACAAATTCTCTTATAATGGGTAATAGAGGTTCAGGAACAATTGGGTCATCACGAGCGTTTATAAATATCATTGGCGTTTTTATTTTATCTAAGTAGAATGCGCTCGAACTCCATTTATAAAGGTCCGCTACAGTATCAAATCCATGTATTCTTCTGCAATAATAACAATGTTCATATTTGTATATAATAAAGCACATACAGCCATCAATACAATTCGAAAGATTTAAAATCATTTTAGTATTATAATTACAGGATGCTATAATTTAAATTATTTGCTATAATTAACGCCAATATCATCACAATATTTTAAACATTTCAAAAAGTTTTTTATATACTTGTATTTTTTTCGCTAATTCTGAACCGATTTTGACAATTCTTTTTGCAATCGCTACGATTTTACTCCTTTATTGGTTTCATATTCATTTTGCCAGAATTATTTTTTATTATTTTATCACAATATTTGCGGCAACTAAATAAACCAATACCAATGATTATGGATGATCTCTATATGGCCGCGGCGTACTTAGTTGACCCTATCGGATGTGAGGTCGCAATCTCGTAAACTAATAACAGAAATTAGCTCAGGTCACAGGTTAATAGCTATAAACAAGATTACAAAAAAAACTATGAGCAATACTGGGCCGTAAATAACATCATCTCAAATGTAATATAACAATAACATCATTTGATAATATTTTTCGTACAAGTAAATAAAAATCTATGGGGACAGTCATCCATTATTCACGTAAGACATTAAAAACACTACAGATGGACACCTCAGTTTATATTGATAAAATTTAAAATCTATAATACACGAGGGCTGCAATACTATGTTATGCCTCTCATGTAAATCATTACTTTTCTTACCCTTTAGACTATATAGTTCAAACTCGGACATTAAAGACGCTAAGAAATTGCCCACGCAATTGCGCGCTTAATTTGGGAAGAGATAGTAGTGTATATTACGTCTAGTTACGTACTAAGTCTATAATGTCTAGTAAGTATTTATTATATCAAAGTCGAAACCACGAAATTCTATAGGATATACCTTGAGTAAGCCTCGTCGAGATCTGGTAGTGTACCTGCTGACACGATCATTTTCTCGTCCAGAGAATGTCTACTCTTCATTTCAGGACTCAACAGCATCCTCTTATGACGTGTTATTATATTACGGTAGTTGTCCGTCATTATATAGAGGTAGAAACGACGGAAATTCTGCCATTGTAATAGGTAAACCATTGTACTGAAAATAAAGAATTAGATACACCAATAATTAAAGATTGTGTCCCACAAAAAAAAAAACCGACTTCAATTGTGACAAAATCAGTTATTTTGATTTATAAAATACTACTAAACCGCTTTTGATAGAATTTCTATGAGAGCAAACTCTAAATATATCCATTTAGATAAAAAAGAACTGACGGAATTACAAAGGTACAAACATAAAAAAAATACAATCGAATTGAGAACCTCCTTCTTTTTATGTCGGTTAAAAGAGTCAAGTGGTTCTATATATCAATTGAAATTAACGACTCAGTCCCATTAATAAATTTGAAAAAAATATTAAGACATTACTTAAACATATACGACTGAACGAATTTTAATTAAATTTGGTACACGAATAGACCATATTCTACACTGCCATATTGAATAGGTATATTTTACTCTAATTCACGCATGTAAAACTTTATAAGACACGAGAAGCAACTATAGCAAAAATAATAAATGTGAAAATTTGTAATATATTTTGATCTGTATTACCTACTCACGCTTAATAATAATAAAAATTTGTCGTAATCTTCACAAGCAAAGCCGTGAGATATATATATAGATAAAATATTTATATTGAATTTACGATTGTTTGTAAAATTTCAACATTATACGGTAACTGAAAGTACCCTATGCCTAGTGGTAGTTTCACGCGCTAGTTACAATAGAAATCGTATCAGACGAACAAGAATCAAGTAGAAACTCGATTTTTAACCACAATTTATACCATCGAACATACGTAAGTACGTGATGTACAGGTTTTAAATAAAATATTGATATTAGTAGACATCCAAATATGTTCACAGTTTTAAAAGAGTACATCTGATGTAAAAAAAGATTACATAATATAACTCTTGTATATATTCTATCGCAATTGATATTAAAAAAAAGAACTTTTTTTTAATAGAGGCTAATCAAAGTGAGGAAAAGTGATTAGGTGATGTGGTCCGAACATGAGGGATTTTTTTTCATGGGTGATAATAGAATGGTAATCCGAACTGCGCTAACGGTATAACACTGGCGCCACACTAGTGAAGGATGACACGTGAGAATGAATGAACGCTGGCGGGCCACCAGTGTGAGATGATAGATGAGAATGAAAAAGCAGGCCAATAACTCGATCGTAATGAATACACCTGGAATTCAGCACGATAATTTCTAGGAGGAACCACATGGGGGTCAACTTAACAGGGTATATTGCTAGCAATGGGACTGGTAGTTCGCATTACTAATAATCTCTTTCCCCAAACATGAGGGTTGCCATCATAATATAGTCTGTTGGCGATCAATAGCAGGTGGCACGGAATCCTTCCTTGTCCAGTCTATGGGAGAGGCCTACATTCAGCAGTGGACAGTTAACACCTAGTTTGGGGACTGATGGTAATGCAGATATTTCCTCGTTTAATATAAATTATAAAAATTGTAAATTGTACCTTATGCAACTGTATCTTTCTTGAATAAAAATAATATTATTATTATTATAGCTAATATGACGATAATGATAATAAATAAATCAAAAGTACACCAGCTGTTCATTGCAAATTGTGTATCGTGAGACCACATTAAATATTACTGTGTGAAAATCAACATATCATTCTTTTAAATCTATACCGTTCAAGATCTATATGGATCGATATTTTATATATTTAATATCGTTATTGCTTTCAATTACCCTGTTAACCCTCATTAAGATGTACAACTAAGTTTAAGTGTAACATAAATGTGTTAATTTATATGTAAATAACAAATAGAATTATAACAATTTATTGATATAATTCTATGTTGTTTAGATAAAGTTACATTATATGTTGCTTCTTAACGTTATGATATCATCATAGTGTTCGAGGTTGAATGACGTCAATGACAAATAGATGTCTGTCTATAGATATAATAGTAGGTAAGCGACATGCATACTACTAAGAATTTTTATTTAGGCATTAGGTACCCATATTATATATTATCAAATATGTACGATCATACCTATGTATCTTTATTGCAAAACCTTACTAATCCTATTAATATTATAAATGCGAAAATGTGATATTTATTTCTATTTCAATTCACAATTTCCATCAGACATTCAAGGGTTGACTGGAGGAAATCCCTTTTATGGGATCAGTCCGCCATTGTACTCATAGTCTGTATCCTATAACTTAAGACTTTACAATAAAATGTTTGTTACAAACAAACAAACTCTTTCACGCAACAATAACTAAACGGATTTGAATAAAATTTGGTATATGGGTAGTGATATGGTGTATGTATGTGATATTATATATTATGGGTATGTGATATGGTGTATGTATGAGTGATTTGGTATATGGTATGTGATATTTTATGTGCAAGTAATACAAATGGGAATGTTTATTCCACTGTTTGTCTTGGCGTCTTGATGGCTCGACCGATAGTCATGAAATTTTGAATACATCTAATATTTAGTATTGAGAAAGACATAGGCTACGTTTTATTACACAGCCAATAAAGTCATAACATACATATTAGAAACAAAAGTGAACTAGATAGAAAAAAAATTAAACATAAATAACTATAATGCATAGGTATTAATAATTTAGATATTATTTTCAATAAATTACTTACGAACGAAATGATTAACACAAAATTGTAAAATATATAGATATTTCGATTATTTTATTTTATCCTAAATACCTCATGTGTAAATTTAAGTTGTTTGTGAGGAGACATAAATAAATATATTATTATCATTTAGAATGCGTCATATTAAGATTAAGTAGCAACTATTCAATGGTTACTATCAGGTTTTTAAGTAAGATACCATCAGAAACGAGTGATTCATAAAACGATAACACCAATTATATTCACCTAAATACAGAAACAATACAACTAGTAATAAAAACAAAAATCATCCGTTTAAACAATACCGATTGACTGATAGGTACATGTTTAGGTATTACGTTAATGATCAGATAATGGACAAGTTGACTTGTAGTTCAAGGAATAAAGTCATAATACAAACAAAACATCTTTTCCGATGTTTTGTATGTACTGAAACAACTAAAATTGAATTTTTTGTATATTGAATGTGAGTAACTTTTTAGGCAAATTTTGAGATATTATTCAGAACTATGAAAGAAAGATTTATACATGTTCGCTTTCTCCTAACTTTTCTGAAGGGAGGGGAGAGGGAGTTGATTGTAATAGGGCCTCGAGACTCCATTGCTAACAATTTATTTGAAAGGGTTTGTTAGGAATGGGTTCTAACAGCCCTATTGCTAGCAGTATACTCTACCAGGTTGACCTCCACGCAATTTCCCCTGGAAACCATTATGATTAATTCTTGTTGAATTCTTCACGATGAACCAACTACCTTGCTTTCATCTTCATCTTTCATTCATCACTCACCTATTATTCGTTAATACATATATACCGATAGCACAGGCGGGATTGCCATTACATTTTTACCCATTAAAAAAATTCTACGCGGTGCCCTGGAAATCATCACGGTTAATTCTTGGAAATTCGTCACGATGGCCTAACTGACCTAACTTTATCCTCGAGGGAGAAGGGATTGTTAGTAATGGAGAGGTTAGTCCCCATTGCTATCAGGTCAACCTCCACGCGTTTCCCCTTTGAAACTATCGTGACTAATTTATCGTTAAATTCGTCACGATGGGCTAACCAACCTGCCTTTTCATCTTCACCTATCACCTCTCACTGGTACCCCGTCAATGTATACCATAGCGCAGGCGTGATTACCATTCCATTATCATCCATTGAAAAAAAAAAACTTCATCCTCGCCTATCATCTCTCACCTATATTCCGAGATCGTATATGGATAGCACAGGCAGGGTTACCAATTGATTTTCACCTAAAAAAAACTTTTCCTACAAAGACTTCAGTCCTAATTTTTGTTTTAGGTAAATCCTATTTAGTTACTTATGTAATCAATCTTCAAATTGTTTATTAAATGACTGCCACATTAGATCATTTAATTCGTATTAGATATATAATACTTACTCTATAGCATTATATCCCTGACATATTGAAATGCCTCCTATTATGTTGGAAGGCCTCTTCCTGTCTTCACCTAAGTATTTCGTAACCAAATTACCGCCAAGGCTGAATCCGACGAGTATTATTTTTGTTTGAGGATATCTCTCCAGTATACTCTCAATCATATAATTGTAGTCGTCTGTATGACCTGCAAAAGGACATAAATATATATTGTCGCTCATTCTAATAGCAAAGTAAAAGGTCGTCTTGTTTTGCAAGGAAGGACTGCTGTACCATATTTGTAAATAAACTTAATTAAACAACAATAGCTTATCTTATTTTTCGTTATTAAAATCATTTATGAAAATTTATAATTTGTTTCATTAATAATATTGGTAACTGGTGTTATAAAAAAAAAAAAACTAATTAAGGAACATCTGGGAACACTAGCCAGAATACCGACCTGAATGAGTTTAAAAATATATTCCTTTCCAAAATAACTTCCTAAATTGCTCTGACCGAGAATTCCCATTTTCCTAAAACTACATTCCGGCCATGGAGTCAAATAAATTCTATTAATATATTATATGAGAAAGTTTGTAAAAATATCAGGGTGTTAACCTCTTTTAATCGGCTATGAATAAAATTTAGAACACATCAAATATACGAGTACAGATCACACTATCCTAGATTACTATCTTATCCTAATTCACTCGAAGTAGACAGCGTCATAGAGTTTATAATTGATAAATGATATGTTCCTATATTTATTAGAAAAAATTGCTAACGATTGCAGTCTCTGATGGGATAGTAAGAAACTTTGTTGACTATCATCGTGATGGTGAACATAAAACTCGATGTTCCCATATTGTGCAATATGGGATATACGAATATACGCGCATATACGAATTTAACAAGTAGAGAGCAAACCTACCTTTACCTACTTAGATTATTTTGGTTTATTAACGGTGTTTCCATCACCGTAGAATTTAAAGTTTTAGGGGTAGTATATACTACAGCGGAAGGAGTAAAGAACAAGAGAGAATTGTTTAAATATTAATATATAATTGTGTACTTCGAATGGACAGAATTGAACAGTTTCATTCTAGGAATTATTCAATATTTTATTAAGGAAGTTTTTTTAAGAAAACATTTATATTCACAGACACGCTCAGGCATCAGTAGTGAGCATCAACAAAATAATTAGCATTCACTAAAATCAATTAAATACACAAAAGACTACTAATTTACATGTTTTAAATTATTCTCTAACAAGTACATAGTTTGCTTTAACTACATAATCTATAATTAGTCTCATCCTGAACATAAACATGACTTAAGCGATGACATACAAACGTACCTATTCAGATTGATATTACGTGTCAATTATTCTAATATCATCATCGTTTTTTAGTTACAAACATGCTTACCGCCAGACCGCCAGATGATTATGCACGTGCTGCTATAAATAGTGTGTATAAAACAAAGCCGCTGTCTGCATCTGTTTTTTCTTTTATTTCTACTAAAGCACGCCACGGATTTTGATACTGATTTTACTGTCATTTAGATTTTTTTACGGAAAGTTTCAATATACTCTTAATTTTTGTAAAAACAGGTAATTTGAATTTTTTCTCCTATATAATCACAACACTCGCCTGGACCTGTGTTATGAAAAACCAAACAACGAACATCTAGGGTCACAACTCGGAACACTCATAGCTGAGCTAATTCAGAAAACTTCATTATCTAAATTGATCTGACCGGAAAGGAATCAAACCCAAGACCTCATTCACGCGAACCCCATCTCAAGACCATAGAGATAGTCAAAAATACACCCGTGCAGAGCTGTGGTGGATTGCTAATTTCAATATATTGAATATGGTCGACATATATTTTATAATAAATAAATATTATGTTAATAGACTGGTTTAAAAAGAGCAACTGTTCTTTTCGGCTGAATCTGCATACTGAACTGGACGGTAAGGTAAAATGTCCTAAATAAATTCATTCCCTTCATAACTCTCGGATAGGCTGTGAGGATGGAATGGATCTAGTAATGATATCTTTTACTGTGTCGCCTACTATCGCAATTTGCTTCCTTTTAAAACTTACACCCATTATAATATCCCTATGGTTGACTGGGAGAGAATGCTTTTAGCATTAAGTCCGCCATGTACCCATATTTGTACTAATGAATAAATAAAAAAAAATATTATTATCGGACTCCCCGTCTTGGCTTTAAGGGTCATAGTCATGAACCACTATGATCTCCATACGAAACTTATCTTGTACAATTTCTTGCGATGTGAATTAAGATTATATTAAGTAATACCTTTTTAACGGTGTTTACACCTGTATAAGTGCAACATTTAGATTGCGTCATACAAACATGTATAAATCATATGCGTGTAATAATAACTGAAAACAGGTATATTAGGTACATATATCGATTTATAAATCGTGATTATAACAACAACGGAATGCAACCACAGTAAAATATTGATTTCTAGAGTAAGGTCGTTCTGTGTTACACACTGGTTACTTTCCCAACTACTTAACATTATTTTTTTTATTAATTTTAAAATACCTTTTAAACATGTTCATTACTTATAAATATATTCTTATACTCCAACGTAAACATTTTAAGTTGTTATTGTTATTATTTAAATGGTCTATTTGTAATATTTTTAAATGATCAAGTTATATATGTAGTATTTCATATATAATATGTAAAATTTTTAATATATTTCTAAGACTTGGACGTATTTAATCCAAATGTCATTTGTTTTTAATGAATTTTAAATTTGGAACACTCAAAAGATACTATACATATATTACCGAGAACTAATCTTTTAGTAATTAATGTGTTTTATTGTGGACCGTTATTAGATTTTTAATTAAATCTTCCTAAAAACATATGTAACCTTTATATAAAATAGAGTAGATTACTTAAATATAGGTACAACACGCAAAAAGTAGAGCTATTGTGTACAATGTCGTTTCAGTCAGAGAACCGTGAACGGTCAATGAATTACCAATCAGTATTTAAAAGAGGCATATACATTGTCTTCAGTATAAAAATGCAATATTATGGTGTTTTTGAAATGCTCAATACCATTTATTTTTACATTATAATAATAGCGGTGGAGAATAATATATACTAAAGGTGTTTTGAAATAAAATATTAAACAACCTGCCAACTTTATTCAGTTTAAGTAATTGGATTTATCCTAATGGTTTGTCTATGTTGATCAAGTTCTGACCATGAAATTTGGAAATAATTACTTAGGTTTTTTTTTTAATATTAACAATTTTTCTATTATTAGATTTGATATTGTCTGTTGTACTGTTTTCATTTTACTATACTGCAAAAATCGGCAAATTCAACTGTCTACTCCATTTGAGGTAACAATCGTGAGCATAATATAATATACTTATAACGCGTACTAGTTATTAGTATAGAATTACCAAAAATTACACTGTTAAACAGTGATAAAACTGTGATTCAAGTGTGCTATGACTCACCATACGAGAATATTCTAGATCCAGTTACTGGCACGCTGTTTAAAGCTCCGATGTGGTTCAGCACCGCGCATCTATAGCCGTGACACTGCGAATAGTGCACGTATGTACGTATGTACACACTCTCAGATGTGTTGCCTATACCAGGACAGATTGCCACCGTCACATCATCTGTAAAAACAATAAACATGTTAGAAATGTTAATGATAAATTTTGTTTAAAAAAAATTTACTTTAATAGCAAAACCATTTAGTTTGATTAAAAACTAGACTACTAAACCGAATTTGATAATACAGTGAACAATCTATATAAGCAACCTCTCTATAAACAACATTCTTTATATTTTATTTATAACACTTAGCTATGTTAGTAAAAGAAATAAGTAAAAATATTTTCCAGACGGTAAGTATTTTTATACTCCTTTTTTTCCTATTAGCAACTTTTCCCTATAAGAATTTATTTATTGAACATGATTCAAATGAGTTGCTTATATAGAGCTTTCACTGTATTTCTGTGGAATCTGAAATTATATCCTTTCAGATAAAAAAAAAAATAAATAAAATCCATTTACAAATGATGTGTCAGGTTTGTTACCTTACATTAAGAAATTAAGAATCTTCTCTTTTTTTTAAAGTTAGTTGAAAAGCAAGTGATGGCCTCAATTAGGCTACGTTTGACGCAAATCTTTATTTTTGGATATATGCATACCGATTTGCTTATAAATCTCTGGGCCGATTTTAGAATTCTTTTTTCAATTGGATTCACATTCAGAATGGACTCGTGCTAATTTTGTTTAAGTTATTATTTTAATTTTTATTTACGAGGTTTAATGCGACGTCGTTTCAGGTAAGTAGTACCTATATACCTGATCCTATAACAGACGTTTCGACGTCGTTCGTACGGTGATACATTTCAATTGCAAGTATGTAATATCTAAAAGAATTTTTCATTGTAATATTTATTGTAAACAGATTTTTTATTAACAATTATATACAATTATAATATATAAAAGTAGGTATCCAGTCTTAATTGAGTTTCAGATGACATTCGAAGATTTGTTCATTCGAAAATTTGGTTACTTATAAGGATAATAGGTATTGGCTTTATTAAAAGTAGTTTGAAATATTTCGTGCAATATTACGTTTTCTGAGTCGCCAGTTCCTTTTTCTTTGAACTTGGCTGGACACGCTGCCGCGGCTAGATAAGACCGTAGTGTGTTAAAGTACCAGCGAAGGTAAATGAAAAAAGATTGTTAGTAATGAAGATCTAACAGCTATTGATAGCAATACACTTCATCAGGTTAATTTCTACACGGTTCCCCCTGGAAACGATCACGGTTTATGAATTGTTTATTTATGAATTCATCACTATGGGACAACTGACCTGTTTCATCCTCACCTATCATCTCTCAATGGCCAGCATAGACTGGTAGCGTAGGCGGGGTTCATCAACATCATATCCGCCAATAACTGTCCACTGGGGGAAAGGGATTGTTAGTAATGGAGACTAAGAATCCCATTGCTAGCAATATACCCAACCAGGTCGACCTCCTCGCGCTTCTCCCTGGAAACTATCATGGTTAATTCCTGATGAATTCATCATGATGGGCTAATTGACCTGTTTTCATTCTCATCGATCACCCTTCTCTGGTGCTCCGCCAGCGTATCCCGTTAGCACAGACGGGGTTACCAAACCATTTTCACCCATTAAAAAAAAAGCTGTTCACTGCGTAACATAGGCCTTCCTTTATTGGGGGAAATTGTCAGCTGATGAAGTTTAAGTAGAGACGCTGCTGCCTTTTCTAGACCATTCCTTCCTAAGCTTCCTTATTCACCTCTTACAACTCTTACATGAAAGGAAGAGGTTACTCATTCTATGAACAACCCAGCCAGCCGGGGTTACCATACCATCATCACTCATTCAAAAAAGCCGAGGTAAATTAGATATTATAGTTGGCAAGTTGCGCGTAATATCCCTGGTATAGCAGGCGTTCATAGGCTGCGATAACCGCTTACCATCAGATGGGCCGTATGCTTGTTTGCCACCTCAGTGGTATAAAAAAAAGTATGTAGGTAGGTACTTATTTTTAATAATATTATTAATCTTATGAATCGTCACTAAATCGTGCAATCAATGATCTAAATCGTGTAAAGTGCCTATATTATGCCATATCTATAGAGAGACTAGGTATCTTATCTTTTGTATATGCAGCTTAAATAATTTAATACGATGACACGATAATAAATAGTAAATATTCAGTTAGGTATAAGGACATGTATTATTTTCATAGAGGTCTATTATATTTTCAACTGAATTAAAAATGAAGAAGGTTCTAATTCAATTGTATTTTTTTTTATGTTTGTTACGTCATAAGTCCGCCAGTAATAAACCGATTTGGAACTTAATTTTTCATCTAAAAGGACATGCATACAGATTGGCCCTATATAAATTTCATCAAAATTGGTTCAGTAGTTTAGTTTCGAAATGAAAATTACTGGTTTCGTCACAATGATGAGTAGGTATTTTTTGTGGAACACAATCTTATATTATCCGCGGTAGTGTTAGGGGTTATAGACGGATGGAATGCAAATGTTGCCATTTAGGATTCAGACACATCTGCCCTGTAAATAGGGCATAATTTATACTTATAATAAATCTGTAGAGAGGTCAATTCTGTACATGAAATATATTTCCAAAATAACTATCAGGGGGTGATTAGTGATCGATACTGAAGCCAAAAATGCAATCAGTAAAATTTTTGTCTGTCTGTCTGTAGATTCGTTATAGAAACAAAAACCACTCGACGGATTTTAACGAAACTTGGTACAATTATTCTTTAAACTCCTGGGCAGGTTATAGTATACTTTTCACCACGCCACGATCAATAGGAGCAGAGCAGTGAAGGAAAATGTTGGGAAAACGGGAGAAGTTACGCCATTTTTAAGCATCCGTCGCGTGTGCAGCCTTAATGGCCACTTTTTAAAATGTAAAAATGTCCATTCGTGCGACGCCGGGACGGGCCGCTAGTGATAAATAAATGTTATTATATCGTGCGTTCAGCAGTGGTCAATTAATGTCTGAAATGAATTTCTTCCTTCATTCTTGTCTAGTAATTTCGTACAACTTCGTTTTGTGATAATTTTCGGTCTATATCGGTCGGTTCGTATGAGTGGAAATAACTAACGCCTACAGACATATATAAGTGTATTTTTTATAGATGAAAGTGGAATGAAAACCGGTATACACTGGCGATTCGCCAGTGAGCAACGATAGGTAAGGTTAAAAGCAAATCACTTGGGCTATCATAACGAATTCGTCAAGAATTATCTATGTTATGTATGGTTCTCAAGAAAAAGCACAGATGTCGAGTAATCTTGTAACGACAAGGTTTCTACCAATATACCCTATATAATATGTATTGTAATATGCGGCTGCTACTCCTTTTATTATTGGATGATAAAAGAATGGTAACCTCATCTGCGCTATCGGTATACGCTAGCAGGGTACCAATGGAGATGATATGGGAGAATGAAATCAGGTTAGTTAGCGAATCGTGATGAATTCAAACAATATTAACCATTACGAAAGCTATTCTTTAAAGTATCAGTGCATTTTCAAAATACCTTCATGTTCAGATCCGACAGGTTCGTATAAATCGTAGGTCAGTGTTGACCTATCAGGCAGAACTAGAGAGACTCTGCCCCCTATTGGCCATGGACATCGGACACGGCCAATCAAACTGTGAAGGATAGTCTGCACATGGCCGCTGAATCCCCATAGTCGAGTTGGAATGTAACTGTAATTAAAAGAACACTGTTTATAAAAATTTTACTAAAGTTATAAATGTGAAAGTTTATTAGTTACTCAATAATATCCAAACAGTTGAACATACTTATTTGAATTTTTGGTATTCAAACTTATTAGAAAAAGGTGCAAAAACTTAAAAAGGGGTTATTTAAAATTGATAAGAATGAAACGGTAATTCTAATGACTACACGGTAATGCATTATCTGCATAGTTTGGTGGAGCCTTTGTAAGAAATGATAGACGAGGATGAAGGTATTGTTCATCTTGAATGATAGATACACATTAAATAAAATAATTCAAAATTGTTCTCAACTCTATGGTGAGGGTGCGAATTTTTTTTTATTCTTTTCTAAAAAAAATCTGGCTCATAAATTTCGGAAGCCCAAAGAGGCATAAGAAAAAAGCAGAAACTTATATTTCGAGCTCTATAACTATGTATGTAAACTTCTGGAATTCTGCACATGATGACGTACTTAATGTGAGGTATTTATGCGAAAGTGAGTATTTTTTATTGTTATCTCTTACAAGTCTTAACACCTGAACTGAAATTTGACAAACATATTACGTTACAGTGTTACAGCGTGTTACGGGGGGGGGGGTCTTAAAAAAATGCATTATGTAATACTTGAACTTCCCTTAAGATGCCATAAACTTACAAACTCACTTTCCCATTTATAATATTAGTAAGCATTAATCAGTAACAAAATAAGCGACTCCATAAAGATAACCATTTTAAGACAAAAAATAGTCTTTTTATGGAATTATTTGGTTGTATAATTAATGATATTCTAAGAACTAATGTCTAACAGATTATAGCCAAAATTATTATAAATTGGGTTTATGATAGTCCATAAAACAGTAATTTCTGAAATTATAATTTAAAATATTAGATTAAGAGAGATTTTCATAATGGTACCTCAAAATCAGTCATATGGTCTCAATTTTTATTTTATGGTACCTTTCGATAGCTTATATTTGAAATTAATAATTTATAAAATTCAAGTTTTTAAAAAGAGTAACAGCTGAGTTTTTTATTTATTTATCTTAACTAAAATTGCATTCAAGATCACAAAAAATTACTGTTCAAAATGTATAATTTTTTTTATTATTTATTATCACAAAAATATAGAGTTATAGAAATTATGTTACATTAGCATTTAGAAACCACATATAAATATGTAACTTGTATGAATTGTTCCTATTTTTAAATTACTTCTTTTATTAGTTTATAAAGTTTTATATGATCCTAATGTTTATAAAAATGATAATCTGAAATAAGCTAATTTTAAAATTACCAATGTCCTTTATTTGAACAATACATATCACATCAAACTCCCATCATAAAAATATATTATTTAAAATCCATACTACTACTACTACTGGCAGCACCAATTAGATTAACTATTGCATTAATTGATATCATTATTATTATATTTAACATTAATTATTTGTGTCACTACATAAGATATAAATACATGGTTGTATACAGCAGTTGTGTTTGCATGGCTGTGTTTCGGTTTGAAGGGTGGAATATGGCGTGAATTTACTGGGTACAGAGGAATAACACCTGAGTCCTCAGGAATGGCAACACATGGGGGTATCATGGGTGAAACAGTATACTCTGTTATGTCCATGGTACTGCTCATGTCTATAGGCGACGGTTACCACTTTCCATCAGGTGGGCCGTCAGCTTGTTTGCCATTCTAAGTTCTATAAAAAAAAAAAAAAAAAACATGGTAACAATTTATTATTAAAATTGTAAAAATCTCTTTTTTTTTTAATACAACTTTTTACAACTAACTTCACATGTTGTGTGAATTTCCATAAATTCTTAGTACTTGTTTATAACCCCTATGGAATACATTTGCTAAATTTATAAAGATATATTACTTTACACACAAATTACTAACATAAGATGAATTTAATTGTTAAGGTATTAGTTTTGAAAAAATGTAAAAAAAATGAGATTTAATTGCTAATTAGAATAAAACTTGTATAGATGCTTTCTTAAATCATTATGTACAGGATATATCACATTGAATTTTAGACAGAATGAATTTCAGCCAGTATATACCCTTAGTTTTTAAAATGTTTTTTTTTCATTTCAGTAGGACCAAATATAACGTACCTAAGTAATATGTTACAAATTATTTTTTCATTTTTATTCAACATCTCGATATCATTCATATAAAATTTAATAGACATTTAGCAAGAAAATAATCAAAATTCTATTTTTTACGAACTTCTGGAGTTTTCTGTGATGTATCATCTGTAGATCAAAATGACATCATCACAACAGCATGAACTGTTCACCGTATTGTTTAGTTACGATAAAAATATGATACAAAAATAATTAGAAGTATTTTTACTCACGGGTCGTTTAGAAATGGGGAAATAAATAGTATATTTTCAATAAAGCTTCTATCCCTTCCATAGATGACTGGTTTCTGTGGCTGACTGTTAACATTTAGTATTCGGAAAAGCACACACAGTATAACTGCTATAACAGCTAAAAGAACTGTCGACATGATAATGTTGTTAAATGATATAAGATCGTATAAACAGACGAAGAAAAATCTACATAATACCCGCGAGATAATACTATTTCCAATAAGAAACGATTATCAACAAACAACCTACTACCGGACGACACAAGACAAACTAAATAATTTTTGTCCTTCACTTTAGCTTCATGTCTCCTTTCTTCTTTTTCTTAATACTATTTTCCTATTGGCATATTACACAGACTTGTGTTTAAACAAGACATTCATTGGATAATGAAAATAGAGTCTCTCGTGAGATTGGCTAAAAATAATTGTCAGAATCAGCTGTTGTTCTATTCCAATGTCTTTGACTTCAATATATTTTATCTTTTATCAGGGCCATAGATATTTCATTATAATATTGTTATGACTGCAAATACCATAAATTGAGATAAAATAAATTATCACTTACTTTTAATTTTTTTCAAATTAGTCTATTTGTAAAAAACATTTAATGATTTGCTATAGAATTCAGAATCATAATCTTGAATTTGACTATTTATTCATCATCATCATCATATCAGCCTTTAGCTGTCTACTGCTAAACATAAGCCTCCCTCTTGGGGACATTTAGTCAGTAGTTGCTACTCTTAGCAGGCGAATTGACAACCGCAGTTAGGCTTTGAAGATGTTTTAAGAGGGACGCTGCTGTCCATCTCTCGCCCTCCCTTAGTCGACTCTTACGACACCCATGGGAAAGAAAAGGGTGGCCTATTCTATGCCAGGACCACACGGCCAGTTATTTATTATTATATTACGACGACTATTTATTGTTATAAATGATTTCCCGTGCGCTCATTTTCTACATACCCTAATATTTGGGTATATATATAAACGAAAGCTTAACTAAAATTGTTATTTTTCTATATAAGGTAAACATTAAGTATGTAAGTAGGAATTATTAGTTAATTATTGATCTTATTTTGGATATTAAAAATACATATGTAATCAAGCTCAGTGTAGGTATATCGAATCGAAATAACAATATATAAAATGAAATAGAAGTACCAAGCCTAAAATAAATTACACACTAAATAATTTTTTACTTATTTAATACATTTTACTAGATTAGTAAAAGTAGTTTTGGTTACTCTAAGTGACAAAATTTTTATTTTCTTTTATTTTATTAAAATATAATTTGTACTAAAACTTGTTTTTTCATTGATACATTAAAAAAAAGTTTTAAAGTTTTCCAGATTTTTTCTCTTCATTTCGCGAATTCTATTAAATCATATTACAGCAGAAGGTAATACCATCTTCTTATCCTTGCCTCAATTATTATTTGGGGTCAGCATAATATGATTTTCTGTTATATTCTTCTCTATTCGCATTCACTCACATTTTGGTCCTATTATCTTTCACATAGTCCTTAACAAAGAATTAGTAATAAATAAAGGTCAATAATAATCTATGGTCTCTAATGTATTATTCTTTGTCTATGGTATGGAGGCGTCTTATAATTTTAGTAAATTATTTAATAAGCGCAAAGATATTGAACTATTTTATTTATTTATATAAGGAGAGTTTTTTTTAGATGAAAATGGCATAATGGAGTAGTTTCCATCATCCTCACTAATCTGTGGAATTCATATAATTGTCCACCATGCCTTGTGGTCCCGGCATAGAACAGGCCACCCCTTCCTTTGCCGTGGTGTCGTAAAAGGCGATTAAGAGAGGGCGATGGATGGACAGCAGGGCCCCTATTAACATTTTTAAAGCTTAACTGCAGTTGCCAATCCGCCTGCTGAGCGTGGGTAATACTGGCAAAACCTCCTAAAGGAGAGGCTTATGATCAGCAGTGGACAATTAAAGGCTGTTACGATGATGATGTATCATACCCCGTTATCTATATTCGGTATAGGTATGCTGGTGGGGTAGCAATGAATGATAAGTCAGGTTATATAATAGGTGATAACGATATGAAAATCCTGCCTGCGATAACATTATACACTGGTGGAGTACCAGTGAGGGATGATAAGTAAGGATGAAAAGGCAGGCAGATCATGTTGAATTAATTTGGAATTAAGTACGATGATTTCGAGGGGGGATTGCGAGATGAATTCGACAGGGTATATTAATAGTATCATGACTATTAATTCTCATTACTAACAATCCCTACCCCGAAGATGAAGTCAGTGGACCTAATGTAACGATTTCTGTGTTCATCAGGTCCGTAGGCAATTTCCTTCCTCATAACATATCTTGTTGTTTTGGTGTTACATGACAATACTAATATCATAATTATTAGAACAAAGACATTGGATAATATACTTGCTCAATATGTACTTGGTACGTAGATAACTATAAGATAAAACATGTACCTCGTTAATTTACTGTCCTACCGTTTTTATTTAGTTTTATTTTTATACAACTTAGAATAGCAAACAAGTTGACGGCCCACCTTATGGAAAGGGTTAACCGTCGCCTATAGACATGAGCAATATCATGGATATAACAGAATATACCGTTTCGCCCATGATACCCCCCATGCATTACCATTCCTGAGGACTCAGATTTTATTCCTCTGTACCCTGTAAATTTACTGCCATATCCAACCCTTCAAACCGAAACAGCTATACAAACACAACTGCTTCACGGTAGAAACACGAATGGGACAGAAGTGCCCAAAACAAACGACTTTTGAGACAAAGTCTCCGTCTGGTAATTTAATAATTAAATGTAACTTAATTACTATAATAGTAATTAAATTACATCCTAGGCACTCCTTGTTTCGATATTTATTTTATTTCGCAAGTTTTTACCCCCCTCTGGTGTAATCAGATGTTTCATGTACAATTTTAGCAAAAGAAAAGTCATTATTAGAACATAATTTTATTAGAGAAAAATGTTCACGTGCCTAAAATAACTAATTACCAATAAATAACAAATATGCGAACAGGTTGAAATTATTAAACTTGTATGTTTGTAACATCTCCCATCAATTACATTAAAGATATAAAGAGCAGTCTATACGAGTCGTTGGTAAATACGTAGGTTCCATTTTATATTTCCATTAAACAACATTACAATAAGTTGGTAGGTATTTAACATTCACTAAAAGTACTTTCATTATTGCATATCAGTATGTATCAGAATATATCTAATACTAGGTTTTCTATAGGAAAAGATATTAAAAATACCTTCCGTGTCACTAAATCATTCTAGTATTTACTCTTAGAGTCGGATGCAAAATATAGAACATATTTCAGCCAAAGATATTGCATCATTTAAACTAGCTACTCCATGAGAATCTATTAATGTAACACTTTTAACATGTATATAATGTTATATTTTATTCTTATTTTATACCTATAGATGTATATATTTGTTATTCAAACAGACTGAGCAATACGTTTATTATTTTATATAATCTATTCTATTTTTAATTGTTATAATAGCGTCTGTAAATAATCACGTAAGGCATTGCTATGTAAACGAACTAGGCATAGCCGTTACAGCGTTATTATTACACATCTAATACAGTAGTCTGTTATTTTTTGATAATCAGTTATTTCCGTCATAATATTGTTATTATCATAACATACATATACTACACTCAATATGACCTAGAAGGATTTTATGCGCATTAGAGGTTTATGTAAAACAAGAGATCAGAAAGAGATTATATAGTAAATTTGAATTCCAATATTATAGAAGGGGGTCTTAAATTAGCAAAAGCTATTCTTCAATTTGTAAAAGGTCCTTACAAAAATATTATAGACAACTATAAATATATTGCATGACTTAATGTCATATTAGTGTACACATCATAATGAAAAACTTAAGTATAACAAGTGACTCTCAATACCATATACTTATTAAGAATCCTGAGTTACTACTAATTACAGTCCCACCTGATGTTGCATTCTTCAGCCTTCTCGTGTCAATAAATATCTGTACATATATATCCTTACTTGTAACATAAATAAATGGAAAATAATTGGTGCATGGACATATTACTCAGATATCTACAGTGTTCTATGAGCAATTTTAATTTCTTATTCTCAATCAGTAATATAACAAAAAATGGCATGTTTCCCTTAAATATAGATTTATTTAAAATAAAATGAGTTAACTACAATGTTATTAGGTGCACGACCTAGCTAGGGGCCCTGTAATTACACCCTGGCGTGCTGTTGAACATTTGTGGGTTGGATTGTCATTTTTTAATTATTTCATAATAAATGTCATCAACTCTTCTATAGTTACTAAAACATGTAAGTAATATAATAATAACAATTGCATAAAACTAAATGTGATGATAGTTTATCGTTAAAAATATAATGGCAAATATGATGTCTATCGCTTAATTGCTACATTTTCATATACTCTTAACAAAAAAAAAAAAAAAACTACATGTTCTAATTTTAAATAAATGTTAACAAGTTTTAGTAAGTTTCACACTTTCATGTTACATTTAAATTAAGATCTCATACAGTTAATGCTGATAAGATCATAGTCATACGAGTAAAACCATATTATTATTTATACTTGTGCTATGAAACTTGATGTTTAACTAAATTAAAAAAAATGCTCACACTTACGATTATAATTTAATCCATGTCATATTGTTGTATATTATATAACTTAATCATAATTTTAAGTTAACAAAAGAACTTTGATGTGAATAAATGTCACACTTTAATACCTTATGACGAAATAACTAATATATACAAAATATATTATAGTTTATAGTAAACATTACACAAAATTTCCGGCTTAAAGTCGGAAATAGCCTTAATTATCGAGTGGTAAAGCACGAACTGTCCGAAAATTTGGTGAATACGTCAAGCGCATAAAAATGCATGTTTCAAACGACACATTTCGATACGTACAACGGCCCAAATGAGAGGCTTAGTGCGGAAAAAAGAGTCCAATTTACATTACATTACGACACATGTCATTCACAGTTAGTTATAGCACCACCATTCCTAACCACTGTTCTCTACAGTCAATCATTTTTAATATGAAATGGCTATGAAACTAACCACCATACAACCGTATTGCCTTGCGAAAATATTCAAATCATAGTTACAAACACCATTCTTATCAAGGCTTCGGTAGAGGCAACGTGTCGGGATGGCAACATGACGCCATCAGCAGATAACATGCACTAAACTACTTATACGAGAGATAACTTAAAAATTCATAGAACATGAAGGTAGTGGCGTCACAATACTGTGTGCAATATTCACTCTGAGAGTAAACGCTGGCGTTATAGTACCATCCCAACCCGTCGGCAGTGTCCTTTATTATAAAAAATAACAACTATTTACTTTTATTACATAAACTGCCATTAAAAAAAGAAAAAAAAAATTTAAATAACTTCTTAAATGTATTAGCTTTGATATTTGTACGTAAGAGAAGCTGCTAGATAATCAGCAATATGCTGAACAACCACTCATAGTATATATATATATATAATCGACTTCTAGAAGTTAAAATTAGAGATATATTAATTATGTGACTATATTTTTTTGTAAAACAAGCTACGTATTTAAATGAAGTCAATTGAAGTGTCTGGCGGTTGGAAGCGATTTGGCGGGGCAGAGCACAGTCAGCAGGAGCAGTAGGCCCGCGACGGCGGGGTCAGCGTATGAGGCAGGTGAGACAGAGCTCCGCTGAGCCAATACAGTCATCGTGACAGAAGGCACCGCATTTTTTGCACAGGATCATAGCGCGCAAGTTACACACGCACGCATCGTCAGCGCCAACGCTTCGACATCTTGCTACACTCTGAAATTATTGAAATATAATATTAATAATATAAAATGTGGGTTTTATAATATAATTTTAACCAAATACAGGCCAGTTTAGTGGAAAATCATGTGCAGACACATTAAATCTTTTTATTAAATGGATGATAATGGATTTTTTTTTATACAACTTAGAATGGCAAACAAGCTGACGGCCCACCTGATGGAAAGTGGTAACCGTCGCCTATAGACATAAGCAGTACCATGAACATAACAGAGTATACTGTTTCGCCCCCTCATGCGTTGCCATTCCTGAGGACTCAGGTGTTATTCCTCTGTACCCAGTAAATTCACGCCATATCCCACCCTTCAAACCGAAACACAGCCATGCAAACACAACTGCTTTACGGTTGAAACACAAATGGGACAGAGGTACCCAAGCAATTGACTTTTGTACAAAGTCTCCCTTTGAATTGATAACTCCATCAGCGCTTCGGTATACGCTGGTGAGAGACCAGTGAGGGATGATAGGTAAGAATGAAAGCAGGTCAGTTAGACCATCCTGACAAATTCAACAAGAATTTAATCATGATGATTTCCAGGGGAATCGCGTGGAGTTCGATCAGATATGGTATATTGCTAGCAATAATAGGACCGTTAGACTCCATTACTAACAATTCCTTTGCCCCCGACACATCAAATTAGGTGCACTCATAATGCTCAGTAACTGAATGAGCTCAGCTTCATAAGCTCATAATATCTTTGGCGAGTTCCCATTCCCGAGGACTACGGTATTATGGTTTCGTACCCAGTAATTAATTAGAGACTTGTATCACATTAGGGAGTAGCGTATTCAGGACAATTCTATTACGGCAATTCATTGCAAACACCTATTAGGATTTCATTATAGGTTGGTAAGATTCCTTTTTTGTTATGAAACTAACCGTGTCGCTATTGAATTAGGTACTTGCGCGTGATGACAAATTTTTTTATGCATAGCAAAGTCAAATGCGCGAAACTCATAATGAAAATACTATTACAATATTTTTGTTTAATCCGTTACTATAAATTCGATATAAATTACTATAGTCTGTCAAGTAAGAGCGTAACTATATAACTAGATAACTCATTTTTGAGTAAACGTATCAAACGAATTTTTTTGTGCGCCATTGAATTTGTTTACCTTCAATCTGCTTAAAAAATTATTGAAATTTATAATAAATCATTATTATCGGCTGCTAGAAGCTGGTTCATTAACAAAAATTAGGAGTGGATCTTACAAGAAGACAACGATCCAAAACACCGTACCAAACTGTGCACTGAGTGGAAGGAGTGATCTGGCATTGTCCATTGGATTGGCTGTCTTAATCGCCCGACGCCAACCCAATTGAAAATGTTTGGGCGTACACCAAGCGGAGGGTTCGTGAAAGGAGAGCATATACTGTAACCCTAAACACCTGAGGTTTCAAATTTTATACCGGGGTTATAAATCGCATTGGGCGCCTACAATCGATTTTATTTTAATATTTGGCTGTTTACATGTTACCAAATGTTTTTTTTTACTATTTTTCCCCATTAGTAAACACAGTAAAGGGTGCACTTATATATTTTTTAATTTGATTTAAAAAATCAGGCTTTTAAGGGTTAAAACAATTGTCTCGAAAAATCAGTCGCATTTGGAGGTCTTTACCCCATGAATACGCCATAAACTTGGTTCAAAGTATGCCTAGGAGATGCCAAGCAATTATCGACGCCAATCGTGACTGGACATGTTACTAATAATATTGCATCTTCGCTTAGATCAAGAACAATAATATATTTTCTATTTTTATTAAATTAACTTTTTTACAAATTAAGCCAACTACACTCTTACTTGACAGACTGTACATATAGGAACTTAAATATTCCTCATGTAAATTGTTTTAAATATCTATGACTCTTCGGAAAATTTCCCATTCGGAGAGTAGCAAATGTGCTAACATAAAGAAGATATTGTCTTAATCTGGCCAACCATCCCATATGTTTAACCATAATATTCTTAAATGATAATGATTTAGTATGATTCTACAATATTTGTATTTTATTAATTATTAGGTAGGTACTTACAACATTGGAATTTTGATTCGAAGGTGGAGCACTTGACGCCCGTGGCGCGACATTGGGTGTTCTTTGAACAAGAATGTACTGCCCGACGTTGTTAGACCTATTTTCATTTATCTGTAAAAAATGATAAGCTTACTTTACAAAAGCGAACTAGGCTCTAATCACTAACAATAGAATAACAAAAAATCTGGTTTCAAAATTATAAATAACGACATAGAAGAATTTTAGGATTTTTTTGGTCCACCCGATGGAAAGAGGTCAACGTTGCTCATGAACATTTGCAATACTAGACTTGAAATTTTTGAACGTAACTTACTTCATTATGGGACATAACAGAAACGGGCAGCTGTCTGACGAGCACGGGAGGGGGCGCGGGCGGCGCGGGCGGCGGTGGATGCGGCGGTGGCGGCTGCGGCGCCCGTGTCGGTCGCGGCGGCCGCGACAGCAGCGCCGGCGGCGGCCGCAGCTGGCCTCGTAGCGCGTCACGGTTCGGACTGTTTTGGATGACAGCTTGGCATATCTGGTAGCTACGCTCCAGGTTTACTGCTCCGGGTGGCACCTTATTCGAACTTCGACTCCTACAATTGGAAACTTGTGGTCAATAAACAAAAAGACAGAATCGATAAATATAACAATTTTATATTCCATTGTTCAGTTCCATATAAATGTCAATAAACTAATAATATAATTAGAATTTATTGTCTAATATATGTTTTTTTTTATGCAACTTAGAATAATAAACAAGCTGACTGCCTTGCACCTGATGGAAAGTGATAATCATCACCTAAAGACAAGAACAGTATCATGAAATATAAATCTGATATGTTGCATAACTGTTCTACCTCTGAAAAATAAAATAATTAGCTCCTTGTATTTATAGTTTTATTATGTAACATATTACAAAGATGTATAGCTGTTTCTATGATTATAAAAATTACGAAGTTTCACCGCACGGATTTTAATCTGCGTATAGATTATCATTACTATTACATTAATGTTACAGTGAGTTTGTTTCCTCTTAGCGCCTTAATGGTTTAACTAATCATTATGAACTTTAGTATATACATACTTAATGGGATGGATATAAGGATATAAGCTAATTTAATCCCGATCAGACAACATATTTCAATTACGCAGACAAAGTCGTGGGTAGAAGGTAGTATTTTTATAAATAAGGCAGTATAAGTTTTATCGGGACAATTCTACAAGACTTACATAATTTTGTGGATAAAACTAAAAAAAAATTCGCAATGCATATTTACTAACTAGAACTGTATATCTTACAATATCCGACTGATCAAATTTTACAGCACAGAAGGCAAACGAGCATGCGGCTCACCTGATGGTAAGTGACTACAGCCGCCCATGATCACCCACAACACCAACGGCATTGCAGGTGTGCTGCCGGCCATTTAAAAAGGAATATGCTCTTTTCTTGAACCTTATGATGTCGTACGAGGTCTGTCCGGAAAGTTCGTATAAAAGTGTTCTGGAATGCGAGAAAGAGGAGTGGGGAGGCCAGGTAAGCGCAGGACCCCTTCCTTATGTCCCTAACAATGCTTCAGTTCTGGTCTGACCGCCGTGCGGTGCGAACTGGCTTGTCACGCCATCTGTGAAGTTACCTCTTAACGAAACCCCGTCGGCATGGAGCCCGCTTCCGTTGAAGAGCAGCGCGTCGTAATCAAGTTTCTCTCGAAACTCGGCAAGAATGGCCGTGAAATTTTTGCCGATCTAATTCGATAAGACATCCGGGGAACCACGAACAAAAAAATCAAGAAAATCCCGCTCAAATGTCAAGACAATGTTGATTGTTTTTTTCGATGTTCGGGGGATTGTCCATCAAGAATTCGTCCCTCCAGGCCAGACAGTTGATGGAAAATTCTACGTCGATGTGCTCAGACGCCTCAAAGCTCGTGTGGCACGAGTTCGTCCAGAATTGGCGCGAGAGGGGCGTTGGATTCTTCACCACGACAATGCCCCTGCCCACACCTCTCTTGTTGTCCGTGAGTTTTTGAGTAAAAATTCCATTACGGTGACCGAACACCCCCCTATTCGCCGGATTTGGCCCCGTGTGACTTCTTCTTGTTCCCAAAAACCAAATTGGTACTTCGGGGGCGGCATTTGGGGGACATAAATGAGATAAAAAAAGCTACGACGGGGCAGCTGAGAAACCTACAACCAGAGGACTTTCAAGGAGCCTTCCCACAGTGGAAACGGCGTTGGCACAAGTGCATTATGTCACAGGGGGAGTACTTTGAAGGGGATAAAATTGATTTACCTGAATAATTGTAAAATAAAATTTTTAAAAAACTTTTATACGTACTTTCCGGACAAACCTCGTATATAAGTATATTAAATTTATCCAGTTACTACTATAATAACATTTAAAATAGCACTTCCAAAAGGTATTATCTGTATTTTTATGTGGCTAGTTCATGCAGTTACTACCAGTCACAAATTCAATTCTAAACCAATTTAACAATTATTTTTGCAATAAATGAATAATTAATATTCCCATGTCAGTCTCATATTAATTTTCTGATGATTAAAGCTCTTTCTTTGCAAAATTGTTGTTGAAAACAATTTTAATTATAAAAATAAATACCTGTTAGATTCCTTTCCAGACTTCGATTTTTTGCCTGTAGGCCGTATACTTTGAGTCATAGTTGTAGAGATAACGGGCGGGTGTGTGGCTGTAGTGCTGGATACTAAGGTGGGCACAGTCTCTAACTCTTGCTTTAAACTGGTCTCCTTCATTGACTGACAACTCTCAGATGAGTTGGACGATTCCATATTGAAGTTGGCATCCCTATCCTCTTTATACATGCAATTTTCATCATTAACATTTACATCATCCATGCTCATTTTAGAATCATCACTTACATATTTTGCACTATCTGTGTTCACATTGGAGAATGGATGCAGTGTCATAACATTTTCATTGTTTGTCCAATCACTGTCACTTTTCCATAACACAGCAGAGTTTTTTGGTTTGGCTGGGTCCTGCATATTATCATCAGGGTATGAAACTATCTGTAAATCAAATAGAATATATTGCAATATAATTAAGTTACTAATAATAATTTGATGGAAGAGTGGATATAATATAACTTACCGAAGTATTAGTAACCTCCATCATGGGTATTGATGAGTTTTGTGTCATAGGCATTGTCACAACAGCTGTTACATCTGAAATAAAATTAAAAGCAAATTGATAAAACATTAAACAAAAACAAAATTACATTATGATGAGTGTAACTAACAAAAATTGAAAACACAAAATAAACTTTAATTTTTATCAAGGACCATTAACTCCTCATCACTGTATTAAATTTAGATGATTTACTCACTTGTTTCACTCATATATGATGACAATTCCATTAAATTTGGATGTGGTGTATATTTCACATCTTCACCCTCTGAAATAAGAAAATTAAGTATTTCTTAATTTATTATTTTTAATATTAGCTAATTACATTATTAACTAACCAATTTTTTTTCTTTGGAAATACATTTAAAATTATATTGTGTATTTATCATTGGCAGATGCACATGTACTTATAGATATTTATTACTCTTTATTCATAGCTGTAAGTTCTGCTATTGATCCTGGAATGACCACCAGACCATTCCAGGGTGGCCACAGACCATCTAGCCCCCTACCCCTTAAGTACACCTAATAATAATTATAGATGTATGTTGTTTAGACATACCTAAAAGTTTTATTTAAAAGGGCTGCAATCCTCTAAAATGTCAGTTTAGTACATAATCATTATAATATAATAAATTTAAATGTAATTTACTACAAAGATAAATCAGATAATAAGATACTATGTAGTAAAATAGGATATTATTTATATAATATAAACTCCCAATTGGGGTCTATGTTCAGCAGTGGACATTTAATGGATGATATGATGATGATACTATCTATTATACTAATTTTTGTTGACAAATCCATGAGATATAATTTGATAATAAATAAATAATTATAAGTCTCACAATATATAATTTTATTTTTAATAGTTTTCTTATATTTAGTGCCCTCATCTCTAGATCCTGAGTTTCAGAGGATTACAGTGATTTTCCTAAATTATTGTGTTGTTATATTTAAATGAACTTACGTGGTGTGAGTATTGAAAGGCCACCTGTTTCTAATATAAAAGACTCTGCATCTTTGAAATGTTCATCATAATAGTTTTGTATTATGTTGTCTACTGGTCTCTCTTTTTCAACACATTTTTCAGGACTATTATCATTTTTAATTTCTAATTGCTCTAAGGATTGAGAAGACTGACACTCCACTTCCTGTATAACTTCTATTGTTTCACAAGAAAGTGCTTGTGTTTTATGATCACTATCACTTGTCGGTGGCTTTTCATTTAGTACATTATCGTTTTCTGAAGATGGTTCTGTATTATTGTCTTTATTATTCACATTTGAGGAAGACAATTTTATTTCACCATGTAATTCAGAATTGTATTCATTTTCACTTTGAGGACCTTCACAAACAGTTATACTTGCATTTGTAATTGATTCATTTACAACAATATTATTGGCATTTGTTTCAATTTTTAAGCTTGATATTGAAGATACACTTCTTTCATCATACTCAAATGTAGCTGTAGCTTTACTATCTTCACTATTTGTGTCTCCACCATCTTGGGCAGGATACAGGTGAAGCTCCTCATTTGAACAATTATCATTAGCATAATTTGTTTCAGTATCAGAACAATTGTTGCTATCTGATCTATGTGTTTCCTCTATATGAGAATGTGGTACAAAGGCTACATCATCCAATTCAAAATGATCCTCATATTTTATTCTTTTTGGACAAGATATATAATCTTCATTATCATCACTTAACCTTTTAGATGTTTCAGGAAAATTACATTCCAAATCCATTGTTTTATATTCTTCACAGTCTTTTGAAGTGCTAGATTCTTCTATAGTTACCACAGTGATATCTAATTCCTGCTTTACATCATTTCGTTCAGAATCTCCATCGGCTAATAAAAGAGGATCTACAGGTGTTGTTGACACAGAATCATCCTGTCTTTGTACTGATGAAGAGTCTGAAAAACTAAAATCTCCCTGACAGTCTACATAGCCCTGATTGTGATTCTTTACAATTTTTAGAGGAAGTAAGTCTGGAAGTGGTACAGAGGGTTTCATACTGACTGTAACAGACTCATCAACAATATCATCTACTTTCGCTGAAGATCTTGTCACAGCACCAACCGATCTCATTCTCTTACTGTTACTTGAAGATTTGTTCTTTTTAATTTTAGGAACAGTACTACTACTTGTTATAGATGCTGTAGGCCTTAATTTTATTGTAGTTTTTAAAGATGGTCTTTCTGAATTTAAATTTATTGCAGATTTTTCTTTACGTGACTTCTCCCCCCAAATTGGTTCAAAATGCTTTAATTTCCATGGGTCAATTTTACTTTTTTCTCTTTCAGCTTCAGTCTTCATTTTTTGTTGATTTTCTGGTGTAAATTCTCCACCAGAGAGACAGTCTTGCCATTCTAGACATGCTCTAGCAAAGAATTCATTATTGAGACTAGATGAATTCAATCTTCCTGATGGACTTAACCTATCAACACTTGGTAATAATTGTCCCAACTTAAATTGATAAAGTGGTGGAAGAAGTGAAAATGTATGTTTATTAAGTAATGCCCTAATATTTGTATTTACTAATATTGAATCTGGTGTTTCTAAGTCAATGCACCCTTCTCTAGTTTGTTGTAATTGAGCTGCTGTTGATAGTTTTTTACCACTACGTTTTCTAGGTTTCATGCAGAACCCAGGAATACTTGCTAGTACTTCTCGCATAGTAGATGGTCTACTGCTAGATGATTCCACACACGATGTTGCCGCTGTCCATTCTCTGTTTTCTGGAGGTGGAGGAGGCGGTAAGGGTTTCACAATAATTCTTGGTAAAGGTCTTGAGTGACTCGAACTTTTTTTTCTTCTTTTTGATTGTTTTTTTGAATGTTTGCTCGACTTTCCTTCGTCTTCTGGAATGCGTATGACGGAGTACGATTGCTCGTTGTTATTACATGTTATGTATTTGTTATCTGACGAGTTATCTGAGCAGTCCATATTGCTTTCTATTACGTTTACTGGCGATACATCCAGTTCCATTGTTAACTTTGTGTGCAGAAAACGGAAAATCATGAAATGAAAATGAATGTATGCCGATAGCAATCACTAATTCAACCCATTGTGTATTTTATCACATCGAAAACTTAAATGTTGTTTCAATATTGAAGAAACAATTTACTGGACATTACTTGAATTATATTGCTGAAAACTGGATAGCATAATTTGTACACAATAAAATAAAGTTACTCGAAGACTAAAAATCAAAATGTCACAACAACGCAGAAAATGGATTCCCTTAGTGATGTACTTATATCTTTTGATCATATGTTGGAATACCACAATATTAAAGACTGTCACTTTTTGCGTTGGTAAATCTTCCGTAAATTTTTAGCTTACAAAGGTGGTAAAATACATTATGCCTAATATTTCAAAATTTATAAACATGATATATAAAATAACATTTTGTAAAAATAATGATAATAATTTATTACAAAAAAAAATTAAAATATACCATGCAAAATATTACCAATTAATAAAATATTACATTTAAAAATAATTAGCTGATTTAGGAGATTATAAACTTTTAATAATAAATATTAAGTATGAATGACAGAATAACTTTGATATGACTATTAAAAATATATGCTTTTAATTTCCATTTAACAAAATTGCGTTTGTTTGGCGTTTTGAAGAGGACAAAAGAATTATATATTGAAGAAAGACTAAATTAGAAGCATCCGTAACCAGTGTATGAATAAATTGATAAATGTGAAGGAAATGAAAGAAGTATGAATCAAAATATTTTGTGCTCCATTCAAAATTAGTTCCATCTAGTATGAACTTACATAGTTATATGGTCAATTGGGATCCTTTTCACTAGTTTTAACAATGCTAAGATTATTATCGTTTGATTTTATTTTAGGTAACATAAAGTGAATAAATTCAAATTGACTATCGTCATCGCCCATCACTATTTCTCATCGTCCCCATAGATTGAGTAAGAATCATCAATTTACACTGAGGTTGATTCTCAGATGCCCAAAATTATTAAATTAAAATATTGGATGAAGAAATAGGTTTAAAGAAATGGCATCTGAGAATCGGTTATATATATCGTTATATATATCGGAATAATACTATTCTTATAAAATTATAATAATGTTTACTTAAATCTTTTAAAAAATTACTTGTATTGGTTCACACAATAAACATTTCGCTGTGACATCAAATCAAAATTTTAATTTTAGAGATTGGTTTAGAGAATGCCACTTCAGCACCGACCCCAATATTTTATTCCAGGTAGGGAGGTGCCTACTTTAGAATAGTACGTTATACTAAGACTACGGTTGTGGTTGAGGGGGGGGGGGGGGAGGAAGGGAGGGGGGGGGGGTTGGTTTAGGATTGTTAGTAATGGAGACTAAGGGTCCTATGGCTAGCAATATATCTAATCAGGTCAACCTCCACGCAGTTCCCTCTGGAAACCATCGTGCTGAAATCCAAGTGTATTGTAATCACACTCACTAGTGCCCTACCAGCGTATACCGTTAGCGCAGGTGAGGTTACTGTTCCATTATCATTCATTAAAAAAAGTCTATGGTATAAAAAGACTATTTGTGGGTCTCATTACCACCTAAGAACGAGGAATTACATAGAAGGAATGATAAAATAAAAATTTTTAATCATATGGTTGCCTCCTTTCTTTTTATGCAAAATATAATTAGTAAAAAGAGAATGAAATTGACACCATTCGTTGCTATTTTTCTCCATTCAAAGTAGGTTAGCGTATTGAAAATGTTTGATATGTCAATTATTTGTCATTGTCAAATTTTATATTACTAGATTATATATTCGACACAATTTATGTAGAAAGTACGCCAGCAGGTTGTATTTGAATTTGGTTAGGTTATACGACCATATAATGTTTTCTATATACTAGCCTGCTATGAATTGATAAAAATAGCAACTGATGGTTTATCTTTCATTCTTTTTATAGTAATTATATTTGCATAAAAGAAAGGATTGCCTCCTTTATTGTATTTTATATGAGTAATAATTTTTTTTTTTTAATATTTGAAGAAAATTGAAATTGGAGGAATTAGGAAATTACTTGTAAATAGGATGAAATATACTAGTATAAGCTGTATGACAAAGTATAAAAAATGTGCGTGAGGAACGATGTTTTTTTTTTTCGTCGTACATTTTGATGGTTATTTTGTAAATCATAGCATAATTCTATATTAGGACCACAAGTTATAGATATACAACTTACATATTGGTCTTCTATGACGGTACCGTTGCTAAGCATCTTATTTGCTGTAATATTTTATGCTGCATAATATATGTGTTCAATATTTAATATCGTTTTCTGTTCTTAACTTTAATAGATAAAAGAAGAGAAAATCGTGTAAATTATGAAAAAAAAAAGAATTTGTTTTTTCGGTAAATATCCAACTTAAATCTGGTAACACTCGTGGAAGTAGCTGTGACTAAGTAGTTTGACTTGATTTGCGGCCATTTTGTATTGTACGCGCATAATTGAATGGCGTTCATCATTTAGTTTATCGTGCCAGTTTTATAATTGTGTTATTTTTTTATGTTAATATAAAATATATAGTTCTGCAGTGCTATTAATATAATGGGTCGTGGCAGGTAAGTAATAATTCTTGTATTTAACCTATTTGGTTAGGGTATGGATTTAAACTACTTTCGGCATCTACGTATTTGTAATTAATTCATTGTTAGTTTGCTATTCCAGTTTAGTTGAAGTAAAATTAATTTTGGTTTGCTTTTTATACTAAATTTATGCAAGTTTTAACTAATTAACCAATGATATGGTGAGCGTCTTTTGTATGATAATGTAATGGCGTACCTACTCCAGGAAGCATGGTGTTTTAAAAATTCCATTTTGATCTATTTATTTTAAATAAGTGAATTGTTCTTTATTCCTTGTATTTCATATTAATTTAGCGTAATAAGATCACTCGATAATCTTTGTATAGGGATCGCAGTCGTGATAGGCGTCGTAGCCGCAGTAGGAGTCGAAGTAGAAGTCGCAGTCGAAGCCCTCGTTATGGCCTTGGTTCCGGTGGAGGTTACGGTGGAGGAGGCGGTGGCGGTCGAAGAAGCAATCCAGGAGCAAATCTTAGAAAGCCCAAATGGGATCTCAGTAGATTAAAACCTTTCAAAAAAGACTTTTACGTACCACATCCTGAAGTGGAAAAAAGGCCAGATTCAGAAGTAGAGGCGTGGAGAAGTGATAATGAAATAACTCTAAAAGGACGTAATATTCCTAAACCTACAATGACTTTTGAAGAAGCTGGATTCCCAAGCTATGTTATGGATGAAATCGACAAGATGGGATTTTCAAAACCTACACCAATTCAGGCTCAAGGGTGGCCAATAGCATTGAGTGGTTATGATATGGTGGGAATTGCATCAACTGGATCTGGTAAAACACTTTCATATATTTTACCAGCTATTGTCCATATCAATAATCAGCCAAAATCAAGCAGAGGAGATGGTCCTATTGCATTAGTATTAGCTCCTACTAGGGAATTAGCACAGCAAATTCAAGAAGTTTGTGACAAATTTGCAAATACATCAAAGATTCACAACACTTGTCTCTTTGGAGGGGCTCCTAAAGGACCTCAGGCTCGTGATCTGGATGCTGGTGTTGAAATTGTTATTGCCACTCCAGGTCGTTTGTTGGATTTCTTAGAGAGTTCACGAACCAACTTGAAGAGAACAACATACTTAGTGTTAGACGAGGCTGATAGGATGTTAGATATGGGTTTTGAACCTCAAATAAGAAAAATCATTGAGCAAATCCGACCTGACAGGCAAACACTCATGTGGTCAGCTACATGGCCAAGAGAAGTGCAAAGTTTGGCCTCAGAATTCTTGAAAGATTACCTTCAGATCAATGTTGGTTCTCTGCAATTAGCTGCTAATCATAATATTTTACAAATTATTGATGTGTGTATGGAATATGAAAAGGAGACTAAATTGAGTACTCTTCTCAAAGAAATAATGGCAGAGAAAGAAAACAAAACAATAATTTTCATTGAGACCAAAAGACGAGTTGATGATATAACAAGAAAAATGAAACGAGATGGGTGAGTACAACATATTATATATTTATTTCATTATAATATATTATTTTCATTGTTTTTTGAAATTTTCATGGACTGTAAAATTAGATTGTTCTATATTTTAAAGTTTATCCTAAGATTTCAGCCATGTTATCATTTTAAGTTACCATTAATAATTTTTGTTATTTAAAAAAAAATTGTATTCTAATTTTATAATAATCTACTACTTTTGATTTCATTAGCAATTAATTCAACAATAATATGATAATTTCCAAATGAAATTAATTGACATTTGTTTTTTTTTCATATAGGTGGCCAGCAGTATGTATACATGGGGATAAATCTCAAAATGAACGTGATTGGGTTTTGCAAGGTAATCAATGTTATAAAGGCATTTTTAATTATAAAAAATATTTGATTTGTTTATTATTTATTATTTTATCTTCTTTTTGTAATACAGTATTTGTAGACACGAAAACTATCCAATTTATGAAACATCTCATAAAATAAATAGAAAATAGCAAGTGAACCAAGTGGTTGTCGTCGCCGAGAAGCGGTGTCGGACTGCAGACACAGAGCGATGGGTGTGGCGTAAGCCCTTGCTAGTATACTAGTGTCTGAAGACATGTCTGCATGTGCAGGCTGTGGGGAGCTGCGGCCGGGCGGCGGAGGCGGCGGCACGCCGCGGCCGTCGCCGCTAAGCGCCGGCGGCGGCGGCGAGGCGCCTGCGGCCGCGTCCGCTCCGTGCCCGCCTCTAGTAGTCGGGGCTAAGCTCTATGCACTCTGACTTGCCATCGCGGCCAGTCTGAGCCGCTTCTCGCATGTTCAGCGCGGCGAGGCTCGCCCCCTCGCCGGCGGCAGCGAACGCACAAAGCGCCGTTTGCCGTTGCGTGACGGCACAATGGCGCCGGCGCGGATTGAGCGCGTCCGCACTCACCGGCTCGGGGTTCCACTCCTCTTGCTCTAGATTCATATTTAAATGCGTTGTGTGTGATTCGACATGATTGCCCTGAAGGAATCGAAGTTATTAGTAAGTTGTGTTCAAAAATAGAAGTAGTGTTGGCATAAAAAACATCAAATGGATCGCATTAGACCCTTTTTTGTTAAAATAATATTCATCCCAGTAACATTTTCTTTTACCTATACACAAAAGTTACTGTATTCTAATTATATATTTAAAATGTATCTTTTTCTTGTTATATATGTATATATTATTGAATAAATCGTTTACGTTTCTCATAATGCGTTGCCTATGAGAGGTGGAATGTAATATTGTTGTAATTAGAGATAGGAGTTGAGTCTTCAGAAGACAAGTACTTTAAATTAATAAATGTAAAATAGAATTTGAAGAAACGTTGATATGGTACTAAGTTGCCAATAACTTAAGTATAGGAGTGTAATAATTTACAGCATATGTTTGTGCATACATTGTTCTCTTAATCGATACGCAACTTTAAAGACGTCTTGAAGAGCTTGCAGTGGTGATATGACTGATTACCTGTTGATTTCTACATGACATAGTTTTTGTAATTGATGCAATAAAGAATTAATTAGATACAGCCTAAGAGTAATTAGGCTATATACTTACTACTTTTAGAGTGATGATAGTTTAAGTAAATAAGAGATTAAGAATTTGTAGCCTCTTATGGACACAAATATTTAACCTTTAAAAGCAATATGGGCTGCATTTTCGTTTTCATTTCCAGTAATATTGCAGTATATGGACAATATACATATACTGCAGCACATTAATATTGGTTTAATAGTATATTGTTTCGAATTTCTTATATATTGATTTTATTTCAGATTTTCGAAGTGGAAAAGCGCCAATTCTTGTAGCTACAGATGTCGCCGCTCGAGGTCTAGGTATGATATAATTTAAGATTTTCTTATAGAAATAACTAGATATTTTGATTTAAAAATTAACTATGAATTAGGATACTCATTTGAACGAAATGTCTATGGGACCATACTGAAAGTATATTCTTTCAGATAAAAAAAATCTATATTTGTTTATAAATGATGGAATTTAGAGATAACAAACATAAATATAAACAAATTCTATTGTAATTATATTCTCATTTGCATAATTTTCTTATTTTTTTATTTGTTTCAGATGTTGACGATGTGAAATTTGTTATTAATTTTGATTATCCCAGTAACTCTGAGGATTATGTACATCGTATTGGAAGAACTGGGCGTACAAATAAAACTGGTACTGCCTACACATTTTTCACCCCTTCAAACGCTGCTAAGGCTGCTGATCTTGTATCAGTTTTAAAAGAAGCCAAGCAAGTCGTAAATCCGAAATTGCAGGAGCTTGCAGAACGCGGAGGTGGTGGCGGACGACGTAAGTATTCTATAAAAAATAGTTATATGTATTCCTTAATATATAACAGGGGTGACTGATTTGACTATATCTGAGATTTACTGTTTACTGACGAAAACCTGTGCGATCTGCCAATTACATACTTTAAATCTCAAATCAAATAACATACATAGTTCAGTACACAATTATTTAGTTTTTTTTTATTAAGAGAGAAAACATAAAACTGGAAATTATTCGTAATAACTACTTATTCATATTAGTGTGAGCATTGCGTCCGAGTCTGCCTTTAGATTAGCAAAATATATTTTTTTTTATTCTTGCCACGATGGACCGGTTGGTCACCTTTGATATATAAGAACCTTGTGATATGAGTTTGCCTAAATAGTGAAACAGGTCGGGTATTTATTATAACACCTTTTATGTGGAAGAGTTTTTTTTAATAATAACAATATGTATACAAAGTCCCACCAAGTGCTGACAATAATGACTATATGAATAATAAATTTAATATTTTTTGCAGGTCACCGTGGACGGGGAGGAAGGTATCGTCGCGGACGTCGCTCACGCTCCCGTTCTCGTTCGCGGGACCGTGACCGTGACCGCGATCGTGATCGCGACCGCCGACGTCGCTCCCGCTCGCGGACCCGTTCTCGAGACCGTCGTCGTCGCAGACACAGCTCGTCCAGATCCTCAAGAAGCAAATCATCAAGATCCTCGAGAAGTCATTCGCGCTCCCGTTCCCGCTCGCGTAGCCGTTCTCGTTCAGGCAAGTGCAGCCCTATGAAGGATGCTACGAATACAGGGCCTCAGACGACCTCTCAACCTCTTTTGCCCACGCCAAAGTCGCTGCTACCTACTCCTATTGGTCCACAACTCCCACCTTCTCATAATGACAAATCAAATGGAAAAGGTCCATCCACTCCTCCTGTAAATAATACCGAACTTCATTCTAAGAGAGAAATAACTTCTCAAGATAACACTAATCATGCAGATAATGCAGACTTCCAACAACAACAGCCACAGATTCCACCTTTAATGGCTATAAATCCCCAAATGAATATGTGTGTTCCCCCACCAATGAATGGTACAGGCTTTGTCATGCCTCCATATTTTCCTGCTGATCAATATGGTATGATGATGCCTTCTTTTTCTGGGCCCATGCTTGGAGGATGGTCAGCCCCACCACCTCCTCCTCCCCCTCCACCTCCTGAATCTGGTAGCGCGACTCATGGGCAACGTGGCTCGGGAGAAAGTGGTCTCGAGTCAGATTCCAGGAAGCGAGGCCCTCGTAGTGGAGGGCTTGGCGCATCCAGTTACGGCTCAGGCGGAGGCCTGGGTTCCGGCGGTGGTCTCGGCTCCAGTACCGGCCTTGGCTCTAGTGGAGGCCTTGGTACGAGCGGGGGCCTCGGCTCTGGCGGAGGTCTCGGTTCAGGTGGAGGCCTCGGTTCAGGCGGTGGCCTCGGCTCCGAGGGTGGCCTGGGCTCGGACGCCGGCCACTCCGGGTCTCGCTCGAGAGGCCGAGATAGGCGTCGTCGTGGAAGAGGACGAGATCGTGATGACTATGACTCGGAGACTCCGAGTAGTGGTGGTCTTGGGTCTCAAGGACTCGGAGGCCTCGACGGCGGCGGACTGGGTTCAGCGCCCGGTCATGGATTTGCCTCTGGCGGTCTCGGAGTACCTCACGGGGGCCTATTGCCGCGCATGCTTCCCCAGAACGGTGGCGACTACGTAGGATCACAAGCCGCCAACTTCACTGCTTTTGGCTCATATGGATCTAAGAACAATCAAAGAAATAATGAACAAGAACAGTTTTCAAATGAGAATTATAGTGATGCTGGATATAAAAATGTTATGGATTATTATGGCCCTCAGAATATGGGTCCAGGCAGACCATTTGGAGTTGGTTTAGATCAATCTGGTCTAAATGGTGCGCAGGCAAATGGCTCCGTGGGGTACAATTATGACCGCCAGAGGAATCACCAGCGGTGAATAGGAATGAGGTTTGTTATATTCAAACCAATGCAAACTCACCTCCTTAACAATCACACATTTTTATGTCTTGACTAGATATGCCACCCATAATTATATTTATTTCTTGTTGTTATTAGTTATGTTTATACAATTTATTATGGTTGGTATATCATCCATGGTATCTTTACATGAATGTATATACTATGCGGGTATGAATCTAATGCGGATTTATTGAATTATATTATTTCCTTACAGAAAATGGATACAATGGGGATTCGCGTCGACGCAGGAGGCGATGAGCAGAAAATCTAAACAACGGAGATCAAAAATACTATAGTTTTAGAATTGAGATTTTAAAATCCATTCCAAGTATGTATTTAATTCAATTTTATTGTCGTAATATTGACAAAGAGTATATGCAACAAGGCATATGGTCAATTCTTTCTTTCACTTTCTTACATCTATGTTTTACTACGATATTTACTGATGTATGAATATATATTCTTAATTATTTATCTGTGTTCCGCATTTCTCATGGTTAACCCTTTTGGATTTTAATTTAAAATTATTTTTATTACATATGTTATATTGTATCCACATTGAATTATAAGTTGAAATATTGAGTATGATTAAGAATATGTCACATTCGTTACTTTATAAGTAATAAGAACAACAGTTGATTTGTACAATATACGTACAAGTTAGTTATAAAAATAATTATTTTAACTTATATTGGGTCTACTGTGAAATGTCAATATCAGGAACATTTGTACCAGTTCTAATTTTAATAGTAAGCAATGAGTTTTATTTAATAGTACTGGGTTTAATTTAAAAGCTGATTTGAATATTTCATTTTATGTAAGGTAATTTTATAATCGCTCCAAATAAAAAAGTAATGAAATCCCTGTTATTTTAATAATGGTAATATATAATATTATTACTGATACAAATTTATTCCTGGAGAGGCTCTTACAACTATTCTGTGAAGTAATGTTGAACAATGGGATGGGAAATATTTTCCTTATGTTTAGTAAGCCCAATATCAGATGCATTGAGGTATGATCATCTGTGACTGCTTTTTTGACATGTCCATCAGTGACTGATAAATAGAAAATGAAAAAGCATTTTATCGCTGGATACCTGGCATTGTATATCACTGTCGGGTATGCAATGCTTAGTTATTGGCATAACTAATAGAAGAAAATATGAATACAAAATTTATTCAAAAACTAATATTGTCTACTTACATAGTGTATTTTCTTTTAATGAGTTCTATTATCCAGTAGAAAAAATAATTTTTCATAAATCTAATTATGCAGTACTAGTTTTTATCAAAATTGACACTCAAGACGTTCTTTCAGCCTTTTAAATTAAAAAAAAAAAAAAAAAATTGTCTGTACTATATTTTGTTGTTCTCAAACTCAAAACATTATGTTAAAACTATAAATTTTACCTTTGTATATACAAATATCCTTGGATTTTAAATAGGCGTATTTAGGATGGGCGGTGTACACCTTAGGATGTGAGCGAAGCTTCAAATAAAACGTATCTGAGAGTTCATATACCTATGTCTAGTACAGTACAAAATAATCCTAAATACGCCAATGAGATTATATAGATAGAGTGTCTCCATACAAATGCTACACCAAAATAGATAAACTTTTTACCTGTGTGTGGGTGAATAGGGGTAATATAATGTACATTTATTACTCAGTATAAAAAAAATTATATATAAGGTTAAATTGAAAAATAAAAACGTTGCAACATTCTTACGAATATATTTGAAAAAACAAGATAAACAGTGCAGTCATTCGTAATGATGCTTATCTTGATTCTTTTATTTATGTCTGAATGTAGACATAAAAATACATTTCCTTTTTTAAATCATTGAAAGTGTAAATTTTATCTTTGTGTGTATAATTCAATTAATTCATTAATACTGCTTTTAGCATTAAGTCCACCTTGTACACATACATGTACTAATGAATAAAGTAAATAATAAAATTGCCGCCATTTTAATTAATATATGTATATATGATTTTGACCCGTTTTTAATACTCGATGCTATATCTATATAATCTAAGACAATAGTATACAGTAAACGGGCCATTTGGATGCTCCTCGCCCTTATTTTTCAAATATGGAACTAACAAGCTCTATTGGAATTCTTTCCGATATGGGTAAAACTATAGGTGAAACCATGTAATTGCCTCCAAAATCCGTCACCAAATTCCATCGTAATCATATAGGTACATTGTTCATACAATAGGATAGTAGGATGTAAGTACTTTACTTTGACAAAAATGTATCTTTTGTAGACATAATTATTATATTATATTTCATAAAAACTGGATACAGAAAACTGATGCGGTACTTATGTACATGCTATTTTTTGTAAATTTCATATTGTATTTCAAAAGTATTACATAATATTCTGCACAGTAATTTGACTAGCTGCTAATCTCATAGAATAATATTGAAAATAAAGTTTTACAACGAAATTTATGCCACTTTTTATTTCTTGTATTTGTAATTCTTACTAATATTATAAATGTGAAATTGTGTTTGTTACTTTGTAGCCCTTAAAGGGCTTAAGTAATGTCGTTATGAAATTTTTATTGGGCTCTAAGAACTATTAACGTCCTTAGCTATTGGAGCCCAGGATCGGTCGTTCACTATAAATTTGAATACGTACTACATGGTATGGAGGAAGATATAGGCTACTTAACCCTGGTAAGTTAACATGTCCCGGTTATGCGAACGAAGTCGCGGCTAAAAGCTATTGTTACTATATTTCCTTTTTAGGAGTAAACATTACCTACTTGAGGAAGCATGCTTTTAAATTTTTTTATGGGTGAAAATGGCATGGTAACCCCGCCTGCGCTATTGGTATACAGGCGGGGTACCAGTGGGAGGTGAAAGGTGAGAATGAAAAGGCAGGTCAGTTAGCACATCGTGACGAATTCAATGATAAATTAGTCACGATAGTTTCCAGGGAAAACCACGTGGAGGTCGACCTGATAGGGTATGTTGATAGAAACTAACCTCCCCAATACTAACAATTCCTTCCCCGCTGCTTTTATATATTTATGAAATATTATATTGTATATACAAGTGCATCAGTATTAAGTAGTTGGCCCCTTTAAAAATGCATATTATATATTGAAATATATATATATATATCCCCTTTGGTTCCGGCATAGAATAGACCACCCCTTCTTTTCCAGCGAGTTTCGTAAAAGGCCACTAAAGGAGTGTATGGTGGAGGGATGGGCAGCATTGTCCTTCTTAAAACATCACTAAAGGCCTAACTGCGGTTACCAATCCGCCTGCACTGACCAGAGGGAGACTTTGTACAAAAGTCGATTGCTTGGGTACCTCTGTCCCATTCGTGTTTCAACCGTGAAGTAGTTGTGTTTGCATGGCTGTGTTTCGGTTTGAAGGGTGGGATATGGCGTAAATTTACTGCACCACGGGGAGGTCGACTTGTTAGCAATGGGAGTAGTAATCCGACTTTCTAACAATCCCTTCCTAAAGTAGGTGGTTGGGCTCATGTAAATTTTTGTTTTTGTGTGTGGGCCGTGACATTCTTACTTTTCGTAGCTTACAGAAGGATAGAGAGCAACTGTCTTATGAAGACAACGCAGTATACGGAGCTTCACAGATTTTTATACTGTGATGATATTATCACGTAGACTAGATAGTATTTGCTAAATATAATTATGACCCTAATAAGTAATTTATTTGGATACCGTTGATAATATCTTTCCTTCCTAGATAATAATCCGTAGATTAGGTACTTATTAGATGTTTTTTTTAACGGATGATAATGGATTGGTAACCCCACCCGTGCTATCGGTATACACCGGCGGGGCACCAGTGAAGGATGGTAGATGAAGATGAAGTAGGTCAGTTAGCCCATCGTGACGAATTCAAAAATAATTGTTCACGATGGTTTCCATGGGTAACCATATTAGATATGGTTACCAGGACAACCGGCTTGTTATATGTAAATTAGTATTTGATAATATTTCTCTGTAATACATACTAGTAATAATGAGTTTTTGTGTAGATTTGGTGTCTGAAGACTCCTTCTATGAAAATATTACACTGGGAGTAACAAAATTATTAGGTTAGTTAGGATTTAATAATAATAAGGTTTATGTACCAGCAATGAAATAAGCAGTATTACAACCAGTTAAACAGCTTACTAGGATAACTATTTTATTTAAATTATATAATATTTGTATATCAATAATCATTGATAAGAATTGGTTTTATGTTTTGGTAAAAATTTAAATCCATCTGGCACTGGCCCTAATAACATTTCACTAATTTTTATCCAATCAGCACAGTTTCCTGACCCCATTAATGTCTCTAGGTCATCCCTGCCAAAGTATGCTGGTGGTCTCTCATTAATTTTTTGTGGTGGCCTTTCTAGGAGACCCACTGGAACATAACGATACAAAAATGATAACCATTCTAATAAAAATCTTCGTGTATTTTCTACACCTTGCATATCAGAACCCCAATGTTCTAGGCCATAGTTTGTGTACTTTTTGATAATCTCAAATCTTTCTTTACTACTGATATCCCAAAGTTTTTGTTCTTTAATCTCTGTGAATATCCACGGTTTGATGAGTGCTCCACGGCCAATCATTACTCCTTGAACAGATGGTGCTAGTTCTCTTCTTTGTACATAATCTTCATAACTTAAAATATCTCCATTACCAAAGACAGGACAAGGACTAGCAGCCTTGGCACAGGTTTCAATATACTCCCAATCTGCTGATCTAGTGTACCTTGCTTCTCTTGACCTTCCATGTAGAGTTATCATTGAAGCTCCTGCTTCAACAACTTTTGGTATAATGGTGTGAGCAATTTTTTTATTCTGATAAACTCCTGTTCTCATTTTAATAGTAAATGGTATACTAAGCAATTTTGAAGCACATGTTATGGAAGCTTGAAGTGTAGGCAAACGGTGCATCATACCACTGCCCCCACCTTTTTTGTAAATTAAGTCAATCGGACAACCAAGATTTAAGTCTATAAAGTCAAGATGAGTATTTTCCTGCAAAAGTTGTGCAACTTTTGTAATTATGTATGCATTATTTCCACATATTTGTGCCCCAAAAATATCTTCTGACTCATGTCTTTTTACTAATGCCCATTCTTGTTTGGCTCCTTTCAGTAATGATTCACATAAAGCCATTTCACCACATGTAATATCAGCACCATACTCTTTACAAATACGTCGAAAAGGCAAATTTCCCACAGTAGTTAGGGGGCTGAGATACAACTTATTCGACCAGTCTATGGTTTTCTTTTCCCTGGGAAGAAGTTTGATAATATCTTCATCAGTAATAGCACCACTGACAAATGTTTCTTTATTTACATTATTTACAGTAACATCTTCAAGACAATTTGAAGACTTTTCTGGCAATTTACTTTTTGTATAAATGGCTTTAACAAGTTTCTCAGCAAAACTCAAATCATATGTCTTTTTCTGGAGCTGTACTTGAAGTGAATGTTGCAGTGTGTTTTGGGTGTCCTCTTTCCATTCTTTTAATTTTTCTTCATTGACTAGATTGTAACCTTCAGTAGTTATGTGCTCTGAACCAAATCGGCAGGCGATTCCCCTAGGGCATCTTCCACGAATGTCGAATATATGACATCGTTCATTGATATCTTTGGGTTTCGTTCTTAAATAATCAACAGGATTATGTATAAATCTGCAATTTTGATATTGGCAAGGCGTCTTTTCATCAGATGATCTTATGTCCACAATGCTAGGACACGGTTTGTCTTCTTTGTTATCTTGAAATGTTTTTGGCCTAGCCTTGTTCTGTCCTCTATTTTTATTTCTTTTTGTCCAAGCATTATCATTACCATTATTTTTCGACTTCTTATTGTCACATTCAATATCCTTACAATCGCCAATATCGTCGAGTTTTCTTTTATTTAGTGAATTAGTATTACTTTCGTCATCGATAATACGATTATCTGTTCTTTGGACTATGAATTCTTCTTTAATGGCGCATACACCATCACTTACGTTGGTCATATTATATATAAACTATATACAAAGAATATTAGGTGGTCATGGAATTAAATCGTAAATAGAAATTACTTTTTTATACATGTAATTAGTATTTTAAATATTTTTATAGGTTATCTCTAAACATAACACGTTTCCCGGCGGTTGACACTGACAGTATTGACAGCCAGACAAGTAGATATTGACAGTAATGATATTACATGTCAAACGTATTGTTTACTTACTCTGTGATATCAATACATTTCAGTAGCGCGTAATAGTTAGTGTCCTTTTTATGCCTGCGCTATCGGTATATACTGGTGGGGCACCAGTGAGGGATGATTGGTGAAGGTGAAGGCAGATCGGTTAGCCCATCGTGACGAATTCAATGATAAATTAGTTACGATGGTTTCCAGGGGGAGCCGCGTGGAGGTCGACCTGATAAGATATTGATAACAATGGGGACTAACCTCCCCAATACTAACAATCCCTTCCCCCCGAATAGGTAGTGTAGTAGATACTCGTAGATCTTAAATAGTGTCGTGACATTGATAAACAATAGTAACAGACAAACTGTTACTGTTGTTTATCAATTATTTTTTAAGTGTCGATTTGGAATTATACTTGTTTTTAAAGACAAATTTATAATGTACCTGTATCTATAAAAATTTATCAGTATTTCGTTAATTCTTTGCTACGGGCCAATTATGGATTTAATCCTTATTTACTTATTAAGATACTAAAAATTATTTCAAATGTTTAATAATTCTTTGGGATTGATAGGTAGTGATACCTCTGGTATTGCAGGTGTTCATAGGCTACGGTAACCACTTACGATCAGGTGGGCCGTATGCTTGTTTGCCACCTCAGTGGTATAAAAAAAAATCTATTTTCGATGGTTGTTATTGGCGGGTCACTAATTAGTATTAAATAATATTTTAAATTTGTGACTATTGACTTGTTTCGGCTTCGTAAGATTTTTTTGAAAGTAAATTCTAACACCTGTTACTCGTTGTTAATGTAGTTTTGTATAAGTGAAAAAAGTTTGTTCATTGCAAAAAAAATCTTTCTTCTTTATAGTATTTAGATACGTATTTTTATTAGAGATAATATATGAGGCTAATATATTTTTGAGAAACATTTACGTAATTTTTTTACTTTATTAGGCAGTAGATTTAAGATTGTGTGTGTGTATGTGATTATATAAACTTCTCATTCGCTATCTCTGCGTTTCTGGGACCATAACCTGATAGTTCGGCGTTGATGACTAATTCTTTATCATATTAGCCGTGAACTGTCCACTACTGAACATAGGCCATCCTCATAAGGAAGTTTTGCCAGTAGTCGTCATGCTTGGCAAACAGATTGGTAACCGCAGTTAAGCTTTAAGAGATTTTGAGAGGGATGCTACTGCCCATCTTTGTTACAGGAAGTAAAGAGGTAGCATATTCTTTGTCGAGACCACATGACAGTATTAACTAATTTATTGAGTATCATTTATATTTATGATTGGTATTTATATTAGACGCTATATTCACATGCAGAGAATATTTTTTTAACAGCTAATTGTATTAAATTTTCAACTTTAATGTCTATTAAAGTAGACAATATAATTGTCAAAGTACAAAGACTGTACTATATCTTCTGTTTAGTAGGTTATAGTCTTTGTGCTTTTACAATTTTCAGTGACCTTACGTTATTGTTGAAGTTCGCTAGGTAGCGGTCCGATAAGTAGATATTTGCCACATTACACAGAAAATTTTATATTATTCTTACAGAATCTGACCCTCGCATTTGCAATGTGAGCGTCGAACGTAGATCACCCTGTGATCGAGTGGCCCTCTCGACTTGGGAACAAAGACATTCTGCAGTGCTTCCTGAAGATGTTCGAAATTTTTATGCATCAACTGACGGTTTCCAGTTGACTTGGCATTATAAATATTCAGGAAAGTAACATTTGATAATTTTTCTTGTAACTCAGTTATAATTTGATTCAATAGAATTAAATGTAAACAAACGAGTAATTGACCCGAGTGTAAAACATTTGTTGTATTTATTTCTTATTGTATTCCATAATTAGTAAATAACATTTCAATTATGGACCCTGTTGGGCACAGCAAGTAGGAGAGAGGAGGACAACACTTTTTTCACTTTCGAAATAGTCTAAGGATCTGTTGCAATATTAGCCGTTAATTGTTCAATTTTGAATATTGCCTCCTAATATGGGTTTTGACAGTAGTTGCCACGCTTGGCAAACGGGTTGGTAACCGCAGTTAGGTCTTTGGTGATGTTTTAAGAAGGACGGTGCTGCCTATTCCTTCACTATATGCTCCTTTAGTCGCCTTTTACAACACGGGGTGGTCCATTCTATGCCGGGATCTACACGGCTAAGATACTTACTAGGTGTAAGTATCTTCGCCGTGCGCGTAAAAATACTTGCCTTTATCCAGGTCTACATTTGTATGGATTTTATTGTAACTATAGATTATAGGTACAGAGCCAATTTGTCTGCAGGTGATGAAATTCTTCCGGTTGGATCTATTAGGGTGAATTCGCTCAACGAATTGTGCTTATCGCCAGCTTTGAAGGACCTGTTGGATTTTTCTATGACCAGACAAAGCAGTGGCCCACGGCCAGTACTGAACACAAAAAGTAAGGTGTTTGAATTGGACTCGTGCAGGACTATCGGAAAAGAAAGTATCACGATACAAAATTATTTATTTTTTATTATTATATTCTAGACTAGGTTTTTGCCCGTTATTTACTTGGATTTCAGAAGTAGAAAACTTAATAAAATAGACTATATCTAGATGACATAACACGATAAAACATACGAGTAGCAGTTTTTGCGTGATACCGGAACAAATATACAGACAGACAAAATTTATTAGGACCACTGATATATTTTTTTTAAATATCTGCTATGTACAGACATCGTCTAACTACAATTTTATTATATTAATAGGATAATTTCAATCACTGGCATTTGTAGACTGTTGTCTTGGTTACAGAGAATATAGTACTATATTAGTAAAAGGTAATAGTATGTGTTTCATCCTCACCTATTACCCCTCACTACCCCGTCAGTATACCAATAGCGTAGGCAGGATTACTATACCATTTTCACCCATTAAAAAAATAGTATGTGCTGGATACATTTGAATTTATCGTAACAAGAAGTCAGGCTTTCGGCACTTTCTATGATAATTGATTTGTTAAAAGTGTTGTTCATCTTTATATTTTTTTTTAAGGGTAAAGATGGAATGGTGCACCCACCTACGCTAACAGTATACGGCGGTCATTTTGATCTATAATGACGAATTCATTAGGAATAGGGATGGTTTTCAGGGGGAACAACGTGAAAGTCGATCTGACATGAGATTATGGTAGTAATGGAAACTAGCATCTCGTGATTAACAATCAATGAACAAAAAGAGGGACTTTAAAAGCAAACACTGAGTTTATGGTGTCGGTCGGTTTCCAACTAACGACTATTGGGCTTATAAAGTCGAGCTAGTAAACTACCAAAAAACCGTTCATTATAAAAAAATATTTTATAGTAAACGTAGATAGATAAGAAAATGTGTATTAATACAGTATAAACATTACTGACTTGTATCTCTTCTATAATTGAATGATTATTTAGCAACACACTAATAATACACTGTGGAAAGGAGCATCAATGTCAGATGATTTTATAAATATGTATTTTTTATGTTTAGGTGTGTTTAATCTACACCGGGGGCTCCTGGTCAGTGTGGCTAGCGACACGTGAAGGTGGGTGGGGTTGGCTAGCAGACTCCTTCACGTTGTATTTTAGGATGGCCTTAGTTCATCTAGGTCTACCGGGTTGGCAGGCAACATTCGCCAATCTGCCACTCATACCCTGGGCTGAGGTATAGCACCTATGGCTTTTTATTAAAGTTTTTTTATATAAAACGAATCGTCTTTTAGTATGCTTGCTTAGCAAGTTGTAACACCAGCGATGTGGCCAACCCTAGTGACACGAAGATCTTGAGTTATAGTACCGAGCAAATTCACTGTCGTATCTCAGTTTTCAAACCGGAGTACAGTCGCTTGGTAGCAAAAATATATACGGTTATGTATATAGAATTTTATGCGACTTAAAATGGTAAACAAGCTGACGGCCCATTTGATGAAAAGTGGCAATTGTTTTAATATTTATATGAGTATGCTTACTTTTATTTATTCTACATTATTACTAGATTTAAAAGAGGTACAGGATATACACAACGTGTTTTTTTTACATTTCATCTTTCGTCCACTTGTATGATTGTCTCATGTAGGCAAGTTTTGTATTATATATCCAAATTAGCTGTATCACGCGGTTCCAGCCGCGTGAATAAGAACGTAAAGTATTCTATGTGCTAACTGCTAAGTTAGGATATAATTTATCCGTGTATCAAATTTCGTTCAAATCCGTTTCGGAGTTTTAGCGTTGAAGAGTAACAAAGACCCATTCATCCATCGTTACAAGGTTTCACATTTACTACATTAATAGGATTCCTCTTTCAATCACTGTTTTTTCTGTGTTACAGCAACTGTTTCTTTTACTGGCACCGCATTTACTAGAGAAGGTTGATCAAGAAAACAATACTGTAGCCGTTGGAAATGAGACTGGATTGAACCATATCGATCCTAATATATTTAAAACCTCAGCCCGGCATCATAAAACTACGCGGCAGGCAAATCAGTAGAAACTAACTAGAGACAATGAAATAAATTTATTGGCATGCCGAAGAACATAGTTAAATGAGGTTACATAAATTGATTAGCAAAATATTTTGAGTGAACAGTGAGCGATAAATTAAAGCACTTTAGGTACATAATGTATAATAATATATTGAATAATATCGACACAATATAATTTATAGCTAAATAACATAACTTGGACGGAATGTGAGATTCATAATGAAGTATAAGCTAAGTTTACAGCGATATTGCTTAAATTAACAGGCTTAACAAGCAAATCCCTGAAACAATATAATATTATCTAAGTTACAGGCTGCATTAATATTTATTAAAACATAAAAGTGTAAAAGTCTCGTTTAATAATATAATACAGCATTCTTAAATATTATTGTGATGTAATGCAAAAATTGTAAAAGTATAAAGTTAGAAATATTACTGTGTGATGTAGGTAACGTAATTACATTATAATACTATAAATAGCATTTTTATTTAAATATTAATACTATGAACGTGTCAGGAATACATCTTTAAGGCTTTTCCCTCCTTCATTGACATTTCATAAATTATTGTGATTGATGTTTACAAAAAAACATTTCTCTTACACGTCTAAATTGTAAAATCCATTTTTTTTTTCAATTACACATAATAGTTCAATTAATTCGTATAAAAGTTTATTAACTAATAATTTTATAAGGTGGGTTGTAAATAGAAAAAAAAAAAAATTGAAAAGATTTTAAAGGTACATAGAAAGAAAACTGTATGCGTAAAATGCCTAGAACATTTACAATATGGGGCGAGGCGTTTTCGATATAATTCTATGAAAAGGCGACCATTTAACGTGATACTGGATTGCAATGTTACTAGTATATACCCTCTTAAAATACATACGAGCAAGATTATTCATTATATGCACCCATATATTTTGTCATGTATATACATATAACTTAAAGATATAGCAGTTGTTAAGGGCTATATGAGACAAAACTAGTATCTGGCGTTAATGTTCTAAGCCGTCTAATTCTTTTGACAACATACAAACCACAAAAATAGTGTCTTATAATTGACATGAAGAGTGATTTTTATAATATGAGTCCAAACAATTCAAGAACGCAAAGAGAGGACAGAGCAGTTTTGTTACAACGCCCCATATTGTTTTAACGCTCTGAAGGAGTAGCGTTTTTGAAGCATTATTGCGATTGCACAATCACATAGTGTTTTGTGGCCATAATGAAGCTATGAGAGAAAAATGGTAACAGTTAATTAAATCGGAGTGACTTTAATTTGAATGCGGTACAGTCAACATATGAGCATTTTGTAAAATAATGGCTACTGCAAAACATCGTTGTGATGGTTGACACATTTGGTGAGGAAATAAAGTAGAGATATTTATATCTAGTGAGATGCATACAACGTATCTTATATGAAGCGTAATTCGTAATGTCATGTAGATATAGCAATTGCGGTGTGTTTTTTTCTTCTTTTGGCTTTGGCTTTTTAGGGTAGCGATTAGCTATTTTCAAGTTTAATTAAAAAGCAGGGAAATCGACGCGAAACGCGAGAAAGTATAGCTCAAAATACTGCACTATCGCTGCACTGCTCAAGCTTTAAATAAGCTCATATTAGAAACATATATTTTATTAGAATGAATCCAATTGTATATTAAATATATGGAAATAACTTTTTCAATTGTTTCAAATACAAATTTGATTGCTATAGCAATAATAGAAGAAAAATTTAAATTGTTAGCTGGTATTGAATGGTACTTAATTCAATACAATAAGATCTATTTAGTCCAATAATTTTCTAAATTGGTAATTTAATTATATACTAAAATAACGTTAACATTAATTTAAGATCAACAGATTTAGTTCTAGTAGCCATTATTTTACTAGTTATTGTACCTCTCGAGTGATTTTTCTTTACTCTTCGCGCACACCTACTGGGTACCATTTTAATTTGTAGGTAGACGCAAATAAGTTTTATTGTATAATATAATTCACTTACTCCTTATTTTATATCTAATAAAAGTTTGTCTTAATGTATTCTAAAAAACCCGCACTAAGCTTATATTATAATAAATTCTAAACAGTACAGTACACTTTTCGGTTGTATCATTGACTTGACATGCCTCATATGGACAAGTTTTTTATTTGTATTTAGGTATTAGATTACACAGGCGTAATAGGAAAGGGTGTAAGATTTCGAAAGATGGTCAGAAGGCCGAAATATATAAAAAAAATCCTTCTACTAAATAACATTGTCCCTTGGATTATCTAAAAAAAAAAAAAATTAAAACTTTTGTCTCTTAGACTCGACTAGTAGATTAGATTTGTCTATCGCTGTACTTCTCGTACTAATAATAAACCTTTACGTTAAACGCCGTATATCAGATTTGATATTGAACACCCATTGCCTAGTTCTTAAATTAGGATATCCTATGCTGAGAAATCAGATGGCAAATATCTATAGGCACAATACAGTACATTCGAAATTGAACCTTTAAATTTTAAAAACGTTTATTAATTCCTAAATTGGTCTGACCGAGTAGCGATCCTAGGACCAATTATTACGCGAAGCAACATGCTTTAGCACTCCGTTGCGTAGATACAGATTAGGTTACATCTAATAATATAAAATGAAAAAAAGTTTAGATTGGCAAGACAACAAAATTATAGTAGATACTTATTAATGACCTATAAATATTAATGACAGTTTTAAATTTAATGGCGTTACTATTATATTTACTAATTTACTAAATCAGTTGATTCTTAAAACGTGTACTGTTTACATTTGAGCAATAAATGTGAGATGAGAGGAGTAAATCTTTTGAAACATCGTACAGATAGCATAGAAATAATATTTGCAAAGTTCTAATAAGTCAAATTTAATATTTCCTAATATAATAATTTACTAATTTAGTGCGGGAAGACTGTGAACACTTATATCTATATAAAATAGCTGCCGAACAGAGCAGAGCCATTTTGGGGTTCATATGGGACTAAGGTCCCTTACTAAAATACATCGCTCTTGTGTTGGGACTGCATTTGCGTTTAATGTGATGTTTAAATACTGAATTCTAATTTAATATAATTTAAATTTTAATTAATTTAATTTGATACAAAATACAAAATTTTAGATTGGTTCAATGTTATAATTATACTCTCTTATCAATTTTGCTGTTACATATATGCAGCCAACATTACAATGCGTTAGTAATCAATATTTTTTTTTACCACGACAATATTGTTGTCAGTCGAGTTGATGCCTAATTCCATGTTACAATCACATTATGTGTTTTTACACCTGTATTAAGTGAAAATATTGATTTACACTATATCTTACTATATTTTATGTTTTATAATTGTTATTGCATATTTTTATATATTAGGTGAAATAATGAGATAAAAAATAAAATAAATAATTAATGTCATATGACGCAAATGTAGTCCGATTGTTAAAAATATCGATTATGAGCATCATTTAAATGGATTAATAAGCGTCGAATTTCGCGTCGGCGTTGGCAACTGCTCCGTATATACTAAATATTAAGAATTAATTTCAAGTTAATAAATCCAGCTGACAGGCACCCACTGGTGGTCGGTAGAGAGCGAGTGAAGAGCGTCCATTATTTTAGAGTACGTAGTGTCCATGTTATTATTCGTGATCACTAGGTCGATGTACTTTTCGTACTGGCGCTGTATGCGGGCACTCTCTTCTAACGTTTGCTTCATATCCTCCTCCTAATTAATTAATATAATATTTTCATTATTATATACCACTTATAAATATTTATACATATACATACATACATATCTATCACGCCTGTCTCCCATTAGGGTAGGGAGAAACAATGGAACGCCAAATATTTCGATTCAAACAAACCTGGCATGGTAGAAATATATATATAAAACAACTGCTCATCACGATAAATATTTTAAATTTAGGGATTAAAATGTACATCCCATGACTTCTTATTTGTCGGCGATCACATTGGGGTCGAATTTGAGGAGTCATTTCTCTAAACCTATTTCTAAAATTCAAATTTCAATTCAATATCATCACAGTGAAACCTTTAAGGACTAATATGAACTCATATTATAATAATTTAAACGCAATGTTTTTGTAATTTTAATTTATGATGGCCCATAAAACAGTAATTTCATGAAATTATAAAATTAAAATACCATATAAGGTTAATATATATGTTTAAAGAAATGCCACCTAAGAATCGGTCCCATTATTTTTGTTTCAATTTTAAATAAACTTAATTGCACATTTTTATTTACCTATTTATGTTACTATATAAATATATTGTAATTTTACATTACAAATTAGTACATAGATTAAAATTCATTATGGCTTTCTATGTAATAATAAATTATTCTTCTTTTATACATCAAAAACCTGTTAAAGTAATAAATGAAAATTATAAATTATGAATAATTAGAACTGGTTTGCTAAATTACGTTTAGTGGTTTTAATAATACTGATAAAATAATATTTTTTTAATTTTTAGTATTTTTGAAAAACTTGTGCCCACTAGGCACACTACAAATATATTAAAAACTATCACATAACATCTAATGCAAGGCTGAAGTAGTAACGTTACCTACAAGTAAGATATACCATGCTGATAGTCGTCAGTTTAAATTCATACAGTCGGGCAACGTCTGTACCCCTCTATTTCCCCGTGACTTATCATTGTTTCTGAGAAATAAGTCACGGGGAAATAGGTGCCGCGACCTGTGACAGCGAGCGTTGATAGACCAAGATTCCAGGGACAGGAAAATATTTGGATAAGGTCTGTCTATGTCTAAAATATTTCTTAAAATCGGAATAACAACATAAAATTTTGTTTATATACTGTAATGATATTAAGTTTCCCTAATTACGTATCGACTTTTTGTCTAAATAAATTTGTAATGAGACAATATTGAAAATATTTAAAAGCTAGACATAATTTTATACCATGTTGCATATACTTTTTCTCGAATAAAGAAGTAATTGAGTCCCATTTTTTATTCCCTTATTAGCTATCTGTTACTTGCTTTACGTGCAAGCGCACAACACACAAGCTAAAATTGTCTATAGACGTGTGCCCATAGACAATTTTAGCTTTAATTAAACAACGTAGGTCAGGCGGCCTTAAGATATTATATTAAGAGAGTTTATGAAAAATTGCATAAACGCTTGGTCCAGCAACAAATCAAACATTAGACGTTGCGCTACTAGATGAAAGGTATTGTAATACTAAAAAAAGGACTAACTGGATTTAAGTCTTACCTCATAGAGCGATGCGAGCGACTCGAGCGTGCGTGCGCGTCGCGAGCTGTAGCGGATGGAGCTCTGCCGGTCGAACTACGCCACGCATGCGCACAACACATCAATGATGCACAAATATAATATAACACAAACACATGCAGAAATATAATCGTCTACTGAGGTTTCTATGTATCTTTATATCAATAAAAACAAAAAAAAAAAAAAATGGGGATGCAATTATTATTGCCTAAAAATAACAGCAATTTTTTCCCTCTGCAAGTGGTAGTCATTTAAAAAAAAAGAACCATGCGTCATTAATTGATATCTACAAAAGACCTCGCGATCTCAATAAACTCATACAATGGCTAAAGATAATAATTACGAGATAACAGACATTAATATACTAAACATTAACACATATAAAAAAAAATAAACAGAAAAAAGAGTATAAATATTAATTTTAATATATATATATATATATATATATATATATATATATATATATATATATATATAAAACTTAGGTTTAGCTACACTACTTTTTATTTTTCCCAATTTTTACTAGATGCAAGGTTGGAAAGCAAACATACTTTAAGTACTAGAATTGTTTTGTTTTCCCTGTATGCTTTCAATAACAACCGGAATAAAAAAGAAAGTGGAGATACACTGTATTTTCACTGCGTAAGCTTAGGGAAAAGAATTGATCTATTATCAAGTGATAATATATCAATTCATAAACACATGATTAATATAAATTAATACATTTACATGCGCCAGACTATTATAATATACCTAGCGACGAAGGTCTTTCATCTCTCGTTCTAACCCCCTGCCCTTAGCTCTGAACGTGTTACAAATTACTATCTGTTATTGGTTTGATATTGATAAACAAAATTAAATAATTACATTTTATAAGTTGTTTAAGAAACACGATTAAGTGAATTATCTGCATTATTATTTTATAACATACTTAGGATTGGTAGTCATAATATTCTATTTGTTTATATTTACTGATAAAGTTACATTTTGCTCGCTACTCTGTACGCGTGAATTTTAGAAGTATGAAGTCTTCTGTTTGTAGATGGTGTATCAAGATAAAACATACGCCAGATTTGAAGTTAAATCCTTAGGCAAACAATTGGAATAAACTACATCTAATTTAGTACAGTAGTTTTTACGCCATTACGGAATAAAAATATAGACAGATAGAAAAATTTCCAAAAAATATTTTTTTGGTACTTACCTACTGTTAATAAGATAGTTGACATATTTTTTTTTTATTTTTACATGTCACCCCGTCTAGTTGTAAATTTATTAATAGGTATTTATTATATATTAGTATATATACCTAAAAAACTGAAATATTTCTATAACGAAATGTTTGCAGCTATTGAATGAAATAAATATTTTTTTATTTCAAATACATATTTGAATGTTGTCAATAGCATTGATAGTGTACATATCTAAATGTAAAACTGTTCTAAATATTAAATTGATATTCTATTGAAATTCATGAAGTTTTGCAAATCTGGATGAAATAGAATTATGCAGTGCAATGAAAAAAATAACTACTAGAACTATACAGCTATACACTATTTTATAACAAGACAAAATGAGCACTGTATACTTGTTTCATTTTATTTTACTTTTTATTTTATTGTTTAAGAAAATATAAAATTGTTTTTTATGCACAATCAGAAAAAAAAATATATTGACAATTGACTTTTAAAAACATAATATTTAAAAATATTTTCAAACTATATTCTAGAATTCGTAACTGACTAATTCACTAAACACTATCTAGTCACAAATTCTAATCAAATATATAAACTGTCTAATATTTTATATTAAAGGCTAAGGCTAAAGACTACGGATGGATTTAACGAGATATTGTCAATGCACATATGTGCCAATTTATGCCACATTAAACTCATGCCTCAATTCATATAAAAAAGGAGTGACAAAAATGCCTAAATTTAGTACATAGCTTTACTTGAAATCTACATATAAAAAAAAAAAAACTGATACTATTGAAAGGTTAGGTGAGGAAGGAATTTGTCTCTGATAAACAGGTTTTCTAACGTTACAGTAATGCAAGAATATAATACACTAGATCTCATGTAGGTCGAGGTTATGTGTAGTTGTATTGTTTATTCTCATAATTTTTGTGGTTTGTCTTTAAAGTAATATAAAACTTACGGTAAGGTTCCGGTTAGATGCGTACGTCAGGTTGCGCAGCTGTTCGATCCCCGGCGTTGCCAACATCACCACGTACGGCAGGAACTCGCTACTGTTGTGCAGTAGCTTCAGCGATTGCGGTGCGCAGTCCAACACGCACATTTTACCTATATCATTTATAATTCCATTTATTTGATTACCAATTAGCACAAATCATTTAAAAGTCCTATTTAAGGGGTTTCAGAAAATCACTCTAAGAAATTATTTCTTTTGAGTAAAAATAATATGTGTATATTAACGGGCGTATTATTAAGGGCCCTCACTGGACATTGCAAACTAAACAAACATTGACCCAACTAGGTTTATGCTCCAAAAGTGTTTGCAGATTTTGTCATAATGAAGAAACGTCGCAACCCTTAATTTGTGACTGTAAACGATATATCTCCTTTGGGTATCATTAAAAAAAAAAACTTAAAATTCCTATCATTGATAAGAATTAGCAATGAACTGCAAAAAAGGGCGAGCACAAAAGATCATGGAAAGGTTTCTCTGCCTGAAAAAGCCTCTCTCGATAATATAAAATAAATACTAGTTAGCACATTCAAACAAACAAACTCTTACTTCCACTTCATTATATTATTAGTACTACTTGTGAAAACCTATTAGTGGCTTATTTTGTTATCTTAAACTGTATCTATTTGTTATAGTGTAGCCCTGGTTTTCCTACGAATAAATAAATAAATAAAATTAATATAGTTTAATGCTAATTTGCTCTGACCTTCCTTTATGACGGCGCGTATCGAGTCGAGATGCGTCCCGTACAAATGGTCGTTGTGCTCGCCGTACTCCAGGAAGCGGCCGGCGTGGGCGTCGCGTTCCATCTCTTCGCGCGATACGAACCAATATGATTGCCCGTTTTCTTCCATCGGACGAGGGGGCCGCGATGTATCTGAAAAGATCATATAGTGTAGGCAAATTCTATCATAAATTATGCTGTTTTGCCTAATAAGGTTCAGGGTTCCATTTTCAGTCTGGACAATTTAGAAAATTATTGTATCGTAAAACAAGTTATATTAGGTGTCAAAAATTGAGCTAATAATAAATGCGGCACATTATTATTATAATTTTAGAGTTTAAATATTAGACAGTTAGGAGACTTTCCTGAATATATGTATTTAGAATGTTATTTCAGAGAAAATTTTGACAAATATGATTTTGACAGCTTCATCTGGGATTATAGTTGTAAATATATTAAGGTATACTTACGAGGTACCACAGCCCCGAATCTATCTGGGTGTTCTTGTATCATGCGATTCTTGAGTGTGCGACGACCGACACCGCGCGTCCCCACTAGTGCCAGAATTCGTCTCAAGAACGGTGGCGTCCGCGCAACTTCTTCGTACAAAGCGAGTTCCGCGCCCTCTAGTTGCACACTGGATCGTGATTCGTAAACGAACTTCTTCTTCTTTTTGGATATCTGTGGATTTTAGATATGTGGAATATTTATTAAAATATATCTCATTGAGTATTTCATTAATATATGTATGATAATGTATGGGTAGCATACATAGGTTAGTGTACTGAAACTGATAAATATCTTTATTAATATTATAAACGTTAAAATGTGTTTGTTACATCTTCATGCCTTAATGGTATGGCTATTTGATATCAAGGTTATCATAAATTAGTATCCTGGTGACACAGATTAATTGTACGAATTGTCACTATCTATGGACTGAAATGGATTGTTTATAATGGGATTTAGTGGTCTCATTGCTTGCAATATACCTGCCAGATCGTATTTAGTGTCAGGAGAATTCATTATGATCCGCAAACTGACCTGACTTCGTACTGATGAACATTTGCAAATTTATGATTATTTTTTATTGGATCTGGGCCCTTATAAAAGTTATGGTATATACCATATATATGTACTTTATACGTACACATATATGTATGTTTAGACATGTCTTTGTAAAGCTCCACTAGGATCCTGGGCTACGGTACGCCCGGCCACCACCTTAAATATGTCCATATTGATGAGGATGAAGTTACGTTAGATGGCGTTACGTTACGCTACGTTAAGTTACATTAGGGTCAGCAAAGCGCGCGTAATACACCTGGTATAGCAGGCGTTAATAGGCTACGGTAACCACCTAATATCAGGTGGGCCGTATGCTTGATTGTCACCTCAGTGGTATAAAAAAATGGCCTATTGTGGAGTGACAGTGAGTGATAATAGAAATCCCATTTCTCACCGATTTCCCGTCAGTGTATATCAATAGCGTAGGCGAGGTTACCATTCCATTTTCATTGAATAAAAAATTTATAAACGTGCTACAAACGTAATATTTAAACAGGAAATATTATTTCTTATACTTCCCGTCTGAATATTTCACACGCGCATGTAACATTATTTATGAGTAAATTTACAACATGTTCACATTAATAATCACGCATGAAACGTGTTTATTTCGTATGAGACGTGAGTCACAAACAAAGGATTGTGTAAATTGTAACAATGACTAAATAACTTTGAACATAAAGCTGACAATGGTGAAAATTTACAGAGAACAATGAAAAGATATTAAATTACTGTACCCGCGCGCCACAAATGCTGATTTTGTGAACGAAATCAGCCTCCGGTGGTACATATGCTTTGCGCCTTTCTTCTAGCTCCGGCGATGGTATGAGACCCACTTTTTCTGGATTGTCTACGTGACTTGCCTGCCACCAGTTAGGGTCTTTTCTGTCTGACACCTGAAGTTTACATAATATTACAAGTTACAATATTTCTTTGGATATCTATTTTCATATTAACACTATCTATAGTAGACAGAAGAAATTGCAATTTTTTGAATTGATACTTGATTTTCAATGAAATTAGGTAAAAATATAGTCTAAAGATTATCTATTAGATATTTGACATGAGGGATTCTATGCAAGTGAAGTTATAACTTATGAAACTATTTATATTAACTAGATTTCATCCTAAACATAAACATATAAACATCATTCATTTTCACTCCTTTTTTTTATGAGATTTATAATGACAAACAAGCTAATTGACTGTTACCATTTTTAAACAAATTGAATAAACAAAAGTAGTAACTAATATTTATAGACATGATTAGTGTTATGGACATCACAGAATACACTGTGATGTTTAGGGGATCACATCAAGACATTTATCTTAAAACAATATGGCAATATATTTATATCAGATATAAACATAAAAGAGGAAATAAAACTAGACCTGTAATTTTTGTAAAATATGAATTTGCATTTGAGATACAATAATGAATTAACAATTTACCTGTAATATATCACCTCTTTTGAATTCCAAGCCAATTTCCTTGCATGGGATGAGAGTATCTTCTTTTGGGTCATAGTCAAAAAGTGTTCTCATGTAGCACTACAAAAAAACTACAATTTACATATTTTGTCACATATACAATAAAATAGACTATGAATATTAAATCTTGGTAGAAAAATAAAAAAGTTAAAAATTAAGCAACAATATTAAAAATAAAAATTATTTAAAGGTAACCTTTGAAGGCGAAGTTAGATATATTAACTATTACTGATGTGATGAATGTAGCACTTAATATGTTTACATTTATCTTTATATATTAGTGACAGCAGGCAAACCTACAGTTATTTTTGTCTATTTAAATAAAGTCCTTCAAATACAAACTGGTTAAAAATACAAATTACGAATATATAAAATAAATATAAAAACTTACACTAAGTTTATTTGTCAATTGATTGGTCTTTTCTTTGAGGTTAGGTCCAACTTTCAATGTGACTCTGTCAGTATCTTTAGCAACTGCTTCTTTAAGCTGATCCTCTGAATCGATCTGTACTCCATCTACTTCTAACAAAACATCACCAACTGACACTAATGCCTGTTTAGCTGCAGGACTGCCAGCCAATATTCTTGCTACTATAAGCTGGCCATGTTCATCTGTGGTTACCTAAAAAAAATACTTATTTAGTTTATATATTTGAGGATGTAAGTAAAAGTGATTATGACACACTTATAATATTTACTTTAAGTGTATTTTAAACAGGTGTAATTATGTACATTTAAGAATAATTAAGAAGCAATATTTTTAAATTTTAAACATAACAATAACAAATACACAGATAAGAATGTAAAAAATGAGAACAATAACACACACACACACACACACGTATGCATATGCACATACACACATGTGCATCTCTTTATTCTAATATTAAATCATATTTATTTTACTCCACGCAACTACCTTTTACTTTGAATTGTCACTACTTTATTGGGACCTGGTGTCTAAGATACAAGTTACGACTTAGTTTAGGCTCCAGATCTCCCACAAATTATGATACTTTTATTTTGTATAAAGTAAATAATCTGTACATTGTAATTTGTGGAGATGAATAAACTAATTATATTATTATTATAGAAAAAACATTATTTTAAAGAAATTGAAGTTCTTCCCTAGGTTAAGTAATCTAGTTTATTTCAGATACTAAGGTACCAGTACTGTAAAAAAGTAGACTATTAACATTACAGTAGTAAATAAATAAATAAATAAATAGAGATACATTTTAAAATATCCACACTAGAGTATTTTGTTACTTTACTTTTACTTTTTTAAATAACACTGGCAAAGCTGATGGGATACTAGATGATAAATCTATAGTTGCACCTATGATCCTTTTAAGAATATAAACAATTGAAGCAAAGTTTGAGATAACAGTGATTAAAATACATTATAAAAATTAGTATAATAGAAAGTTACTTGTGTTAATTATATATTTTTGCAAATGATATTTTTAATTTCTTTGTATGTTTAATTTTTTAATAATAATAAATTTATAACATATATACTATTTATCTATATATAAACTTATACTCATTCATTACATAGGGTTCTTAAAGAAAAAATATATGAGTAACAAGTACTTACAGTTAATCCCAACGGTTTTCCTGGCACTTTCCTGAGGCCCACAACTTTGACAGTCTCTACAGGCATGTCTCCGTTTTCGTCAGGTTCCTCACCTTCAGCCGTGTCTTTACTATCCTCCTTTACTGTTGCTTTCTCATCAATACCGGAACCTCTGTCCAACCAGATTTTGCCTATTTGATCATGTGCTTCTATTAATGCCTGAAAGATTATTTATTTATTTATTCTTTTGAAAAAATTAAAAAGATAAAGTAATTAGTTGAAAATTGCAAGAAAATAAGCAGAAACAATATAGACAAGATAGGTGAAAAGGAACAGGAATACTATAAGTTTGGACAATTAACTGTTTATTAATGAAATAATGCATGTTAAAATTAAATCGAAACTTTGTTAATGTAATTATCAAAGTAATACAAATTTGTTCTTTTATAACTTAGAATATTTAAAAATAATCTTAATTTTTATCAAAACAAAGTCATTTAATAATGTGTAAAGTATGAATAATGATTAATCAATCAACTTCAAAAATAAAGTTTTTTGATTGTATTTTTTTAAATATATGTATATATATATATATATATATATTATTGAGTTTTTAGATTAGAATTAGAATAAATTTATATATCTATAGAAAATACATTTAATGTTTAATATTTTTTTATTATTTACATTATATCTTTATAAATTTTTAATAATAATAAATTTGTTTATGTTTATTAATGATGTATAATTATCCTGGTTTTACTAGCGTAAAATAAATACCTTATAATATTATAAATTATTATAGGGAATAATCTTGAATTGAGACAGTGTTAAATTATAATCATATTATGTCTAAATAATTGTGCTAACATAACAGTGTAATCATATACTATAAATCATAATTATAATGATTTAAATACTTACCTTAAAATGTACTCTGGATAACAGTATAGCTAATTCGGCTTGCTCTATAGTACGGATGTTATTGCCTCGATATTCGCTAAGTGATTTTATTATGTTTACGTTACCAAGGGAGACGGGTTTTACGACCAAGTCCTCCTCAGAATCTGTATACTGCAACAAGAATACTTACGTATAATCAAAGCATTCAGGTATTAACAGTGTTTCATACAGGCGAGTTAGGCGTGGCACAATCACTTAATTTCTTGAATTAAAATATAATCATTACGACAAAGACTTTCAAGTTAGGAAATATTTGAGATTGAAATTTTCTTGTGCATTAAAATTAGTAATAAAAAGTGATAGCATTCAATATTAAATTTAAATTTATTATAGATTTAAAAAAAAAGTACACACCCAATCGTTTCACATTTGATTCGTTGTTTGCTTGTTACCTACGCTTGGTTTGACATTTTGACTGTTGTTTGAGCTTTGACATTATTTTTTTTTTTTTAGTACGTTTGTTCCGTTTGGAACAGGCTAAGGTCGGAGACCATGCTGCCTAGTCTTTAAAAAGATAATTTGTCTGGAATTTTATTTTTCTAATGTCGCTTCAATTATTGTCATAATCTTCAATATTTCATTTGTCAAATCCGGTAAGTACATTTTCATAAATATCTTTTCTTGAGTTTTCTTAAACCAGTGGATTTATCAAATTAAAAATAAATAATTATAAAAAATCATTGTCTTGCAATTCAATAAAAGTATTCTTATAGCTCCTTGAATGTTGTAGTAATATAAGTGAAAATAGCTTTGAAACAAGAAGGAAATCTTAAGAGAAGCGGGATTGAGTGCGGGATATTTTCGGGTTTTTTGAAGATAATCCTAAGTTCGTCAAACATAATGTGTCTTTGAATGACAAATTCAGAGCAATCAAAAAAAAGGTGATGTAGAGATTGGGCTGTATTTGAGTTACACCATGTGCATGATGGGGAAGCGATCATGCCCATTCGGTGCAGGTGTTCGTTGAAAAGTCCGTGGCCGATTCGTAATCTACAAATATTGGTGTAAAATTTTCTGTTTGTGTCCTTTCCTTTGCAGAACCACGGTTTTCCAATACGCCAATTAATTTTGCGGTACCATTTGCCTTTAGTCTGTAATATTTGAGTCCAATGCTCCTCCCATTTAGTTGTAACGATTTTATGTATTCCAATACTACAATCTGAGTAACAAAGGGGTAAATCTTGAACACGAGCAGCACTTGAATTAATAATTTTAGCCAAAGTGTCTACTTGTTCATTCCCAAACACTCCAATATGTGAAGGGGTCCAGATGAAGATAATATCTTTTCCATATATAGTACAGAGATGATAATATTTATTACGAATTTCTTGAATTAAGTAGTTTGATGATGAAATGAATGTGTTATTTTTTAATGCCATAAGAACACTCATACTATCTGTAATTATAATCCATTTCGAATATAGTACCTGTTTTTCTATGTATTCTAATGCTAAAAATATAGCTTTTGCTTCTGCTGTGTAAATACTAGCCAAAGTTGAAATTTTATAACCGTGACCAAATCTATTTGACAAATCGTAAAAAGCCACTGAAGTGCTAAGTGCATTTTTGGAACCATCTGTATATATCTGCCTGTAGTCAATAAATTCTGATAAAGTCTCATACATATCGTGCTTTTCTTTTATGTCTTTACGTATAACAATTTTGATCTTACAGAACTTACTCTCATAAAGGCCATTATAACAAGGAAGTATCTTACTACTATATATGTTATATTCATCTCGTAAATTCAAATCATTGACAATAGTTTTATTCAAAAACATAGAAATGGGGCAATTTAATAATTTGAGTATGAGTGGGTTATTGGAAACTGAAAAAACTTTGAAGAGAAATTTGAGTTTTAGGTATTCGAAACGAAGAAGGATAGGAGGCAAATTACATTCTACTTGCATTGAGATAATTGGAGAAGTATACATAGCACCTAAAATAAGTCTTAAATTCATATTTTGAATTTTTTCGAGTTTTTCTACTAATTTATGTTCTGAGGCATAACAAAAGAAAGCGTAATCAAAATTACTTCTAACAAGAGATTTGTAAAGTAAAAGGATAATTTTAGGATCAGCTCCCCAGTTACGACCAATTACAGATCTTATTATATTAGTGGCTCTTAAAGCACGATCTACTAAGCAATCAACGTATAGATCCCATTTTAAATTTTGATGAAAAATTACCCCCAGAAATTTAACGCTACAGTCTGTTGGAAGAGTTTGATTATTATATATAATATTCATTAATGGAACATATTTATGAACTTGATGAAAAACAACTACTTTACTTTTGGTTAAACTAATATCGAGGGAAAGAAGAGAAAAATATTTCTCAAGTCTTTTTAATGACTCATTTAACACTAATTGCATATCAATAATATTCTTTCCTTTTATATAAATTAATAAATCATCGGCAAATTGCAAGTTGTTCACACTGTTTCCTAAAATTGAATTAAGTTTATAGATATATAAAATATATAGTAGCGGGCTTAGAATACCACCTTGACATACTCCTTTAGAGCTTAACCTAGGTCCTATTAATTTACTATTTACTTTAACATACACTTCTCTATTACTAAGAAAATTATAAATCCATTCGATAAGTTTCATTGGAAGAAATGAGGATAAAATCGAAGATAGAACTGTTAAATTTACATTGTTAAAAGCTCCTACGACATCTAAAAAAACAGATAGAACATATTCATCGTTATTCAAAGCAGTACTAAGGTCGACATAGAAGTTCGCTAAACTTTCGCGCGCTGAATATCCACGGCGAAAACCAAATTGATTCGATGGTAATATACTATTACTTTCAATAAAGAACTCTAAACGCTGTTTAATTAATTGTTCGAATAATTTGCCTGCACAGGACGTCAATGTTATAGGTCTATAGGAGTCGAAATTTGTAGGATCTTTACCGGGTTTAATTACTGGAATCAAACAATCCATTTTCCATTCTGGTGGGATAATACAGTCCTTCCATAAATCGTTAAAAATTTGTAAGAGTTTAGTAAGGTTTATTTTATTCAGCAATCGAAACATATTGTATGTTAAGCGATCAAGGCCACTAGCTGTATCTTTTCTAGATTTTACTGCACTGGATATTTCATCAATTGAGAATGGGTCAGTGAGAAATTTTGGGCATGAATTAACAGAATTAAACTGTTTGTCATCAAAAGGTGAGTGTACAAAATCAAGAGTATATTTGCGTAAAAAATCATTGACCCATGATATATCTTTAAAATGATTTTGACGATGTTTTGAATTTAGTTTTCTCATATTTTGCCAAACAGTGGAAATTGGTGTTAATCTATTAAATTTGGAACAAAATTCCTGCCACCCCTGTTGTCTTACTTGCTTAATTACTAACTTTTTAACAGCTTGAACTCTTTTAAAATTTATGTAATTATCGAGAGTTGGATTTTGTTTAAACCTAAGGTAAGCCGCTTTACTATCATTGACAGCTGTCGCACACCTGTTATTCCACCAAGGTACTGCAATATGTTTGTGCCTCTTTGAAGTATTTGCACCGCTATTTGATAAGTTCCTACGTGGAACGGAACGTTCCACAGCTGTCAAAATAATTTTACAGAACCTATTGTAATTGTTTAAGGGTTCATTGACATCATACTCGAAATCCAAAAGTAATCGATTAACAGTTTCAGAATAAAGATCCCAATTAACGAGACGTAGGTTTATACGATTTAACAAAAGTTTATTAACTTCATCTATAGGAGCATGTTGTTCACCTGACGGAGTTGATGAAGAGTTCTTTGTGTTTATTTTAGTAAAAGTCGGCAGGTGATAACTTCCTAACGGATCATCATGAACCGACCACTCGCATTTTAATGATATGGATGGGGATACCATAGTTAAATCAAGGCCATTGGGTCTCCAAATATGAGAGCCAACAGTAGTAACTTGCTTATCATTTAATAGTACCAAATTACATTCATCTAAACAATCAAGAATGTCTTTACCTCTTGTATTAGTGGAGGTACAACCCCACATAGTATGATGTGCATTTAAATCTCCAGATATGATAGTGGGTTTAGGAAGAGACTCCAAAAAGAACTTAAATTTGGCTTTAGTAAAACTAGGTGTACTATTGGTAGGACAGTAGATACTGGCAACTGAATACCAAGAATTATTAACTTCAATACTAATAGCTATAGTTTGCAAAGAATTGTCGAAAAAAGAGTGAAGTTTTTTATATCTAATACTATTATGTATAATAATCGGTACTCCATTGTGGTTATTACCACAATCATTTCGTTCTATACAATAATCTTTAATTTTTAATTTGTAATGTGGTTTTAGCCAAGTTTCTGAGATGAGAGCAATGTGAATATGATGTTCATTTAAAAATTGTGTAAAAATATGTCGATTGCTCAGTAGGCTCTGAGCGTTCCACTGTATGATAGTTAATTGGTCTCGATTGAATTTTGTGAAATAGGTCTATTACCAAAAGTATCATATAACACATTCAAAACACTTTTAGTGTTAATAGATGTGTTCTTTGTGTTATGTAGTGAAATAAGTTTGATTATGCTTTCTATTAAAAGTGATAAACTCTTGTTATCAGAATTTAGAATTGAAATTAGGTCTACATTTTTTTTAGGTTTGTTACCCAGTTTAGGAAATATTTCAGTGCTAAGTATATCTCCAAAAGAAGCAGGTCTGAATTTAGATCTATTTTCAGCAATTTTCTTTTGTTTAACAGGGCATTGCGGTGATACACTTGTGTGATTTCCATTGCAGTGTACACAAATAGCGTTTTCCATTCCAGTTGTACAAGTTTTATAATTATGCTCACCTTTGCAGATGCTGCAACGCTCAGAATTCTTACAGAATTTAGCTAAATGTCCATACCTCAAGCACCGGTAGCATTGTTTAACTGGTGGTATATATGGAGTGACATTGTGGCGCCAACCTCCAATATCCAGATATTCAGGTAATACAGATGCAGCAAAAGTAATTGTCACGGTTAGAGTTGGCTGTAACACATATCCATGAGTCAAGGTATTTTTTCTTAAAATTCTTTTAATAGCAATAATTTTCTTAGAACTCAATATCATAGTATATATTTTTTTATTAGATATATTTGTAGGTACATTTCTAATAACGCCTGTAACTTCTGTTGAAGAAGCAGGAATACTGGCCTTAAAATGGTAGTCATTTAAAAAAGTTTTATTATTTAAAAAAGCATTGGCTAAGTCTGGCTTTTGAAAGTATACTCCGATTTTGAATTTATTTATAGATCTAAGATAAGTTACCCCTTTATTAAATCGTTTTAAACAGGAGGAGAGTGAGAGCAAGTCTCTGGATCCAATGGTTTTCTGACTATCTGAGGATTCTACAAAGACAACAAATTCTGTCCCAGGGGATTCCTCGGGATATCTTCTAATATAATCTGTGACGTAGTAAGGTTTATACTTATCGGCCTTATCAATTTCAGATTCTGAGTCAGTAGAAGTATCTTCCGAATATATATCCTTGTCATTACAAGGTTCATGGTCTACATCACCTGAATCGTCATCTTTTTTTTTCCTTTTTCTACAACTGCGCTTCCCCATGAATGCTAATTATATTACTGTCGCTGAATTTAGTGAAAATATAATATTTTATTCAATAATAAGAATTGATAGAGATAGTTTTAATAAATTAATAAAAAAAATTTAAAAAACCCGCTTGTTCTTATTCGAGTTTCCCGCCTTTTTTGCTTTGACATTACTATTTGACAAATTTGTCATACTAGAATCTGACATATCAAACGCTGTTTTAAAAGCAACATCAGACGCTGTTTTTAAAGACATTCGTAAATGGTTAAAATTTTAAGCAACAAAAATAATTGGAGTTAATTATCTAGAATAAAGCCATCTTTTATGGGATTAGGCGTTAATTCCAAAAAAGGGTTAATTTATTGCCACCCAAAAATCGCCCAAATTCAAGTCAGAGTATGAACTTGCTCATGATTGATATAATACATTCTTAAAAAGAAGAAGTTTACTTAATATATAACGCCCTGAATAATATTTTGTACAGTGCATAGTTCCACGTAGGCAAAGTAGTGGGGCGAACACTATTAAATTAATAAATGTAAATGTAAAATGTTAGTTTGTTCGTTCATGAAAGTTACAAAAATATTAAAAGTATGGGATATAATATCATTAGCCATTGAGCTCAATGGACCGTAAAAGAGTGACGTCATAAGTCTATTAATCTTGCGGGCATGTTAGGTATGTCTAACACGTTCATAATGGTGAAATCGCGCTTGTATGGGTTGTTTGTCATTGCTTTAATTATTTCTGATTGCAGATACAAATGGAGTTTGATACTGATGTTCTAGTCATTGCATTAAATTAAAGATTTTATGCATAAATAATAGAACACGGTAAACTATTATAATATTATTGAATTTTTTTAAAACATTGAAATGTAAACGCAACTGATTGTTTTTTTTTATGGGATAATGGTAGCAACGCTTCCGCTATTGGTATAAGCTGTCGGGGTTGGTTGTTTGGTTACTTTTTTTAAAAGTATTTATGGCTTGGAGTTAGTTGATTGGTAGTAGACAGTAAGTAGTATCGGAATTTTTGTATTTAGTTTGTTATGAACAGAAATTTATAGAATATTAAATAATAAATAAATATAAAAATCACCCTTTTACCTCATTTTTTCTGATAAAATCTGGACTTTCAACAATACTTTTTAAGAATATGACCTCGTGATTTGTTAAATCTTCTTCCGGTTTTCTTTCATCTGTATCTGTAAAAAAAAAAACAAAATATATTATTTAATATTTAATCCACAGAATATTTACTTACATATATTTTAAATTTAAGTTTTCGCCATTATATTCTTTTATAGTTATAGATTTCTTAATGGAAGGGTAATGATAAGGTCAGGTCATTCGGTCTATTATTATTAACTCACAAGAAATCAATCAATGAATAGATTTCAAGGGGAATTGTGAGAAGGTCAACATGATAGGGTTCATAGCTAGCAATATGTCATCTATCTCTATAAGATGTATTATTCAATATATATCATTATATTAGTGGATAATAATATTTTTTGCATAAACCTACTAATTCTTTAGGCGGGACTGGCGATATATTCTCCGACCAATTCAGTTAGATTGATCTCCACACTCTCTGAAAACCATTATGGTTAGTTCCTGGTGAATTCTTCAGGATGGGCCAATGGATACGGTGTTATTTTGAGACAACATTAAGATATTGTTTAAAATTCGTAATCATAACAATTGAATAGATACACGTAATATATGTTCACTTTCGTATTTATATTACCGACTTATTACTGAGAAGTGAAAATATAAAATTCAAAAAGTAAATAATAATTAAAACAAAAATTTAACGTGTAGGAAAATATATACCATTTAGTACGGTACACTATCTAATATTAATAATTGTAGCTGCCGTTTTCAAAAATTACACTTCGATATTTCTATGAAATATCTTGCCACCCGTAATTGTGTTTTCAACCGATTTCAAAAAAGGAGGAGGTTCTCAATTCGATTGTATTTTTTTGTTTGTTACCTCATAACTCCATCTTTTATAAGCCGAGTTGGAAAGTTCTTTTTTCATCTGGAAAGACATACTTTCAAATTAATTAGAAATTTTATTAAAATCGGTTCATTAGTTCAGTTTTTAAAACAAAATAACTTCTTTGCTACGATTGAATTCGGCGTTCATTTATTTTCTGTGGAACAAAATCTTAAATAACCTTACGATAATAAGTTTATTTAGTCAGTTCAATGACATATTTTTACTAGTGGCATAGCTAATGTAGACAGTACTTAACCATCTGAAAGATAACGTAGCAATACCATCTGTAACGTGTTTTGTTTCAGGCATGGTTACATGCGTGACACCGGATGACTTACCCGGTTTCAAATAATAAGGAAATGTCACGCTAACCTTTTGCCTATCAATATACAATAGGTTCAGATTCATATATGTATATGTATATGTAAAGCGGTTATTAATTAAGATATGCACTATTAAACACCTACATTAGGTATCACTAACGTAGTTGACCGGAAATAAAGCATTAGATGGCCGAGTTTATTATTACCTATAGAAGGACGAGATGAAGTAGAGTACATATTTTGTGAGTAATTTGTTTTAAATTGAATGAAGTCTAAAAGTAATTTATTAAGAAAATTGTATAGTACATGTTGAGAAGTAAGCAAATTTGTCCAACAATTTCGATTAAGAATTGTATGGGCACGACGAAGGACAGCGTTATCAATTTGTAGTAGGCAAGACTGTCAATCAATTTCCATTATTGTCCTGTTGGGGAATTGACAGCCTGTTAATTGTATTTCACAGAGAACCGAAAACCGTCAATGTACTTACGTTTTGTTTTTGTTTAATAAAGAAAATTTCCGAGTGAATGACTGAAAAATATTTACTTTTTTGTATAAATATTAGCTGACCCATTTGTTTTCTTCCCACTCGTTTATTTTTTTTTTTTTCTTATCGAAATAAAATCTGTTCTATCTATCAAGTTGAAGCAAACAAAATACATCTATAAAATGTAATTAAAATCGGTTTTGTGGTTTTGGAGATTAATGTGAACGAATATTGTGACACAAGACTTTTTTTAATATTAAATTTATGTATTTATACTTTATTGCACACAAATATTACATTAAATTATTTTGATCAATGATGTACAGCAGGCGAACTTATTTATTGATGTTAATATTTCAATTATATTACATATATTACCATACTATATCATTGAAATTCCAATAATACTATACTTTATAAGTGGTAAAATATATGATAAAACCTGTGCGGGTAGCTACAGGCCAGAGATCTGCACTCTTCATGCTTATATTAAATATTTAATACTAGACCGTAGGGAGAGCCCAGTACATTGCTCGGACTTATCCTTAGAAATATTATAATACAAATATGAAAGAGAGTTTGTTTCTTTGATATCTGATGGCGCTTTAAGGACTCAACCGATCGTCACGTTTGGTATACACATACTTTTTGGGATGGAGAAGAATATCGGTTACTTTTTATCCCAGTAAATTTATATATTCCAGTCACGGGGACAAAGTCGCCAGTTAAGACTATTTTAATTATCAATGTGAAAGCGACTGTTCATATCAATAACAACAAATTTCTTATTGTTTCAAGGATTTAAGTCCTTTTATTGGTTAACCAATTCTCATGAAATTATGCATTATTGTATTTGACATAGAAAAGGACAACCGTTAAATACTTTTTATTCAGGTCAATCATATATGCTTTTGACATTATTCGCGTGATTGGAGCAAATCTTCAATCACGCGAATAGAGTTGGAAGCACATACAAGTAGATACTGTGTATAATGTTCATCCTGATAAAAATTACACTAGAAAATCGTTTTTATGAACGCTTTATAATGTTTGATTTATTAAAAAAATAATAAGAATCTAATTTGTAGTCTAGAAACTGATCTATAAAAATATAATTTACTTTTTTTACACTTTTTATAGCAATTTTGAATTAATTAGATAATGCTCGACTTTCATGAAAATGAGAAATGTGGCTTATAAAAATTGTATCTACTTGCATGAATGTTATTTTTTAAAGAAATATTTATTTTTAGTCCTTTGTATTAATAATATACAATAGATTTTAATTCTTTCTATGAGTAGCGTAATATTAACATTTACTACATTGTTAATTACATGCAGTTAAAAAAATGAATAATATTGTTTTATGTCTCTCATGTTATTCTAAATTAATGACCATTATGTAAAAATATTTTCATCGAATTTAATAGATTCTAATCGGTCTTCTATCGTGACACTATTTTAACCTTTTTATAATATATAGATTTCTAAATCAATGCTAAATCTAGCTGTCGTATATTTTATTAGGTGCGTGACGTACGAAATTACCGGTACAGATATGTAAATACTGCAATGGTTTATTTCTCAAGGCTAAACAAAGAGGTTATGTCGGATGTTTCACAGTACGTTATTCTTAAGTATTATGCGGGTGACTAACCTTCGTCAGGCGGTTTATTCCCAAATGCCAAGTCTTTGAAACCTCTCCAATTGACCGTGTATCTACCGCTGCGACGAACCATCATCTGGTCGGTAATCGCGGCACGGGGGTGCACGCACGAGCGGGCAACACGTTGCTCACTACTGTCGGTGTCTCGGGAGTCGGGCAGCGGGCAGTGGCATTAGCCGGTGGATGCTGGCGTGCGCGAGCCGCGCGGTATCGACGCGTCGCGTCACGCGGCCGTCGCGGCGTCAGCTGAGCTGCACGTCACGGCGCCGCCCGACGTGCCGCGCTTGCGCACTGCCGCCCGCCCTACCGATGCTTTCGCACATAATATTATACTAACACGACACAGCTTCTTTTAGAGATTTGTATTCTACGCGTAGTGAATAGAGGCAATTGCGTTTACTGCTAATGTTTTGTATAGACGATACATTATTTTATTTCATTAGATATACCGTTATCATTTTTAACAAGGAATAGAAAACTGTAGACTTACATAAGTGCACATTGAATGTTAATTAGCCAATGAAGTCAGAATTGTTTTACATCTTTTTCATGCCTAGGATGCTGTAAGAGGTGAATAAGAATGGCAAGAGAATGAAAACTTGGAAGAAAATTTTACAGATTAGTATAGATATGGGTATTATTATTTTATGCTATAGAGTTTTATTTCAAGTTTTCCTGACGCATAAAAAGAAAGCGACGAGCACAGGATACAAAAGTCTTAAGTAAACACTTAAGCAACTAAAGTCATTCTACAACTATGAAAGCCATATAAAATTGTTTAACTATTTAACGCAAGATTTAATTATTAGCCTCTAGTTACTATCATGGGAATCATGTAATATCGTCATAGTCGTAGAATACTGACGGATCTGACGAATACTACATATATAGATCCATCAGTATTCTACGACTATAACGATATGTAGATACATAATGTATACATATATACACGAGTAGGTATACCTACTTTTTAATTAAATCTCTTTCAAAAATTGTCTTTACTTATTCGATTTAATTGATATAAGATAATGGCCTGGCTTAAAAATTTGTAGTGTCATTTCATATTGTATTAAAAGAAAATCGCCTCTAGTAAGAACTAGTGGTAGCTTTATTTTTCACTCAGTCGGGTGAGGCCGTGAGGGTGGGTGACCTATGATTACGTAGCTTGCAGTTTGGGGTCAGGTGAGCAACAGTTTTGCAAATTATGCATTATCAAAGATATTGGAAGTAGTAATGTGTGTAGGTAATGGTATTATTTTTAATTTTTTTTTAACATTAGTTTTATACTACAAGCCATTAGGGAGAGAAGGGCAGTAAAGATTTGTACTGTCTCTGCAGAACAGTTTAGGAAATAAATTATAATATAAAATATACGCATACTGCCCGCTAATAATTAATGCTCCTTTCCACTCAGGGTTTGCTGGAAGAGAACTCTTACAGAGTTAAGCTCGCCTGTTGTACATCTTTATTTATATATATATATATATATATATATATATATATATATATATATATATATATATATTATATGTTGTAATTTTTTCTGTGTACAATAAAGAATGTAGAATAAAGAATAAAGAATAAAATTATTATTACTAATTGCCATCTGCTTGCTAGTGGCAATATTTATTAGAGGACAGTGCATCTAACCTATTATAATTAACCTATTATTCTAACCAATTATTATATCTGAGCTATGAGGTAGCAATCGTATTATATAATACCATTATTTTTGATAATAATTAACCAATTGCTCACGAAGTTATCACGCGATGTTTGTTAAATATGTAATCAAAATGATCGTACCGTTACGTTTGTTTTTTCTGTTAAGTCGAAAGTAGAAAGAAGTGTTTAGATGTGAACATAAATTTAGTATACTGTACTGGGGTGAAGGATAAAATAATAACTACAATGTCTATCTAGAACCATCAGTCCTGAAGGGTGGCAACACATGATAAGTGGCACAGCAGGACAATTTATTCTGTAATACCCGTGTTAGAAAGGCAATGGTTATTACTTTCCATCAGGTGGAAAGTGTTTGTTATTTTCAGTAAGTAAAGGTAAATTGAAGTTCAGTTTAGGAGGGAAATTGGCACGTATTTTTGAGAATTTATTAAATTTATTATGAAAGTAGATAGTATATAAGGATACAGGTTCTATTGGTATATTCCATAGATGTGAAAATTATTTACAGCGAATCTTATAAGGGAAATGACGTGAAGATAGACATCTATAAGGTAGAATCGAAGACCTTAGTTTTAGAGTGTCCATGTTATAGAATCATCAACATATTATATCAATCCTTAATTGTCCACTGCTCCCCACATAAGTCTCCCCCTTGTTTTGCCCGTAGTTGCCACGCTTGGCAGGCGGATTGGCAACCGTAGTTAGGCTTTGGAGACGTTTTAATAGGGACGTTGTTGCCCATTCCTCGCCCTCCCTTAGTAACCTCTTACGATACCCACGGGAAAGGGGTCGGCCTCTATTCTATGCCGGGTTTGATGTTATTTGTTTGTATGGGAAGTTCGAATTTTTTGTTATTTCTAATGTTTCTTTGGGAAAAATATTTAGTTTCACAGAATAATTCTCTAAATGGATGCTAATGATTTTGAATTCATTCTGTATGCGACCAGTATTAGAGATAATATTCTATTTTTATAATCCGTAACCTACTTATATTTAATCATTTATATCGTAAGACGAGATGTTAAAGACATATGTATGAAAACGTTGGTAATCAAATTGCGAGCAACATCGAATATTACGATGTGACTATAAAAGTTATGCGCGGCCCGTATTTCAATACATTTCAATTACATAAGTATTTTGTTTTTAGGTCATAGTAACAAAATGTAATAAATAGAACGAAATAATAAAAATAATGACACTAGACAAATACGCTTTAGTCGCACTACACCTTAGATTCTGTAAATAGAGCATCGAGTCTCAAAAACGGGTCAACTTTTTGTCAGTTATATTTTAAATTAGCTGTCTCGCTTTTTGTCAGTATTCTATAAACTTACGCATAAAATGTATCTTGACATATTATTTAGTAAATAAATGAGTATTTACATATTAAAAAGATGCAGTATTAATAAGACAAAATAAATATAGAAGTTATAAAGTAATCACATATGACTATTTATCACGCGAAATTATATGAAAATGTTGACCCGTTTTTTCTCGTAGCATTTCTGCGGAGACATTATCTATATAATCTAAGTACCACAGTTATAAATCTTATTATTATTAGAGAAAATACAGACATAATTGTTAATCTTGTAAATATTCTTGAGAAACATTAATTTTCGTAGGCATTTATAATTTGCAATTTTAACAAAAATAATATAATGATAACCTCATTTATCTCTGTATACGAAAAATTATATATAAAATGTCAACACATATTATAGTTTTCTTAGAACACGTGATATTACTATTTGGTCTATAAACAATACGTCACAGGAAGGTCAAAGAGTTGCCTATTCAAGATACGAGTCTACTGTCTCCACCAAACCATTGATTGTCGCTAATTAAAGAAATTACATATCATTATTATAAAACACAATATATCGATTGTCATTATAGTTAACAATAAGTGCTACATAGTTACACCAATTGCTTGGTTCTCGAGCTAGGATGTCCTGTCTTATCAGGACACGAAAATTAAAAGGCGCAACCCAGTACACTCAGAGCTGAGCCAATTCAGAAAAGTTCGTTTCCTGAATTGGTTCGATTGAGCAACGATCCCGGGAGCTCATTTACCTATGTGTATCAGTGTCAGCGTCAAAAATACCGTAATAGATTATAATAGATCGTTTTAAATTTTATTATAATTTATCAAATTAATATAATCTAGACATTTTATTATATTTATTTCTGACATTGTGAATTATATTTAACGGTAGGGTTTCATTTTGAGTTTATTTATTTACTTGGACGACATTTGCGAGATATCTACCGGGGATGAAATTTAGATTATACATATGTTGGATTTTTACCCCGCCTTGTTACTATCTGCAATTTATACGTATAATTAGCATTATATGGTATTAATAATATGTATTTATTACTGTCATAAAAAACAAACTATAAACATTTTTATAAGCTATACAGTCAGACTGTCTTCAAAGTTCAAATCAAAATAGGTAACAATAAGGTCTCCACAACGAGAACCTTAAGTTTCACTGATAAGGATGTTATAGTTCCTATTATTAGATAAACAACAATTGATATACATTCTGTTGCGGTTGGTCGCGTGCTCGACTCTTGATAACACATAGGTCACAGGGTACTCGTATAAGATGGAGCTCCGGCTTCTACTATCACAGTCTGCCTAGGTTTGGCTTAATGCGCCGACGCAGTTTTTTACACACCCTCAAAATTAAGTGAATTTCTAAGTCAAAAATGCCGTGGACGAGTGCTAACAGGTATGATAGGGAGAAATTTTGACATGTATGTTTTGAAGTTGACAGTCATTAAGATTTTTGATTAACAATAACATAAAAAATTGTTACAGAATCTATGCCAAGCCTTCTAATTCTAGTTCCGGAGAGGGATCTATCGGAACTAACAATGCCCGTGTCGCTCTCACTGCTGCCGCTGACAGTGGAGGTCGGTTTGAACTAAGTGACCATGGCTACGGAAAGGATTCAGTGAAGCTTCTCCATGTCCACCGCGACGGAAATTTTCACACTATTCGCGAGTTTGAAGTATCCACCGAATTGAAACTTACATCTGAGACCGCTTATGTCTTGGGCGACAACAAAGAAGTTGTCGCAACAGACTCACAGAAGAATACTGTGTATTTGTTAGCTAAAAAGCACGGAGTGAAAACGCCAGAAGAATTTGGTGCACTGGTTGTGAACCACTTTTTGTATATGTATAAACAAGTGGTCGAAGCAAAGTGTCGCGTTGTTGAATACCCATGGGAGAGGTTGCAAGCAGAAACACCACACAATCACGCTTTTTTATTCTCGCCCACAGCTACCCGGTGGGCTGAAATATCACAAAAACGACATGGTAAGTGGCAAACGGGCTTGTAAAATATTTATATAGGATATAATACAAATCGACTTAAAAATTTTTAATATTAACTCATTAGTTTCCTCAACATGGCTCATGTGGATCTAGAAGCTTGAAATTTGCGCAAATTTTTCATAAATACAGGATGAAATTATAATTATTCACACCCTTTTCAGAGAGTATTGAACCAGTGATACTGAGTAATATAAGAAATACATTTCATAAAACATAAAACTTCAAGCTTTTTTCTACCATGAGATTAGCAGCTGCTAAGTTAAAACTTGATAAATTTCGGTGGCACACGGCCTGTAAATATCAAACTATTTTTTTTCCAAGTTTTTGTATTTGTATTGTGCAGAAGCGGTAGTAGTGAAATCTGGCTTGAGTGGTCTACGTGTTCTAAAAACTACACAGTCTGCTTTTGTAGATTTTGTTCAAGACGAATACACTACTCTTAGTGATGCAGCAGAAAGAATATTCAGGTAAGTTTATTAGAAAAAATCCGCATTTCATTAATAGAATAATAACAACCTTATTACATGATTAATATTTTAGTGTGCTATAAAATTAAATGATCATTCAGAAATATTTCATAAATCTTAAAACTTGATTAAAACGCTTGAATGATACAATATCGATTTTGAAAATCAATCCTTATGTTTTTATTTAACATTAATAAAATATATATTTTATGACTTGTCCGTCTCGGTATCGGAAGGAATTTAGTAATTTATCCGTAATAATGTAAGTTTTGGGTAAAAAAGTAATAATAAACAAAGATAAGTAGCTAGGTACCTGTGTACCGGTACCGGTGTTTACCTAGCTTTCTGATATTTGTATCTTTAAGTAGGTATATCAATTTATTTTAAATATTATCACGCGTATTACGTATAATAATGTATTGAAATTGCTGCATATTATATATATGCTATTGTACTAAGTAGACTACTTTTACTATTCCTAACTGCAATTAAGTGTAAGGTACTTGAAGCGAAAGAGATTTGTTTGAATCGAAGTCTTTGGCGTTCCATTGTTTCTGCCTACCCTAATGGGAGACAGGCGTGACATATATGTATGTATGTATGTATGTACTTGAAATAATTTCAGTGTTGTGACATTGAAATAAAGTTACTTTAAAAAAGGCATCATTAAATAATAATAATTAATATTATTTAATTATACTAGATTTTGTTTATTTCTATTATAGTACGGTGGTTGAAGCGGAATGGATCTACGATAATATGCGTACAGCTGATTTTGACAATGCCTGGCTCACCGTGAAAGACGCCATATTGGATAAATTTGCCGGCCCGCCAGATGTTGGAATTTATTCGCCATCTGTGCAACACACTTTGTATCAAGCTGAGAAGTGTGTATTAGAAAAAGTTGCCGAGGTAAATATCACCGTGTTTCTTTGGCATGAAATTTAAATTTGTTTATTTATTTCACCGTTCATCTTTACCGTGAGGTAATAAGATAGTAACGTAGAATCTTTTGTAACTGTGTACAAATATAATTTATTATATCTGCTAAGAATTCAAGTAGGTACTTACCTTATTTATGTATTTGTCCGTGAAATGAATAGGGTGAATAACATATTATTGTATATCTTAATCAATACGTTTATATATATTATTTATTTATATATAAATAAATAAAATATTAATTTGATATTCTAGTGAAATCTTTCTTTCAAGGACCATAACAATATAATAAACTAAATTTCTATAGATTGAAGACAAAATTATTATAAATTTAATTCATGATGATCCATAAAACAGTAATTTCGTGAATCTATCAATATTAGGTTTAGAGAAATGGCCCTTCAGAATCGACCCCATTGCTTAACACTTCTCATAACATGACTCCGTTACATTCAGATACATTTTTTCTCCATGCCAAAATTACAATTATGTATATATTATACTAAATACTGCCATTATATAAAGTTTTAGACACCGCGTCCACAAAAATTTATGACTTTATGACAACACAGATATTTTAGGGTTGTCGCAACATTTTTGTTTTCCTATTCGACATCATCGAGTGCACATGCATCGATTATATAATTAAAGAAGGACAATTTAAATTATAATTGATTATATTTTAACTTATCACGTGGCAAATTAAATTATATTTTAGTAAATATTGATTAAATATAGGTTCCGTATAATATCTATTCATGTCATTGTCATATACGAAATATACGCTTAAGGTTATCAAAAAGAATATAATAACTTATATTTTGATAACCTTATACGCATTTTCATCTCGATGAAACCAATTATTTTAAGGTCATGCTATGTAGAAATTAAACAATCGCTGCATTGAATAATAAACACAATATACTTGGTTTCTGGTGTACAATTGGGTGAATTTTGTGTGAAACTAGAAACAAAAATGGTATTAATCCAGTATCACCAGTATCTGTCATCATTTCAATAACTTGGGATCTGTGTATTTTCTTCTTTCTTTCTTTTATTCATTTCTATTTGCAATTATTTAAGCATTCACTCCTATTATAGCTATATCATCTTTGACACGGTCCATTAATCTCTTTTAGTTTTTGATAATTTAACAATATGTATTGAAGTGAAATCATTGGCTAATAATAGTTACTTAACATAACATAAAGTACTTTTGATGTTTGAAATATTCGCATAAATTAAGCAGTGAATATCTTGTTTTATTCGATAAAATATTATTTCAATCATGGGTCAAAAATTAGGCCTGTTCCACTTTATCATTGTTTGTTATAAAATGTTTAATTAATTCTTTAATGTAATCTTGTTTGATAATGGAATATTTTAAAATAAGAATTATTTGAATTTTTTTAAATATATGTGAAAATAGTATTATAATTATTTACATGTTGATTTTAGTTCATACTTAGCTACATCATACCTGCGTTTCGCAAGTGTATGATATTCCATCTGGCCAGAAATCTATTTATATTTATTTATACTACAATAAAGATATTTATATGTTGTATTTAACATATGTATATACGTGTGTGTATGAGTGTGTGTATATATATATATATATATATATATATATATATATATATATATATATATATATATATATATATATATATATATATATATAGATTTATTATTTATGTAAATATTTATTTTAATTTCTGTTTAGCACTATTACTGCCCACTCACTACTTCCTGTGCCACTGTGTTAGGTTGACTGGAAGAGATCTCTTTTAGAGATAAGTTCGCCTTTGCTAACATTGTTATTAACTTATTGTTATTACTGTATGTTTTAGTGCAATAAAGAATATATAAAGTTTGATTGCCATATTGTTGGTACAAAAAAAAAAATATATATAAATAGATTTCTTTAATTCAAAAGTTATAGCCAGTAAAAACTTGAGGATTGTATGGCAACGTAAATAGCGTGGCATGCTATAGGCGGCGTACTTATTCTATAACGGTGATTAAGTTATGCTTCATTTATATAGTCAATACTTCCATTAGAAAGGTACGCTATTCAACATATTTGTCAACCTCAATGATATAAAATTGTATATCTATTTACAATCTTCTTGATGTTTATAATCTTTTCAGATTTCATGGATCAAGATGACAATGCCGAACAAACATTACTTGAACATTGACGTCTCAAAATTCCCCGCAAACATAACGAAAGGGGATCCCCGTCATCATATCTACCAACCAATAGACAAGCCCGCAGGTCTTATCTATGCGCAGCTACGGCGTAGACCTAAAAGTCGTTTGTGACGTAACGTCTCATAGCCAGTTCTATGAGGAAGTTATAGACGTAGGCTTATTCACAGAGGTACCTATAATTCTACGATAACTTTATGAGACAGTTTTGAATATTTGAAGATTTTTTCACGGTTACCTCAATTGTTTTATATCGTATTGTTGAATTCAATAGTAATGTAATATTTAGGTATAAATGTTTAAGACTTTTTAAATTGGGTTATAAATAATATTTGTATATAGTAAACACAGTCTGGAGAATAAAAAAAATTAAAATTAATAATGTATACGTATCGTGATAGTTCAAAAATTCGAATAATTATTATAAAGATTGTTTATATAGAGCATCATAGCAATACACTGTATATTAGTACATATTTAATTTTGTGTACAGTCGTATCTGTTAATGAATAGCATATGTATACTTTTATTTATGATTGAATACTGTAAGAAATATTTCAGCTGTTTATCTACAATTAGGTATAATTATATGCGGTTACAGTTTACCACTGTCTTTCTTGTTTTGATGTTGTCAAGGAACTTAATTGGCTGTGATTCGTTTTTAAGGGTGAGATGTAACATTGTAATAACTCCTTAATTTTCAGAAATTGAAAAAAATAATAAAGAATATCAGAGTCTGACGTCCGTCCACAAAATGCCCTGTGATTCAGTGACAGAGTTTATTTTCTAATGTACGATAATGTAATGGTAATTCCGTCTGCGTTATCGGTATAAGCAACCACACCAATGCAGGACGGTGGGTGAGGATGAAAGCAGGTTAGTTGGCGCATAACAACTAATTCGCAAAGATTTAACAACAATGGTTGCAAGGACGAATCGACCTGATAAGGACCTGACAAGTCGACCTGACAAGTCGCTAACAATGAGATTCTAGCAATCCTCTTTACTAATAATCACTTTCCCTCCCTCTGAAACAGAGTTACACTGCATATTATAGTAATGCCAATCTTGCTTTCTGTTTCAATGTTTATAGGTAATAGTTAAGTACAACTTTCCATTAGTAAAGTAGTCAGCTTCTATCAAGTTCCTTCAAATTTCGTAACATACTTATTTTCTTAGGGTTACATTTCAAACTAGTAAAAAATTTATTTTGTCGACTGTCAGGCCGTCCGCTTATTTTAATCCGTATCTACGTAATTCTAATCTAATACGTAATCTTGATCTTTTATATGCAATATTAATCTTTATACTATGTTATGAACTGTCTTGTATTGTCACTTATTTTAATAATTAATTTTTAATAGCAAAATAAATTCCAATAATAATAAGATTTTTTATTTAATAAAAATTCTCAAAAAAAAAATAGCAAACATATAATTGGTACAAAATTACAGTCTCGCTTACTTTCACTACATTTTATACGTTTTACAGTCTTTTCAAATACTGATAGATAAAGATATTTATCTACATACATGAGCATATTCTCAAATTTAAACAAATAAGATTATCACATATATGTTCTAATTATTCATTAATAAATATTTAATAATTAAAAAAAACATTACAAACGCTTGGTGCCAATAATCTTGTCAGCTAACGCATAGAGTTCTTCAACAGTCCGAAAAATAAAATTAATAATGTTTGTTAAATATATTAATTCTTTTCAGCACAATGGGATTTAATTTGGAAACAATAAAACTAGCATTAAAGTGAAGTAAATTCACAATTAGCGGAGACATCACGTAGAGTACATACGAAAAATTAATGTCGAAGTTAGAACCACCTTTTTGAAGACGATTAAAAATTGAGAGAAAACAAATAATTTGTGGTTATTTGATTAGAATTATTTTGTTTAATTCCGCCATTATGAGTATGTGTGCAACTGCCAACATTAGAAGATTGACCACCATTATTACTAATAGGTACGTCATTATCAACATCTCAGCCATTACCAGTCTGTTGAAAACTTTACTGCTAACATACACCGCTTGACAGGTGAGTTGGCAACCATAGTCAGTCTTTGGTGATGTTTAAAGAGGGACATTGCTACCCATCCCTTGGCTATTAAGCTCCCTTACACGTCTCTTACGACACCCACGGGGAAGGAAGGGGTGGTCCGTTTTCTGCTAGGACCATACGGCAAAATAGGTATATACATACATTATAATGGTACAAACTAATGGTAGTGGAATTAAACAAAATAATTGTAATCAAATAACCAGTGATATAAACTTCTGGAAGATAACACTTAATTCAGTGATCTTAAAATAATAACAAAAATTTTTCTTAAGCTTCAAATATTATTTCATATTTTTTTACACATTGTACACTCGATAGGACCAGGCAATTTTTTTCAAATTGAATTTCATTAAAAGAAAACAAAGCATTTTTATCTGTAAAAATGTTTTGAAGCTTAGACTCAATTAACTCTATAAATAAGTATTTTCAATAAAACATAATCACATCACCGAAAAGAGCAGATTCAAATAATGATTTTATGTTTTTTTTTTACCTGATTTCCGACAATCGTGAGCGAGTTGAACAGTGTGTTTATGAGTGGATAAATGCGTCATCGAGAATGCGCCACAGGACCCACAGAATGGCTTATATATTTAAAAACATGCCCTTTTGTGAAGTGATTTCATTTCATATATTGATTTACAGAAAAGAATCGTCTTCAATACGACGAGATATTCCCTAGATACTATAAAGTAAACCAAAATCTATATAGAATATAAATTCTATATAGATTTTGGTTCGCAACAAACAGTTTTTGCTTCACAAAAAAAAGATAGCTTCAATCATTACATAATTAAAATACTAATACAGGAATAAACCTCAAATAAAATCGATCTCAAAAGAATTGTGAAAATCGGTTCGGAATTGGTGTAATCGCGTAACGCTGTCACAAAAAAAAATAGTATACCTAAATATGAGTACATTATTATAAGTATATTTATAATATATAATATACTGTTGTATGTAATGCCGTTATTTAATGTGCAAAATTATCTACATATATAATCATTTTCTACATTAATTGTAAGAAAAATAAGAATAATCGTTGTTGTTTTAGCGATATCAAAAATTTGGCAGCAATGTAAACATGATATATGAGGTGTAAAAGGCATAGGTCCATAGATTATTCAGAGCATGGCACGAGCACATTTGTTTACAGAGGTCAGATAAAACTAGATATAATCCTGTATGAAGCGGTTTAACTGCGAGTAATGTTCGTGAAAACAAAAGTGTTATAGCATATTCAACTTTGTTACTTCACAATGAAATCGAGAATGAAGACTCAAGACGCATTCATCAGTAATTAATGGATGAGTTTTGAATCTGATACAGTATAATCTTTTTTGTATTATTTGTATATGGACTTTGGTATAATTTAAAATCGTATGGAAAACTTATTTCGACTCACCGTAAGACTTTTATTCTTCTACTGCTTCATTTTCAGCTTCTTCATCCATAGACTAAAAATAATAAACCGAATAAAATATTACATATATTAATGATGTTCGCGGATGACAGATACGAACGTTTTATATTTATATTCTATTTATTTTGGAATACATATTTAATTTTTATTTTACACTAGTTATTTCATGTGGCATTACCCACGTGATTTACGAGTATTTATATAAAATATCCTAGATGCTAATTTAAGATGTAAGTTCCTCATGTATTAAACTTCACTCAAATTTCTTAGTCAGTTTTTGCATTAAAGAGTAATAAATACCCATCCAGTTATCCATCCTTACAAATTTTTGCATATATAATATTTATAGGATTTATTAAAAATACTGTTTTTATTTTAATTACAATTAGGAATATGATATACATATATAATTTAGAGTCCTCAGAAATGGTAACACATGGGGGGTATCATAGGTGAAACAGTATACTCTGTTATGATCATGTCTATAGGCGACAGTTACCACTTTCCACCAGTCACCACCGTCAGATTCTATTCTAAGTTGCATAAAAAAAAACTTTTAGCAGCAGTATTTTCAAACCGAAATGACATCGTAACATTTAAGAAAAGATCATATTCTTTTTTAAAAAGCCGGCAGCACACTTGCGACGGTAGGTCTTCAGGTTAGCCCGTTAGCCCCCTGTGTTACAAAAAGAAAATAACAGTTACAAAAAATATAATATTGATACCTGATCAGTGTTTTGTGATGCTAATACAATTTTGTGATGCAATTTTATAAATCTTATGTTGTTTTATATATTATCTATTCTTATGTACATGTTGTGTGTGATTAGTAACAAACAAATAAACGATATATCTATCTATCTATCTATCTAATGCGTCAGCTCGTTTCTTGGATGCTTTGGCGACTTCACGGGTTACCATCCGCCAAAACACGAAGACGGGGTGGTGGTATAGTTCAGGCGGGCATTCCTTCAGAGGTGTTTTCCCAACTAGGATGAGACGTTTCAACCTTTCCATTTCATCTAGCTGTCGACGAATGGACATTTGATTTTAATTTTAATTTTATTAGGAGACTTTGTTGTAGTCTGCGTAGGTAGCTCATACCTAGTTGTGTCTGCGCCGTGAATTATCTGTGTTTGTATAATTGTGTGTTTTTGTTTGAAGGGATACAGCCGTAAACTTTATGTTTCAGAAGCACAATGCCTTAGTCCTTAAAAGGATATGGGAATATAGCTATATATTTCGAAGACATGCCCTAGTTCTCAGGAAAGGCAACGCATAAGGGCTATCTGTTGTAAATAGCAGGATGCAGTAATAAAACATATATGTATTTGAGATATAAAATAATAAGTTTAGTGAAAAAAAAATACGAGACATGTCTTATAAACATCTGACACAGAAACAAACTTAAAAATAATATATTGTTCTAAAAAACCTCAGTGTCAACAGCCAGTATTAAAACTTCAACTCGCCCTCTTAATCCTGGATGTTGACCAGCAACTGTTTGACCGCTGACTGATTGCCGCAATATTATACGATAGCGTTAATATGCCCCGTCAGCTCGGAGAGTAAGACACGGACGTACACCGCTTCTCTTACCGCCTCCAATAATATTATATACTCCGCCTCGGTAAACGAAGCCTTTTTCACCACTAAACAATTACGCGATATGAAATTATTCATCAGATCACGACGTTCAGTCACATAATTTGTGGCTCCTGAGTTAATTTGCAACGAACTTTCTGTATCCTCACTAGCAGCGTATATCGACAAAACACAGTTTCCAGAAAAACTCTTTTCACTGCGACAATCTTTTTTAAGATGCCTTTTTTGTCTACACTTCCAGCACCACGGTTCCTTCTTATGATAAGAAGTCTGCTTCGCATTCTTTAACTCATCTTTGTCTCTTTACGCGTCACTCGTTCCGGATGTACTCGAAGCTGAAGTGCTTTTCTTTCAAGAAAACAAGCACTCATTCGATTCACCACGAGTTGTCCAACGCTTTTCTTGTAATAATTTAGTCCTCACTAAACCAACTAATATTACAATTCCCGAGTGCTCACGTGCCATGGTCATGGATTCGTACTCCAACGGTAAACCTTGCAGCATAATTGCTCAAAGAAACTCATCATCGATAGTTTTATTCGTACTTGCTAACTGTAGAACATACAACAAAACTTGATCGACACACGCCTCCATATCAACAAAGTCCTCCAGTTCGATTGAACAAAGACTACGTAACGTCTTCAATCTCATACCAAGACCTTTGTCATCATATGCACCTTCCAGAGCATTCCAAACTTGATTTGCAGTTTTAGCTCTCATGAGATGAGAAAAAAAAACTTTTTCAACACAAATCAATGATTTTTCCTTGTCGTCCAGTCGTTTTCTTATTTTAGGTTACAAGCTATCATTTGCACTATATCCACAAATACATTTTCATATATTTTCAAAAGTAAAAGCAAAACAAATTTTCAATCTACATTGTTCACCCATCCTTTAAATTTTTCAAAGGAGATCGGTGAATTACTCTTGTTAAATATTATGAAAATTTTCTACTTACAGAGCTGGGCCCATAACCTGTTGTAAATAGCAGGATGCAGTAATAAAACATATATGTATTTGAGATATAAAATAATAAGTTTAGTGAAAAAAAAAAATACGAGACATGTCTTATAAAAACCTGACACAGAAACAAACATAAAAATAATATATTGTTCTAAAAAAACCTCAGTGTCAACAGCCAGTATTAAAACTTCAACACTATCATGAGTATGAGAGTATACCCTGTGATGTCCATGGTACTGTCTATATTTTTAGACGACAGTCACCACTTCCTGTCAGGTAGGCTGTTAGATTGTCTACCAGTCCAAGTTATTTAAAAAGAATAACGCAGAGTGCTATTTAGTCAAGATTATTTCGATCATTTGACTAACAAATTATTAAAATGAAAATGCAACTCGTACTTACTTATTTATTAATATTACGATCATTAGTAATAATCAATGCTAATATTATAAATGTGTGAAATAGAGTCTGGTTGTTTGTTACATCTGAACAGCTTAATGACTCGAGCAATACAATATAATGTATCTACACATATAGTAGTGTATATGCATATATATGTATACCCACTACTTTTTTATCTGGGTATATCAATATATTCCGATCATGTAGACGAAGTCGTTAGACAAAAAAAAATTGTATTTAATGTATATCACTGTTATTAATTAATCTGCCGTGTGGTTTCGGCATAGGATAGGCCACCCCTACCTATTCCGTGGGTATCGTAAGAGTCGAATAAGGGAGGGCGAGGGATGGGTAGCATAGCATAGCAGCATCCCTCTTTTAAAACATCTCTAAAAGCCTAACTGCGTTGCCAATCTGCCAGCAAAACGTGGCAACTATTTTATATTATAACTGATAAAAAACATCTCTTATGGGGAAGGCTTATGGTTAGCAGTGGACAGTTAACGGCTGAAATAATAATAATAAAAATGTTATTAATAATTGCTCATTAATTTTGTTACTCATTATTTTTTGTTAGGTAATTTAGTGCTGGATACATAATCATAATAAACATATTGTTAAATTAAACAACGACATAATAATATGTATATAGGTCATATAATTGCTAATTATGGAAAAGATAATATTAATAACCTAAAGAACAAAGTTCCATCTTTGTGTATTTGTATTGCTTTGTCTCACACTTCGTTTGTATGTAACACCTTAAAGACCTGCGCAGACGATGTACAATATATGTATGTATGATTTTGTGTAGTACATGCATAAGCACAGCACATGCCATTTGCTTTGTAACATGCAATTTTAGTGGTTTTATTATGACTAATTGTAAATATTATAGCTCTCTAGTCATATTTGGTTTTTAGATTTCAGTTACATATATTTTAGAATTGTTTTTAGATTTCCTATTTGCGGAATACTTACAACTCTGGCGGATATTCTTTTGTTGAGGTTCTCCTCATTGATCGCCCGGATCCTCTCCTCCACATCGGTCATGTAGCTCTTGCCCTTGAGCCGCACCAAGTTGGATCCCATGTGCTTCTCGAGGCGGGCCTGGACATGCGGGTGCGCATAGCTGCCCAGAAAGATACCAATGAGCTAAACTATCTCTATATCTAGTTTTATATTATAGGTATAGATAGGTACTTTAAGCGAGATAGTGTATAAAAAGATTGATCTTAAAAGTATTTTTAGACTTTATTAAACAACAAAACTTTATAGAACTTTAAAGAACCAAAGCAACCTGAACTTAATCAAAGAATAATATGTATTTTATATGTTAACTTAGGTTTACATTAAAATAGAAAATCTTAAGAAAATTTCATTATTATCTTCGGAATCAATATGCAACAAAAAAAAAGACGTACAAGACATGTATATAAAGTAAGGATAGAGTCCTAATTGTCATGTGGTTTTCTCTAGGACTTGATTGAAAGATTATCTATACAGTTAAACTATTATGTAATTCATTTAGTTAAGGTGACCAATTATACTCATTTACTGAGTTTTTTACTCTTTTTTCGCAAACTGTACTCTTTTCAAACCCTGTACTCTGAAAGTACTTATTAGTAAAATTTTATATTCTGTTTGTATTTTTAAAACATTTTTTTAGATTATTTTATTTCAATTTTTATAATTAAATATTTAAAATTATTTTGACAGTGATTTGAATTTCATTAGAATTTCAGTAGAACATATCCCACATGAAAATTTAAAAGTTTTAATAAAAATTTCCTTATGTAATCCAGGCACTAATGCTGCTGTTGAAACGGTATTTTTTACTAGAGAATGATTATTGGAGCAGTGAGTAGTCACAACTTTCTGTAAAACCATTATCTGCCGTCTTAACAGTCAAATTTAATATACAAAATGAAAGCTGTTCGGATGTGGCTACATTATTAGACGAACATCCTCATTTAGCAAAAAAAAAAAATGCACTCCGAAGAAAAATATGTTTTTAAAAGAAAATAAAGTTTTTATCGTTTTTTCTTCTTTTTTTTTTACTTATTAAATACTTGTAAAGTGTTTACTCTTTTTGAACAAAAAATAGATGGTCACCTTAATTTTTCCCAGTTTTGGGTGTAACAGAATCTTGATACTTCATTGAGAAAAAAAAAACATTACCAACAAAACTTTGTGATAATTTATGATTACACTCGTACTGCAAGTGAGGGCTTCAAATCATATGATCTATTGTGTGTGTCCATTATGTGATATTTTTGATAAAATTGATAATAAATAACATTTTTATTATTTCATTATTTTAAAGATAGGTATTGTATTATGGAATTATGATGTATCAGTTTTAAACAGAGGTTATCTGAATTTCGAATAATATTTATTGGTTGTCATGCCAATTCCAGCAATTTTATAACGAAAATTTTAGGTTAAAAATAATTATTAGATAAAGTGCTCTGTTCTATTAATAGGTATAATATATTAGTTCCAACGCCATAACATTAAGGAAAAGTGGATAAAATATTTAAGATTTATAATAGCAATCCATTTATATATTTGATTTATAATATTTTTTTTTATTTATTTATTCTTTATTATACACAAAAATTACAACATATAATGTATACAAAATAAAAGTGTACAACAGGCGAGCTTAACTCTGTAAGTGTTCTCTTCCAGCAAACCATATTATATTTTTTTATCTCTATTTTATTGGTAAAATATCTCTATTATAAATATTTTTGTGTAGTAATGGAGCAGGATACGATGTTAATCTATTAGTTGGTGTAGGTGTTGTTATAGGTGTTCATAGGTTACGGTAACCACTTACCATCAGGTGGGCCGTATGCTTGTTTGCCACTTCAGTGGTATAAAAAAATCAATACAGTCTTTTCTAAAAATATCGCAAACAAATATTCTAATACTCAGTATACCTATATCTCACATTAGTGTTACTTACTACAGATTAGAAGGGTATCAGAATTTAAACGATATAATCCAGCAGGCACCTATCATCGGCCAACGGTGTATACAGTCCGTATTCCCGTTCGAGTAAACAATGGACGTAGTCACTTACAATTTGCGTGTGTTTACATAAATCCCGAATTACACGTGACGATAAATTTACTAGTCGCCACGTCATTCTGTCGACGTGAAAACTGGCAGAGTAGCGTTCCAAATCGACTGTTAAATAATGCATTTTCGTTAGCGATGACATCGCAGTGGAATCATTGGAAAGCAAATTAGGTAATTATTAAGATCGAAAGATATGTGTTTTCTATATTTGGATTTCCTAAAACAAATTGTATTTATATTCTTTTCATTCGAATGTCAGCAAATAAATGTTTAATGTTTCTGAAAAATATTTCTGCAAAAATTTCAAAACACCAAGATGATATGCATCGTGCATTATATATGTTATTGATCGCACAATAAACCCTTACAAGTTAGTGTTTCAAATTAAAACAACAGTTTAGTGCCTATAAATGCTATTGAACCGAGTTCTTTTATTTGCATTTGAAATAGGTCTACACGATTGTTAGAAAAATACAGACGTTTACACTAAGCGCAGTGAATATATTTAGGACACGATAGAAAAGATCACGCAATTTATTTAGAAATAAATGGTTGAGTTATAGTACATGTCTATTTTTAATACATCGTTCGTCATATTGTGAGAGTTGCCGTCATACTCCTAGTTCAATACTTTTCTCGAACGCAATCGATGAAGCATTAAAACATGTCTAGGCTCTGATGATACCTACATATAGAAAATATCTCATTTATATTCAATATTATTTTTAATAATACTTTTTTAACATTTATGAAGAAAAAAGTTTTGGAAACAGAACTAAACAAATTTCAAAAATTAACTTACTAACCTACTTAAATCTAATTAATTATCTTTTATCACGTCTTCATCTAGAAACAAAAATTCTAAAAACATAAGATCAATAGAAATATAAAAATATGAAAGACGGATATGATGGCCAGTTATATAAAAGGCGTATTGTGATGGCTAGTAATACGCCATAAGGTTTTGGTAATAATATCTGTATATGTTTAAAACTCCAGCAAGAGTCAACGATCATGATTATTAACACATCACGTCTTTCAAAAAATTGAAAGACGTGATGTTTTAATAATAATAGTCTAAAAAGACTAAATTTGATTTAAATAGGTTTATCAGTTTGGTCGTAAAAATAAAATATTAGAATTAAGAATACAGCACTTGGAAGTATGTATATTATTAGTGCGATTGAATTTTATTTATAATCAAATTTTATTTATAATCCAGTCATTATGACAAGAAATAGAACTGTAGTGTTACCAAAACAATTTTAATGTTATTATTATCAGATTAAAGGAGAGGTCAAGCCCTATACGTATTTAGGGATGTTTACGTTAAAAAAATTAAATGCCTTTGTGTTACAACGTAACTATAGATAAATATATTTATTTTATTTATCGAATTCTTCTAAAATAACTTATCAAACATTGGTATAAACAAAAGGAACTATATAAAAATTATTTTTAATCTGTACAAGATAGTCGTTGATAAATTTAGAAGATAAAATTAGAAGTTGAAATAAAGTGTAAACGATATACGAGAACATCAATTCACTGAAAGATTTCATCTTCTGGTGTCGTAATTGTTTCATTCGAAGCAAAACAACCCAAATTACTCGATATCTGCAAGTTAGTATTGAATATATTATATCATTTATTGGTGCCTATAATAAAAAAAGATGTACTTCGGTACATTTGTGCGTGTTCCATGAATTGTCACGTTTACCACGGTAGCGGATACAACATAATATCAGCATAATAGCTATTACATTTAGAATAATAACAGTAGAAAAATATGACCCCTGAAAATAAAATGTAATATCTGATTTATATGCTGTTTGTCTCCTTCTTAGATTATATAGATAGAGCATCGACTTTTAAAAAACCGGTCAACTATTTGTCAGCTAATTTTCAATTTACCTGACTCGTTTTTTTATCAGTGTTCTATATACTGACGCATACAATATATATTGACGTATTATTTAATAAATAAAATGAGTATTTACGCATTAAAAAGATGCAGAGTTTATAAGACAAAATAAATATAGAAGTATAATTATCGTACGTGAAAAATCACGCAAAATTGTATGAAAAAATTGATCCGTTTTTGTCAAAGCATTTTTGTGGAGACACTCTATCTATATAATGTAAGCACCACACTTATAAATCTTATTATTATAAGAGAAAAAAAAAAAATTAAGAGCAAAACTTGCATTTGATATTGACATAAATATATTTTTGAGGAAATAGATGTACGTTAATTGCAATTTTAACAAAAATAATAGAATGATAACCTCATTTATCTCTGTATACGAAAAATTATATGTAGAACCTCAACACATATTATAGTGTTCTTATACCACGTGATGTTACTATTTGGTCTACAAACAATACGTCATAGGAAGGTCAAAAAGTTATGTGTTCAAGATATGGGTCCACTGTCTCCAACAAATCATTGATTGTTGCCAATTTACTAAATTGGCATTTGACATTCCATATATTATAATTATATCTTATATATAAAATTCTCGTGTCACGGTGTTTGTTACCAAACTCCTCCAAAACGGCTTTACCGATTTTCATGAAATTTTGTGTGCATATTGGGTAGGTCTGAGAATCAGCCAACATCTATTTTTCATATCCGTCAATGATAAGGGTGATCCACCCCAAATTTTTTTTTTTAAATTTTTAAACCATTTTTTTTTATTTTTATTTTATTATAATTTAGCATTGAAAAATACATACAACTTTAAATTTTCATCGTTTTACAATCAACCCCTGTATTTTAATTGCGATTTTTATATTTCGCAATAAGTGGTAAAACAACGTTTATGGGGTCAGCTAGTTATTATATAATGTTATTATAAAACAAAATGGACCGATCGCTATTGTAGTTAACAATAAGTGTCACACAGTCACATCAATGGCTTGGTTTTCGTGCTAGGCTATCCTGTTTTATGGGGTATGGTCGTGTGGTCCCGGCATAGAAGAGGCCACCTCTTCCTGTCCTGTGGGTGTCGTAAGAGCTGACTAAGGGAAGGCGAGGGATTGGCAGCAGCGTCCCTCTTAAAACATGTTTAAAGCCTGATTGCGTTTGCTAATCCACCTGCCAAGCGTGGCAACCACTGGCAAAGCCTCCCAAGGGGGAGGCTTATGTTATATTTATATAAATAGATTTCTTTAGTTCGAAAGCTATAGCTAGTTAAAACCTGAGGATTGAACGGTGACGCAAATGGCACGCCATTTACGTTGCCGTACATGCCAGGGCATGCCATAGGTAGCATACTTAATTTATGACTGTGATTATGCTTCATTTTTATAGCCAATACTTTCATCAGGTAGGTACGTCATCCAACATATTTGCCAACCCCAGTGATGAATGATAAAGTTATATATTTATTATTTTTTTGCCAACAGATTTCATGGACCAAGATGACAATGCCGAACAAATATTACTTGAACATTGACGTCTCAAAATTCCCCGCAAACGTAACGAAAGGGGATCCCCGTCATCATATCTACCAACCAATAGACAAGCCCGCAGGTCTTATCTATGCGCAGCTACGGCGTAGACCTAAAAGTCATTTGTGACGTAACGTCTCATAGCGAATTCTATGAGGAAGTTATAGACTTAGGCTTATTCACAGAGGTACCTATAATTCTACGATAATTTTATGAAACAGTTTTGAATATTTGAAGAATTCTTTACGGTTACCTAAATTGTTTTATATCGTATTGTTGAATTCATTAGTAATGTAATATTTACGTAATAAATGTTTTTTAAAAGATTGTTTTAAATTGGGTTAAAGAAAACATTTGTATATTCTAAATACAGTCACACCAGGAGCATAAAAAAATATGAAAATTAAAAATGTGTACATGTTGTGATAGTTCAAAAATCCGAATAATTATTATAAAGATTATTTATATTGAGAATCATAGCAATAAAGTGTATGTAATTTAATTTTATGTAAATTAATTTAATTTTGTATACAGTCGTATCTGTTAATGAATATAGCATATGTATACTTTAATTTATAATTATTTGTAAGGAATATTTCAGTTATTTATGTGCTGTTTATTGTGGGAGAGCTACGCTGTAATAATATATGATATTGCAGGATGAATGGGCCGGCTCGACCGGAGAAGTACCATACTCTCACAGATAACCTACGCTAAGTGGCCGTACTTTTAGTGCGACCACATTCCGTATGGTGAGTGTGGGAGTCCGGAGGCCCATCCTATATCTATTCCTTTTCTAATCCTAAAATCCTTCCCTCAACCCTATCCCCCCATCTTTCAATACGACTATGGCAGTGGAATTTAGAAAAAGAAAAAATAACCTACCCCAGGGAGGTACCAGTAAACAGTAAAGATTTTTATCACCGTACAACCCGCTATAAGCTAAAGATTCATCCCAACCATCTGGACGGGTGGCGATCTCCCATCGTGCGTTTTATTAGGCTCTTCCACGCACAATCACTCTTTGGAATCAACTTCCAGCAACAGTATTTCCGATCCGATATGACATCATAACCTTCAAGAAAAGAGCATATTCCTTTTTAAAAGGCCAGCAGCACACCTACAATGCTTTTGGTGTTGTGGGTGATCATGAGCGGCGGTAGTCACTTACCATCAGGTGAGCCACATGCTCGTTTGCCCCCTGTGTTATAAAAAAATGTACAATTACGTATAATAATATGCGGTTACAGTTTATCACCGTCTTCCTTGTTTTGACGCTGTCAAAGAACTTAATTGGTTCTAATTCGTTTTCGAGGGTGAGATATAACTGTGTAATAACTTCCTAATTTTAAGAAATTAAAAAAAAAAAAGACAGGTATCATAGTCTGACGTCTGTCTATAAAATGGAGTGGTAATCCCGTCTGCGTTATCGATATAAGCAACCACGCCAATGAAGGACGGTAGGTGAGGATGAAAGCAGGTTAGTTGGCCCATCGCGACTAATTCAAAAAGATTCAACAATGATGGTTTCCAGGAACCGCGTGAAAGTCAACCTGACATGTTACTAGCAATGAGATTTTATCTAGCTATCCTCTTTACTAATAATCACTTCCCCTCCCCCTGAAACAGACTGACAGACAAACAGACAAAGTTGCTTTCTGTTTCAATGTTTATAGGTAATAGTTACAACTTTCCATTAGTAAAGTTGTCAGCTTTTATCAAGTTCCTTTCAATTTTGTAACATACTTATTTTCTAAGGGTTACATTTCAAACTAGTAAAAAATTTATTCTGTCGACTGTCAGGGCGTCCGCTTATTTTAATCCGTATCTACGTAATTCTAATCTAATACGTAATCTTGATCTTTTATATGCAATATTAATCTTTATACTATGTTATGAACTGTCTTGTATTGTCACTTATTTTAATAATTATTTTTTAATAGGAAAGTAAATTCCAATAGCAATAAGATTTTTTATTTACGATAACTATACAAATAATAAAAATTCTCAAATATCAAACAATATAATTGGTACAAAATTACAGTCCAGCTTACTTTCACTACATTTTATACGCTTTACATTCTTTTTAAATACTGATAGATAAAGCTATTTATCTACATACATGAGCACATTCTCAAATTTAAACAAATAAGATTATCGCATATGCGTTTAAATTATTCATTAATGAAAATTCAATAAAAAAAAAATCATTACAAACGCTTTGTGCCAATAATCTTGTCAGCTAACGCGTAGAGTTCTTCAACCGTCTGAAAAATAATTAATAATATGTGTTAAATATTTTAATACTTTTTAGGACAATGGGATTTAAATTGGAAAAAATAAACTTAGTATTAAAATGAAGTAAATTTACAATTAGTGAAGATATCTTGTAGAGTACACACGAATAAATAATGTCGAAGTAAGAAATACGATTTTTTGAAAAAATATTATGAAAAAAAGTTTTTAGTAAAAAATAATTACATCATCGAAAAGACCAGATCCAAATCTTAGTTTTTTCTATATATTTTTCTTCAATCGTGAGCAAGTTAAAGAGAGTGTGACCTTACGAGTAGATAAATGCATCGTCAAGATGCGCCATCGGACCTATGGAATTGCTCATGTATCATCATCATCATCATCACTACATAGTATTAAACAAATTCGCTGTCGCTGTTTGTCCGTCTATGTATGCTTAAATCTTTAAAACTACGCAACGGATTTTGAAGCGGTTTTTTAATTAAGAAGAAAGTTTATATGTATAATACATGGATAATACAGTAGAGAAATACTGATAAATTTAGAGGTTTCTAATGTGATGTCGTAAATAAACACATTTTTTTACGCTTACTTTGCAAACGTTGGCTAAATCAAAATCATGTACTACAATACTGTACACCTTAAAAAGGTCGACAAAAAACTCCGCGATGGTATATGTCTATCTCTTAAGGATAACCCACAATAACTATTTTTTATCCTCTACATTTTACGGAAAAAATGGCTTATTTACGAAGTGATTTTAAGCAATACAGCATTAATTTTTATCCATTAAAATTAAATACTTAAATACATTGTCCATTTAATAACAGCATATAATTTAAATGAATATTTCCGAAGATATTACAGATTTAAAATGCAGGAGCATAGCAGTGCGGCGGCACCGGCCCGGTCGGCGGAGCGTGCCTATATAATAGTGCGTCGAAGGCCGCGCTTCGCCCTATAGCGCATTATCATGTTTGTATTGTCTAATGACAAAAAAGCTGTAAACGTTGTTTATAAGGACACTCTGTAGTAGGTAGGTATATTTAGTACCAGCATTGCAACCTTGCGAAGCCGGGCCAGATCGGTAGTAATTATATTTAAGAAAACATTTCATTTCATATATTAAACCACAGAAAAGAATCGTTTTCAATACGATGAGATATTTCCTAGATACTTTATATTTTATATAGATTTTGCTCCGCGACAAACAGTTTTTTGTTCCGGAAAAAAAGGATAGCTTTAATTATTACAAAATTAAAATACTAATACATAATAATTAAACTCCGAATAAAATCGGTCTCAAAAAGAATTGTGAAAATCGGCTCGGAATTGGTGTAATCGCGTAACGCAGTAACAAAACATTATCATAAGTATATTTATAATATATAAAATGTTATTGTATGTAATGCCGTTATTTAAAGTGCAAAATTATCTACATATATAATAATTTTCTACATTAATTGTAATAAAAAGATGAATAATCGTTGTAGTCTTAGCGATATCAAAAATTTGGCAGCGATCTAAACATGATATATGAGGTGTAAAAGGCATAGGTCCATAGATCATTCAGAGCACGGCACGAGCATACATTTGTTTACAGAGGTCAGATAAAACTAGATATAATCCTGTATGAAGCGGTTTAACTGCGAGTAATGTTCGTGAAAATAAAAGTGTTATTGCATATTCAACTTTATTACTTTACTGTCAATTCAAGAATGAAAAATCAAGACAAATTCATCAATAATGGATGAGTTTTAAATCTGATACAGAATAATCTTTCTTGTATTTATTAAATGTATATGAACTTTAGTATAATTTAAAATCGTATGGGAATCTTATTTCGACTCACCGTAAGACTTTTAAGGGTTTTTACGTCATTTGTCTCGTATTTAAGAAGAGCGAATTGTTCATCTGTAAAACGAACTCCTTTTGCAATATCTTTTTGTTTTTGTTCTTCTAATTCCTCATTGCATTTAGTTAAAAGTTGTTCCGGAGTCAGTTGTTCGCTTTCATCTTCTGTCGCTTCATTTTCAGCTTCTTCATCCATAGACTAAAATTAATAAATCAATTAAAATATTCCAAATATTAACTATGTTCGCGACTGACAGATACGAACGTTTTATATTTATATTTTATCTATTTTAGAATACATATTTCATTTTTATTTTACACTAGTTATTTAATAGGGCTTTGCCCACGTGATTTATTTATATAAAATATTCTAGATGCTAAGTTAAGATTTAAGTTCCTCATGTATCAAATTTCATTCAAATCTGTTCAACAGTTTTTGCAAAGAGTAACAAATACCTTTTCAGCTATCAATTCTTAAAAATTTTCGCATATATAATGTTTATAAGGATTTGATAAAAAATACTTTTTATTTTAATTACTCGTACAATTAGGTATAATATATGATAGAATTAATATTTATTTTAGAGCCTAGTCATGGTATCGTAATTTGAAGTAGGTATAATCTAATTGATTTAATGTGTAAATAATTTTAAGTATTATTGTCAATATCATCATCGTAATGTCACTAAATTTAAAGTACACATATATTATTATATAGCATAAACAAATTTCAATTACCATATACTATTATATTTCACCAGTGGAGACTGAATAAAAGTCGTTTGCTTGAGCACCTCAGTCCCATTCGTGTTTTTACCGTGAAGCAGTCGTGCTTCCATGCCTGTGTTTCGGTTTCAAGGGTGAGATATGGCAGTGAATATACAGAGGAATAACACCTGAGTTCTCAGGTATGGCATTGCAGGGGGGGGGGGGGGTTATCATGGGCGAAACAGTATACTCTGTTATGTCCATTATACTGCTCATGTCTATAGGCGACAGTTATCACTTTTCATCAGGTGGGCCGTCAACTAGTTTTCCATTCTAAGTTGCATAAAAAAACCTCCAGAAGCAGTTTTTCGAAACCAATATGACATCATAACATTTAAGAAAAGATCATATTCTTTTTTAAAAAGCCGACAGCATAGTTGCGGCGATAGGCCTTCAGGTTAGCCCGTTAGCCCCCTGTGTTCCAAAAAAAGAAAATAACAGTTACAAAAAATATAATATTGATACCTGATCTGTTTTTTGTGACGCTTTCAACTTTCGATAGTATGCGTCAGCTCGTTTCTTGGATGCTTTGGCGACTTCACGGTTTACCATCCGCCAAAACACGAAGACGGGGTGGTGGTATAGTTCAGGCGGGCATTCCTGCAGAGGCGTTTTCCCAACTAGGATGAGACGTTTCAACCTTTCCATTTCATCTAGCTGTCGAGGAATGGATATTTATTTTTAATATTTATTTTATTAGGAGACTTTGTTGTTGTCTGCGTAGGCATCTCATACCCAGTTGTGTCTGCGCCGTGAAGTATATGTGTTTGTATAATTGTGTGTTTTTGTTTGAAGGGATATGGCCGAAAACTTTGTTTCATAAGCATAATATGCCTGTCCTTAAAAGGATATGGCAATATAGCTATATATTTCGAAGACATGCCCTAGTTCTCAGGAAAGGCAACGCATGAGGGCTATCATGAGTATGAGAGTATACCCTATGATGTCCATGGTACTGTCTATATTTTTAGACGACAGTTACCACTTCCTGTCAGGTAGGCTGTTAGAGTGTCTACCAGTCCAAGTTATTTAAAAAGAATAACGGAAAGTGCTATTTAGTCAAGATTATTTCGATCATTCGACTAACAAATTATTAAAATGAAAATGCTACTCGTACTTATTTATTATAATTACGATCATTAGTAATAATTAATGCTAATATTATAAATGTGTGAAATAGAGTCTGTTTGTTTGTTACATCTGAACAGCTTAACGACTGTACTGTGACTGACGAAAGTATAATGTACACATATATGTATATATATTGATATATATATATATATATATATATATATATATATATATATATATATATATATATATATATATATATATATATATATATATATATATATATATATATATATATATATATTAATATATTTCGACCATGTAGATGAAGTCGTAGATAAAAGCTATTTGTATTAAGCTATGTGGTTCTGACATAGAATAGGCCACCCCTTCCTATCCTGTGAATGTCGTATAAGTCGAATAAGGGAGGGCGAGAGATGGGTAGCAGCATTCCTCTTAAAACATCAAACAACAACGGTTGCCAATCTGCCTGCTTAAGATGTCTGGAGAATATTCAGCAGTGGACAGTTAACGACTAAAATTGTAATAATAAAAATGTTTGCTCATTATTTTTTGTTAGGTAATTTAATGCTGGACACATAATTATAATAAACATATTGTTAAACTAAACGATGACATAATAATATGTACAAAGTCCATATTATTGCTAATTATGAAAAGGATATTAATAACTTAAAGAACAAAGTTCCATCTTTGTGTATTTGATTTGCTTTGTCTCTGACTTCGTTTGTGTGTAACGCCTTAAAGACCTGCGCAGACGATGTACAATATATGTATGTATGATTTTGTGTAGTACTTGCATAAGCACAGCAAATGCCATTTGCTTTGTAACATGCAATTTTAGTGGTTTTATTATGACTAATTGTAAATATTATAGCTCTCTAGTCATATTTGGTTTTTAGATTTCAGTTACATATATTTTAGAATTGTTTTTAGATTTCCTATTTGCGGAATACTTACAACTCTGGCGGATATTCTTTTGTTGAGGTTCTCCTCATTGACCGCCCGGATCCTCTCCTCCAAATCGGTCATGTAGCTCTTGTCCGTGAGCCGCACCAAGTTGGATCCCATGTGCTTCTCGAGGCGGGCCCGGACATGCGGGTGCGCGAAGCTGCCCAGAAAGATACCAATGAGCTAAACTATCCAGTTTTATATTATAGGTATAGATAGGTATTTTAAGCGAGAAAGTGTATAAAAAGATTGATCTTAAAAGTATTTTTAGACTTTATTAAACAACAAAACTTTATAGAACTTTATAAAACCAAAGCAGCCAGAACTTAATCAAAGTATAATATGTATTTTATATGCTATCTTTGGTTTACATTAAAATAGAAAATCTTATCATTATTTTCGGAATCAATATGCAACAAAAATCTAGACGTAACAAGACATGTATGTAAAGGATAGATACTAAATTATCACGTGGTTTTCTCTAGGACTTGATTGGAAGATTATCCATACAGTTAAACTATTATGTAATTTATTTCGTTAAAATTTAAATATAATTGGCCTATTTTGTCTATTGGGCAAGCAAATTTTGCTGTGGGCATGCAATGAATTTTATTTTAATTTAAAACATTTTTCAACTAAATTATCTTGTAATATAAATTACTTTTAATAAGTGTAATACATTTTATACTTTCCGCTATTTGTTTGCTTTTTTATACAAATTTTTGTATATATCGTAAAATTTGTTATGCTACTTAAAGGTAAATATCGTAATAATTATTACTTAAGTTATCCTCAAAACTAGAATTTTGAAGATTAAGAAAATTCGGCAAAATCCAGCAGATGTAAAATTAGGTACTCACCGCCGCCGCGCTGTCCCTATAAATTTTTTCTCTTCGCTCGTTTTGATAATAATCACCGTCCTCTGACCGAGACGCGTCCACCCGTATGGGTGTCGTAAAGTTTTAGTAGTTTTGACGCTAGATACCCCCATGTTAGAGGTGGATTTTATTGTGGGGTATACGACTGGCACGGTATGGCACGACCCTCACCTACACCACATGTATCCATTTTCGTATAAAGTGATGTTCATATATGAAGATAAATATAAATATTTAAAATTAATTTTGCATGAAAATATAAAAAAATGTTACATGATAAAATCAATGCGATGATCAACATAGATTAACACTTTTGCTTATCTTTTTTTTTATGTGAATAATATTTATTTCCATAGATCTTACCTTTTAATGCATATTCTAGACTAGTTAAAGATCGTAGGCATCCGCATAGGATTTCATGTAAAATTATGTTTCTAGATTCAGTAGTTGTTGTCATGAATTAATAGATCAGTCAGTATACTTTTCATTATATATTTACGTGTTTTAATGAGACATTAAATATTATTTAAAGCATTGTCGATAGAACGGAATATTAGAGATATTCGTTATAATTTTGTGGTAATTAAATAAAGGACCTCATTGTGTGGTTACAGATAGTAACATGATCGCTTAGTAATAATTAACCTCTGACTTAGATAATTTATTAGGAATTTTTATCATAAATTCAAAATATAGATTTTTTAATAAGTTTACTGATGTAATCTGTTGGAGGAAACAATAAAGAATATTTATCCACAGAAGAATAAAAAATACAAAAGCAATTTAACTATTTATAACCACTTTCATTAATTTCATTTAATTATTTATACTTTATAATAACTTCTAGTAGAAAGTTGAAATGTAAAAGCGGGTAGCTTAACATTTTTTTTTTGACTAGTTGATATAAATTAAAAGTAGTATGGACATACAGAATCGATATTATTATATAAATACTCAACTCAACTCATAAGTACTCAACTTGGAAATATAACTTTTTTTTCAACTTATAATGGAAAAGAAGCTGTCAGCTCACCTGATGGAAAGTGGTGACTGTCACCTATTCCAATAAGGCTGAATGAACAATATCTATTATTATTCCAAATTTCACATTGATAGCATCAGCAGTTGTTGAGATAGGACGCTGCGACAGACGCACGGACGGATGAAGTCGCTATGTGGGTTACTTTGTACCATTTCAGTACAGAAGATTAAAAAGACTCTGCTGAACCATACATTGTCTCAGTCATTCAGGTTGAAACGCAACAACGCATACTGTTGTAACTTTATAATATTTTGTAAACTAATTCAGAAAATATTATAGCACAATAAGGAATACTTGTATATAGGTAATTTATTAAGTTACATGTGTATTTTGTTTTGAATATATGTTTTTATTTATGGTAAATGGCCACTGTAGCCTATGGACGCCTGCAACACTAGGGGTGTCACGTGCGCGTTACCGACCCTGAAATGTATGTAGAAATAAAATGTCCTAAGAATCTTAATAGGTACTTAGTGTGCGCAGTATATTATGGATTATTATACATGAGGCAAATATGCAGTAAAGTACTGTTTGTAAGCAATAAAATATGATGACAGTGTATATGTTCAAGTGTAGAAGGTACTTTAAACTGACGTGACTAAGGTTGTACGTCGGTTACTGTCATGTATGGATTCAGAGTATTTATTAAACGTCATTGTTGTGGGGTGCATTATTTCTTGTTTTGATAGATCGATTAACGAAAAGAATCTGTACATATACGATTTAGAATAGTAATATTATGAAAATTAATCATGTTTCGATAGTGGGTTCCACCCTTTTGTGACGCCGCTATACAATCGCTGGGAGGGGTGATAATGGGTAAACTATTGCTAGATATGATAAAAAATAGACAGGACAATATTTATGTCAGTTTGTAACATACTGCAAAATATTTTAACGTCTTACCAATATCATAAATAATATAATAATATCTACTGTGAAGTTAAGTTAATAACCATGTATCATAACCCTATATAATATATATATATATATATATATATATATATATATATATATATATATATATATATATATATATATATATATATATATATATATATATATATATATATATATATATAAGTATTTATTTTTATATATTGTAGTAGTATTATATTCGATTGTTTTAATTTATTACACAATACACCCATCAAGGAATTAAAATCAGTAATATATTTATTGTACTTATAAGATTACCTTATGGCTAAAATAAATATTGAATAAATACTTATATAAATCTAATGCAACTTATTAGTTATAATATAATATATTTAATGTACAGGAATTCTACTAGATACCTAGATCTCGTTGCTATGCAACAAACATGTTGTCTTGTGGATGTTGTTTGAGCGGTTTGATATTCAACATGGTTGGATTTATAATCTAAGCAAATAAATATTGATATAAGATAGGTGCTTTTATATATACATATAATAGAAGTGTACTTATTCCACTCTCACATAATTGTTTGTTGAAGTAAATTGAAAGTAAAGGATTTTTTATTTACAATGAAAGTGATATATGGACGATAGTTTGAAAGAGCTTTAATAGCTCTTAGCCCATAGCCTTGGTAACCTATCCATAATGTTTTTTTTTGTTTTTCTGTTTAGTAGGCTGGACTGGATTAGTTTTCTTCTATTCAAATTATCTAATATTTGGCTGTATTTTGTAAAACGTATTTTAAATGAGCACAAAACAGTATTTTATAATTTGTATTTTAATTAAAGCCAAGCATGTATTTTGCCCAGTTATTTACTGAGAAAAAACAATACTGCACTGAGAAAAAAACAACAAATTATGAACAAAACTGTGTGAAAAGTTATGATGACATCCGAACCGCAAATTTTGATATTTTTTAGAATGTACAATTTTCTAATACTAGTTTTATCGCAATGAAGGATCTTGTATTTTTTTTACCAACTTTCTTTACTCCATCCTAACATTTTCTCTTAATTCTCTCTTCTTTATCGTAGGTAACGTATACCACTAACAAATAAATTCCCATGGAGGGTTGACAGACAGACAGACGTCTGGTCGTAAAACCAAAAGCCAAAACCTTGAATAATATAAATAAAAACATGTTACGCCGACCCCAAATAATTGGGATAAGGGTAGAAACATGATTATAATAGGAATACAAACAAGGTGACAGTGATCAACACCGTGGTAATCATAAAATACACTGTATATGATTTCTTTTTAAACGATTTCCAATAGATAAAGAGGTTTATTAGCGTGATAGTTCGTGATTATTTATTTTGCGACCATTCAAGTTGCAGTTTCTCTTTTCGGTACACAAATACACTTGATATAGAAAAATTAATAAAATGTTTAGTGTTTTCTGGTAGATTTTGGTTTGCAACGAGCGGTAGAAATATTTTTAAAATAGGAATTTCATATTTCAATAAAAATTCTGTAATTGAAAAATTTCAAAGCCACAATGTATGTGAACTCGCTTGTTTTATAATTTAAAAGTATTTCTAAAAAAATTGTGGGAAATAAAATTTATTAGAATCATGCGAGTCTGCGTTTTAAATTCTAATACTTCGATTGGAATGTGTTTACGAAGCAAGTTGCCTTCTTTTCAAGCGACTTCAAAAAGAAGGAGATTCTCAATTCAGTTGTATTTTTTTTGTTTGTTACTTCATAACTCCGTCAGCTGTAAACTGAATTGGAAAATTATTTTTTATCTGAAAAGATAAATTAACAGATTAGTCCCATAGAAACTTTATCAAAATCGGTTAAGTAGCTTAGTTTTTAAATCTAAAACTGGTTTTGCCACAAAAGAAGTTTCTTTTTAGTGGAACACAATCTTTAATTATTTTATTTATGTGACACAAAATGTATTCCGTTGATATAAAATTGATAATAAATAACATTTTTATTATTTCATTATTTCATTTTAAAAGTAGGCAATTATATTATTATTTATCAGTTTTAAACAGAGGTTATCAGAATTCCGAATAATATTCGTTGGTGGTCATGCCACTTCCTGCAATTTTATGATGAAAACTACAGTAAATATTTAGGTTAAAAATAATCATTAGATAAAGTGCTCTGTTCTATTAATAAGTATAATATATTAGTTCCAACGCCATAACATTAAGGAAAAGTGAATAAAATATTTAAGATTTATAATAGCAATCCATTTATATATTTGATTTATATTATATTTTTTATCTCTGTTTTATTGTTAAAATATCTCTATTATAAATATTTTTGTGTAGTAATGGAGCAGGA